GAGAGAGAGAGAGAGAGAGAGAGAGAGAGAGAGAGAGAGAGAGAGAGAGAGAGAGCTGGGGAAATGATGATGATATTGGCAAAAGGAAGAAACTAGGTAGTGGAAAAAGTTGGAAGAAAGCGATCGATAATATGGATTATTGCCTCCATTCCATTGGAGAGAGAGATCGAGGGCCACATGCAATGCAACAGATTATTATTATTATAGCCAATGCATGGGTCCTTTCCTTTCCTTCCTTCATTATTTGTTCTTGATGCCATTGTGAAATGAAGGTACCCATGGTCTTTAACTCCATGTCTCCACCAAAATGTTGGTTGGTTTCGACTTTTAGTGACGCTTCAGAGAATTTTACCCCCCTTTTTTCCCCAGTATGGTTAGATATACAACACAAGCAGAAGTAATGAAGCAAAACAACAAAAAGATGCAATAATAATCGATTTTCAACACGGATATCAATGGCTCTCACTGCCACTATGGGCCTCTGGTCTGCTGCCACCACCACCAGCAGCAGCAGCAAATAGTAATGGAAATGGAAAGTAAAGAAAGCAAAGCAAAGCAACAACGAATGGTAATGGCAATGCGACATTTCCCATCTCTCCTTCTCTCTCTCTCTCTCTCTCTCTCTCTCCTGTCCTCTCTCTGTCTACTACATACTTATACCCCCACCACAGATATAAGTCTATCACAGAGATGGAGAGAGTGGATTTTTAATATATTGGAATGTTTTAGCTAGCTAAATGGGTCATCATTAATGTTAATCAACTTAGAGATGGATAGTTAGAGACGAGAATGACTAATTTCACTAATAGGCCATCTGGAGATCGTGAAAACTCACTAGAGGTTGTTAGGAATTGTATACTCGTTTCAATATTATAGTTTAAGAGTCGGGATTCAAAAAGATAGTTCAAAATATGTATTATGGATTTTACCGTGATTACAATGTCATTCAATTTCTTAGATCTATGTTATTATTGACAGGACTACGTACCATTGTATACATAATAATTTGTTCGACAATTGAGATGTTCTCTCCTCGCTCGCTGGCCCATGAGTTTCACAAGGAACAAGATTTGTGTAACGGATTTTCTCATCGCGGATTTTTGTTAGGTTGACACATCGAAAACCTCAAACATTACGTTGATTAGTAATATCGATCGACTTTCACATATTATAAGTTGAGGGGGGAAATATATTTTTTTTCCTATAAACGACCTAAATATTCAATTAAACCAAAATCATTTCATTTACCGCCCGCTTTTAATTAAATTTTAACTGCGTTATAAGGAAAATGAGTGGTCTCTCCTGCTCGACGCTTATATGATACCTCCTCAATGAATCTTTGGCTGGCTGGCCGGCCGACTGGAGTGGGCGCGGAATCTCCTGAAAATCAGCCAACTCATTATCAAAACAATGCCTCGATTTATATATCATGATAAGAAAGTATATTATATTATATATATAATTAACAAGATTCGTATGTAGGTGTCGGTTCTCCTGCTAATTGCTAAATCATTATCAAGTTTGTCAATTAATCAGTATTTTAGTATTAATTAGCAAGTCATTTAAGAACCGCGACCGGTGTCCTTCGTTAATAACATTACATGCATGCATTTCCGGCCAGGACTTGTTTCTTGCCGGCCGGGATGATTCATTTGCGCACGGCGGCAGTTTACGTAATTTGTAGATGAGTAAATTTTCTTGATTACACAATCTACTCAAGTTTACGTTTTCGTAAGGGGTAAAACTATAACTTGGACTTGTGCGCAATGTGGACTACTTATTATGAATGATAAGAGGTGCACAATGTGTGCATCTGGCCGAAAACATAAAAAAGAGGGTCGTACAACGAAAAAGGTAATATCATAAAGTCAAATATGACTCTTCCCTGTACATAGCACAAACAAGCTAACTCGTCGCACACAATGTTAATGACCATATATAAAAAGCGGACATGCTCAAGGTCGAGGTCTACTGAAAATCCCAATATCCAACCAATCAATTCCTTATCCGTACATTTCCAAACACCCAAACTCGATCGGCTACCTGCCCATTGAACATTTTTTTTTTACATACCAAACTATCTATTTCATACCATGAGTATCCCTAACAATCATCATGTTACCTTCAATCCAAATGCTCCATGGAGTAGATCCAAGCACAATCTTTCAAAGATGAGGCAAAAGTGTTGCGAGATTATACCAATAGCATAACAAAAAAAAAAAAACGATTAATTATGACATAATTCTGATATATATGCATCTCCGAATATACATATATTTGGATTGAATACCCAAGCAGCTGCATCCCTGGGCTATTCACTCATCGATCTGCAGTAAGCAAGAACACAAAACAACTAGCTAGCTTTATGTCTTGTTAACATACAACTAAATCAAAAGAAGACTATGTTCTCAATTGATAATTAATTCGATTAATAGTTGCGATATGCAATTTGTTAACCTAATTGATACTCTACTATATAACTAAAGTTATGGTTTGACGTGCAGTCCACACTGAGGCATGATGATTTGATTTAGGTTTTCCATATATGTGCAGTAGCCAGTAGCTAGGGTATCGGATACGCTCATTATGGTGTTTGCGGGTGATAAATATAATCATTAATTCCATAAAACGAACCACTTTATTCCAGTGTAAAGGCCAAATAATTAAGGTCATCAAAATAAATAAATTTACGCCAAAACAAGCTTAATTAGCTACTTTTCTGGATTAGTGGGTTTTATTATCTCGTACGTATCTAGGCACAATTCACGATATAGGCATATAGCTCGCTTGCAATGAGTGACCAAGATGTATACTTCAACTAGTTTGGAATTTGGAATAAAAACGAACACCATTCTATCATCTGCACATGGTAATTATTGATTAGAAAGCAAGCTTATATGATCACAATCAAACTTAATCTTGATCAACGTAATGTTGTTCAAAGGTGGACAACCTTTCTAATATATGTCACAGCGTGCTTTAATTTTGATCTAAGTAGTATCATACCGAAATTTGTAAAGTCGGGATGTTGGATTCGAACCACCTTTTAGTGTAGTCGTGGTATGGGTATTTTCTTTAGCAAAGCTAAAGAACAAAATAATTTTTTTCAATATTTAGATTAACTTTCATGTATTTTTGTTTTTATGATTTTAAATGGGTACACCAGTTATGTTAGAAAAGTGTTATTACCCTAAAGTAGAGTTGTGGTGTCAAGTACCATACATTTCAGTTATGTTTAAAGATTTACTCAAACCCACTAAAAATAGTCCCTGTAATTCATGTATTATCTTATCCAATTATGTTAAATTGTGCGGCTATCAATGAATATTGATATTTTTTGCATCCCGCTCAATTGACAATACCGAGACCGAGACGATATATTCACCATTTTCTTAAAAATCAGAAGTGTTTACGCATAAAAAATAGTATAACATAGACTCGTGTAAATATCAACCCTTGATAAATGGATACACTTTTATGTTGTGTTATTCCCCGATGCAATGAACATAAAATACATATTAGGAAGTTGTGCTATATATTATCTCTATTGGGAAAAATCCATTGAGGCATTGACCAGGTTAATATTACATAACCCAACCATTGTTATAAAAATGTTGCTCTGAAAATTTGGAAAGAAAGAAAAAAATTATATGACAACTATAGCCCAGAAATAAAAATTAACCCTTTTATAGATTCCACAAAAGAAGAAATTCATTGAATTTTTTTCTTCTTTTCCATAGTATTTATTTGTCAAATCTGAATACATTTGCACAGAAAATCTTCACACCGGAGCGGGGGGATAGTGACACTCGTCTTCCAAGTCAACCCGAATTCACATCCTTCAGAGACGATTCAACCAATTTTGGCTACAGATCTGCAACAACTCACTCGGTATCGTCTTTTTGTTCATTGACTAGTTTTTTCGTCTGCCTTTGTGTGTGTATGTAAATGAATTCGTTGTTGTTTAGATCGAGCGTCTTGTTCCAGATCTATGTTTTATTTTTGCGAGTTCGTCTTTGAGAACGCTAATTCATACAAAATACCCATTTGAAATTATTTATTTTATGAGATATCAATAGGTGAAAACGTCATTGGAACTATCTTAATTTTATTTTTTTAAATTGGGTATTAGTAGTGAGATCCATACCGTGGCCACTTTCCAAGCACCAAAAATAATATCCCCCTAGAAAACGCAGGCCAGACACACAACCTAACCTGATTAGGGTTAGATATATGCCCATAGATCCATCCGGACCTACATTTACCAATATGCCCCTCCCTTCCTATTCTATTCCCTATATCGCCTTTTTCAATTATGTAGCGTCCTTCCTTCTCATTACATGCCGGAAAAAACCTTAGGGTTTGTCCAACCCAAAAAGAGATCATCTCCTCCTCCTCCTCCAACCACTCGCCACTGTACCGCGTGTACTCACTCTCCCCTCCATTTCCCCTCTCTGGGCCCCACGCCGACGTGACACCATCGGGTCAATCCCCCATCCAAGCGCGTCGGATCTAAAAGTTGGCGTCTCCCTTTCCACTGTTTCCGCTAGGGTTTATTTTTTATTATTATTAATAATTTCCTTTTAATTAATTCTTCTCGGGGAAATGAAAGAAAAAAAGGGGAAAAAGGTGTAATGGAGATGTGATAAGAACCGCACATCCACGGCACGTGGTGAGAGTTCATTCGTTGAGACCTCTCTCTCAACCTTTCTGTCCTCGTTGAGTCCTTTCTCTCTCTAGAAGGGCGTTTAATTTATGACATGGCATGGGACGCTCGTTGGGGGAAAAAAAATAATAAAACCCTTTTTATTATTTTTATTTTAACAATTGCTTTCCTTGTTCTTTCAACTAATATTTAATAAATCCTAAAAATTATTTAATAATCGGGTATATTTCATTTTTGTAAAAATCACGACAGCAAAACCTGCTTTTTGTAAGGGACAAGAGAAAGATAAAAAAAAAGACACACTTTCTCTTTCTTTCTCTCTCTCTCTCTCTCTCTCACACACACACTTCTCCCTGAAGAATCGAAAACCTCTCTCCATCCCCTCTTCTCTTCCTCCTCTCCCCGCGCGCGCTTCTCTCTAGGGTTTGTCGGAACTTCGCACTCTAATTCTTCCCCGGCAGCTGCGAATCTCAGCCGCCGGAGGCTTCAGGAGGCGCCGCCGACGGATTCTGTATCGGGCAGTACCGGTTTCTCAGCTCGCCGTGGTGGATCGCCGCTCAAGTCTATGTAAAGGTCCTTCCTTTTCTTATCTTCTCTTTAAAAAATTTCTCTTGATGGCTAGCTACGGAAGATTGGGAGCTGGGGTTTTGATTTGGCGGGTGGGTTTTTTTGGATTCGGGTTTTCGGATTCCTTAGCTGAGTATATATCGGGCTCCCGGGGGTAAAGTATGGATTTTTTTTTTGTTTTCTCATTTCATTTCGTTTAATTTCATTTTCATTTCCACTGTTCATTTCGTACGCTTCTTCTAACTCGACGCTTAGACTTCTCGGTGGGTTTTGGAGTAAAAGAATTTACGGCGGTATTTCATGCAGTGTGAATTTATTTTTTGGGTTGGGTCGTGGGGGAGAGCTGATATTTCGGTTTTACTTTGGGCAGCTCATCAACTCGTTTGTTTGTTTGTTTGTTTTCGTTCGTTTTATGAGCTGGGAGAAAAACCCTAGTTTTGTTTCTTTGCTGTGATTCTGCTGCTTTGAGCGGTAAAGACTGGATTTTGATATGTGGGTTTGGTTTATGATTGAGGAAATTCGATAGCTTTATGGGTTTTGGAGGGAAATCTTAACCCTAATTAATGTCCCTTGTGTGTGCCTCTTCAAGACTCGCTTACCCTCATTTCTGCAGCTAAAAAAGTCAGGTGGGCAGTTACCTGGTTTGTTATTTCATGGGATTATAAATGCAAATGAAGTGGTTACTGAAGATCTAGGGTTTTGCTGAATTTGCTTGTTAGTTGCATGCTGTGTTTAACTTTCCCATGGTTTAAAGATGTCATTTTATGTGAGGAATTTGCCTCTTACTTACCCTTAGTGATTGCCTCTTAAATTATTTTCTCGTTATAGAACAATGTTATTAGCAAAGAATGCAATGCTGTGTAAGTAGTAGAGCCAATCCGAATGTTAATTTGGAAGGAATGCATGTCAGCTATTCATAAACCCTAGATTTGTTTGCTTGCTTGCTTGGTTGCTGTGCTTTCTGCTAAAGTTTTGTGTTATGCCTGTAGAGTGGTTGAAGACTTTGTGATCACATGGAGAGAAGTGATTGTAATATGGAGGAGGGGGAGAATCACCAAAGTAGCAAAGCTGATCATGTTGTTGTACAAAAGCGCATGGAGTCTCCCATTAAGATTAACTCTATATATATAGAGCTCACTGCTCCTAAGGAGAAGAATACTGCTGCAGAAAAGTGCCATCATTTTTCTATCCGGTAAGTAGAGATCATATGAAAGTTAATTACCTTCTTCTATACCGGCAGCACTGTATTATGCTTTGGTTTTGTATTGAAAGTGCTGTATGAAGTTCAAGTTATGCCTACTAGAATGACCCTATTTGATTACTAGGTGAGTTGGTTATTACCATGCATCAAGTTCCATAAGCTGCTGAACTTCTGTATATTGCAATCAAATCGTTCACAAGCCATACTTCCTTCAAGATAGTTCTTTTTGGTGACTGTTAACTTACAACATGCAGTTAACATCTAGCATTCCGTCGGTTAAAAAAACTCTCTTCATGCAGTTGGATTGATGAAATAGACTCCCTTTACTACTGTAGTATCAGATTCAAACTTGAAACTTAGCTGTGCTGCATGTAATGTTCATCAATGTCTATATTGAACTTGTGGCTTCTCTTTCCTTTGTCCAAAAGATAGAATCGTCCAACAAGAAAAAGTAATCATTGATTTGACTCTCTAGCAATCAGCTGATCTCTCTTTTTAAAAAAAAAATTGCAGTGGTTATGTATCTAAAGTCCGAGAGGAAGACATCAACAAGTGTTGGCCATTTGATTCATCAGTTGAAACCAATACTACAGATAATTGTGAGGATGATCATCAAGTGCTTCCTCCTTTAGATGAACGGCTATTTAGATACTGGCGTTGTGAGAACTGCTCTCAGAAAATTGGGCCTGCTGAGAACATACAGCATTCTGCCGTTCTTCTTAAGCATTCTAGTTCTGGGAAAAGAACTACTAGTTCTCCCATACAAACAGCAGTAATTGCTGCTCCAATGCTAATGTCGACACAGAAACCCTCGGGATTATATGATGTGGAAGGATCGAGTGAAAATGGTGCTGAGCATTTGCATGATGCCTCGAAACATGATCCTTTGAGCACTCATGATACTGAGAATAAGTTAATGAATTCCCCAGGAACATCAATTTCAGGTAATTGATCTCAGTGGTCTATGTTTGTCAGTGTCTACATGTATTTACTCATTGAATCGACCTTGTGGGTTCTTTTGTACTTTACACTTTCTCTTTTCCTCTCCAGGAGAAACTGTTCGATCAAAGCATCATATGGATGGGGAGACGGTTGTAACCGAAATTCCTCTGAGCAATATGCAGATTACTTTTCGTGCAGATGACTCGAGTAAGTCCCTTGACTTGTTGGCTTTTGGCCTTTGTATTCTGGCTGTGGATTATGTGGTCATTTCTGTGAAATTGGTTTTCTTTATGATCAGCTCAATTAATTTGTTTATACTCGCTTACAGCAGGCTGTGCGGATCATGAACTGGCTGCTGATGATCCCAGTAGGAACCTCGATTCGATGGTGATCAAGGATTCCGTCGGAACTTTTGAAACAGGAAAAGGAAACTCTAGGCATGAAAAACACGCAGGCCTGATAGTTCGTTTAAAATCTGTGGCTTCTGGTCAAGTTGCTGATGCATGCACTAGAGAGAAAGATGATAATGCTAGTGCTAAAGATACCATGGAAGCAGGTGATGGCTCTTCTGAAAATGCTGAGAAAACTGCAGTCAAGAATGATCATGATCTTCAGGCTTCTCGTCGTGATCATTCAAGTGGTCCTCGTCGTAGAAAAACTCGGAAGATCCGATTACTGACCGATCTGTTGTGTGGGAATGGAGTACACGGAAATGCTGATTCCCCCAAGGCTGCAGATTCTCTTCCCTCCATAAATGTCGTTCCTTATGCATCTGTAGAAGTTGATGATAAACCTTCTGGTTCCCTGAATGATCAAGTGGAAATGGAAGGAACTGGTTCTGCCAAAAAGACTTTGGTTCCATACAAGAAGCGAAAATTTCCTCGGGATGATCAGTGGAGCACCCCTGAGCCGAATCCTTCTTCAAGTAAGGTGAGCAAAGCCAGGATTTCGAAGAAAGCTGTTGATCATATTCCCAAGAAGAACAAAGCTTTGACTTCGGACTTAGTCGCAGATGTGCAAGACAAAATGGTCATAAAAAGTAGTAGAAAAGGCAATTCTAGCAAAGTTAGAGGCGAAACTAGTGCTATGACGGGTAAGAAGGTTTCAGACACTGAGGCTGGTTTCGATTCTGAATTAGTTGCAAATGTGAGAAACAAAATGGTCCAGCAAAGTAGTACAAAAAGCAACTCAAGCAAATCAAGAGTTGAAAAAAGTGGTGTCATGGGCAAGAAGAAAGATAAACATGTTGTGGTTGCTGATGAGCATCTGTCCTTGGCGCCAGCATCTCTGGAAAATTTTCCAACTGTAACCGAGCTTAGTATTGGAGATAATGCTGGTGTGGTGGCCGATGCCACTGGTCATGCTGCACCAAAGCGCATGGAGAATCCAAATGCCGCTAGAGAGATAGATCTTTTCCCTCTGCGTACTCAAGAGGTTGATGGAAAATCTAGTTCTGTTATGAATAAGCAAGCCAAGCCGGGTCAGTTTGGTGAAAATCTCAGCATGCTTCGAGATGATCTAGTAGCACAGGAAGCCGAGAGTACTATGGAAACTAGGCCTATGCATGGCCAAGGTAACCAAGATTTGTCCAGTGAAAGAGGGCTTAATCTTTCTCTTGACATTTACACAGCCACGCATCAACCTGAAAGGCTGTATAGTAGTGTCCATGGCAGGCAGAGCTCTTTGTCCGGTGAGCATATCAGAATGACCTCGAACGATCGGGTTACGAGGAAAGATGATCAGACACAATATGTTGGAATGTTTTCTTTGAGTCATGGATCTCAAATGCCTACATCTTTTGGTGGAGTACAAAGTGATGTGAGAAGGAAGCAACCCATGCATGGACTTCCTTTCCTTGGTGTGGCGCATAACTATAGCTCCCAAGTCGAGGTGGGAGGTATCCGTATGCAGAAAAAGGTAGTCATGATGTTTTCCTTTTGAATTTCACTTCTCTCAGATTGATGATTGAAGGAGCCTTGTATATCCTAATCTTCATGAATTGGTTTTGTATTGTTTCCTAGCTCCACGCATTCTGATTCCTGCTTATTGACCTTTCTTACATTTCCTTGTTTTATTATTTAAGATCTGTGATCCTCTCTTTGTTCCAGGACTTTGGCAGTACAAGTTCAAATGAGAAGTCCATTGGAATTCAGGCACATGCAGCTGGCAAAAGCAGGGATAGTGACCTGAGAGCTGGTAGTAGAGCATCTGAAGCTCCCGTTTCAGACGACATCCCTATGGAAATTGTTGAACTCATGGCAAAGAATCAGTATGAGAGGTGTCTTCCTGATGCTCAAGCCGGTAGCAGCAGGGGTCATCAGACATTGGATTTTGGTAACAGACATGTTGTGGCTACGCACCCGTTTTATCAGGAGGCTCTCAGAGAAAAGCTACTGACTCAAAATGGAACAAATGGAATGATTCAGTGGAGCGAGAAGCTAAGACCACCCGCCAAACAGAAGTCAGTTGTTCAGTTTCCTGATCAACCCCGGTTCCTCATAAACCAAGCAGAACAAAGTCGTCCCCCACCCTTGGGCTACGCAGAGTTCCTACAGCGCCAGAATCCATCAGGTGTGCCCCAAGATTCTGCTTCTTCCGCAGGGAGGCATATTGGTGGTCAACACTTGCAATGGTTACGCAACCTTTCAGCGAAGGGACCTCCGGTTCAGAATAGTTCCCACAACACAAGGTCATGGAGTGAAGAAGCAAATCGCTCGTGGCCAACTATGGCACCAAGTCATCACTTACCTTTCATGTTTAATGACCCCAAGTTGATGTCTCCTCCTCCTCCTCCTCCTCCAAGTATCATACGCAAGGCAACTCCAAACATGGATAATGACAATCAGAATGCTACAAGCTTTCAGAGACAAGGTAATAACAGCTTTGGTTCTGAAACACCAAGGAGGGGATCACATTTGGAGGCCTCACTTGCTCGTAGGAGTAACAACAACTTGATAGAGCTTAATCAGAAGCCAGTGGGGAACACAGACATATATTCCAACGAGTCAATTTCAGCTATGCATTTACTCAGCCTCATGGATGCAGGACGGAGATCCAATGGACAAGTGAATCAGGAAAGCCCGTCTACCTCTCGTGATCGACATTATTCAGAGATGAGAACTCTGCCATATGATTATGACGGTGAAAACCAATTCACAAGGGGTTTCCAGCAACATGGTTCAGCAAATTCCCAGAGAATCGGTTCTTCTGCTTCCTTTCAAATTGATAGTAGAGGTTTCAAGAAGGCCATCGATTTCAGCAGCCAAGTTTCTCAAGAGACAAGGAGGAGAAAAGAAGACTTTGATTCACTCGCAGAGAACAGGCATGGTAGTATCCCTCAGCATTCTGGATATAGTCCAGTTCATATTAGAAAGAAGATTCTTGGTTCTTCAGATTCTTCTTCTAAGGTTCCCTTTCAAATGCAAGAAGCATCAAAGCTCCCATCACCAATGGTATACAGATTAGAGGCGGGTTCTAAGACTAACACAACTGGTCAGCCCCAGAAACGCATCCTGGAGCTTCAAGAAACCTGCAGAATAAACAGGAATCCAGCTGATTTTAGCTACCCAGGGCCTGGAAACCCTTACATGATAGGTCCAAAAGATTTGAAATTCCTGGATGCAGATGGAGGTGAGCAAAAGCGCCAGAAGAAGCTTGTTGCTATAAGAGGACGTGGGAAACATCATCTGAACCTGTAGACAGGTTACTGATATTTTGATGCTGGTAATCAATATATGGTCACCTCTTGAATACTTTTCGCCAGCTTCTTCGTTCATATTTCTCTCTTTCTCTAACAATATGTTGTACTGGTTGCAGAAAGGTGAAAGCTTTGAACCTTGTGGCTGGCTGCCTTTAGCAAAATAAAGAACAAGGTACATACATGAGAAGATTTTGAAAGGAGTTATGAGAAATGAACTGGACAAATGAAGTATCATACTGGTTTTTTGCATGATCGAGGTCTTTTGATTAAAGGTGACCAAGCAATCATTCCTTGGGGGTGGGAAGTATCAGAAGAATTTGTATATAATCCCCACAAAGCAAAGGTCTTGACTTTAGGCAAAGTTTGTGGTTTTTGGAGTTTCTCTTCCTGAGATTCTTTTACAAGTATGGTGTGTGTGTGAGAGAGAGAGAACTGTAGTGTACCCTGCAGTGAGGTTTTTGGTTGAAAGAACCTCGCTTCGCTTCATCTCTGGGAAAAAGGGACTTCAATGAAGGCTTTGTGCTCAACCCCCTCTGAGCAGGAAACAGAGAGAAGAGGATGGTGTTATGTTTTGATGTTGGAAAACATTTAGAAGCTGACTTGTTTGAAGGAGCCAGCCATACAGAACAAAAAAACAGCTGTAGAATTTAGTCTTGATGTTGTTGTTGATGAAGATGTAGTTGTAATAGCAGCAGCAGCAGCAGCAGCCCAGTAGTATGTTATTATGCTGTCAGAAAGGCGAATAAGTTTGGAGGGAGTACTTTTAGTTGTAGCTAGCTAGCTAGCTGCTTGAAAAGCTTGTTAACATCAGGTTAATGATGATCTGAATGAATGTTTAATTCATCATAGTGAACCTTTTGCTATCACTTTGGTATTCTTCTCTTGCTTGCTTCTTATTTTCACTCCTTTTCCCCGGGAAATATATGATGATGTTCCACTCTTCTATTCAAGAATGGCTAAACGTCGCTCCAACTTTTACTGAATACCGCCCTAACTTTTGCCCTCGACCTTGTTGGCTTGCGCTCCAGACGTTTCAAATACCAAACGACCTTTTAGTACAATCCAATTCAGCCATTCCGGCATAAAACTATTGATGTTATTTAACCACTTAAAAAACGTCCAGAAGTGCTGAAAACCATTAATTTATAACCTCGAGATGTAGCCTCTTAATCCGATTGATCCGCAACTCAAACCCAGCAGGAAGCCAAGTTTATGATCATCATGATATTACAAACAAAGAAAGCTAAGGGCATATATGTATACTATTATTATGAGACATCCGCTCTCTTAGCTTGTCCTTGGGCATTCCAAGTATGTGCTGTTGTTCGATCAGTACTTGTATATAATTCTGACGCTGCTAGCTTTCTGATTTGCTCCTCCTCTCTGTGTATCTTCTTTACAAGCCGACCATTCCGCGAAGCATGCATGCACGCACGCGCGCAGTACTTGGGTTAGCGCTTAAATTTGATCGACCTGGCCGCCGTTCTTGTTTTCTCAGTAGCTATATATGCATATGATCGATGAGAAAAACATAAACATCATCCACACTACTGATCTCTAGCCATAAGCTCGAATGACATGCGTCGATAAATAGCTGCATGCATGCATGCTGGTGATCACTCCAGATTCCAAAAGAGACGAGCGAGTTACGTTATTGAACGGCACGTACACTTGGAATTAATGTGTTAATTATACTCCTAGTTGTATTACGACATGGAAAGGTTACCATGCATAAAACCCTATATACTGTAACGTGTCGTGCGTTGAGGTTTTAAGCAGTTCATACTAGTGTCATCCTGATGGTATCACGTTTTTTTGTTTGTGTTCTTGCGTTTCGTTTCATATTTTGACATGGTATCGGAGTATTCTGTGGCCAAAAGGTCATGTGTTCGAATCTTGGTGATCTCCATTTGCGAAGCACATGATATTTTTGTATTCATACCCGTGCAAACGAAAGCCCTTATGAGTTGACTGGCATTCATTTGAGACGGTGTGTGTTAGTGAGCGGCATAAGATCCATTATTGAACCTCTCCCAACAACTCGAGTTATTGGGATCAACAGGTTCTTGACAAAGCCACCTCCGAAACCAACTCTGTTTTCGGGTACGTGGCGTTGCGTTGAGGTTTAAATATATTGTAACGCGCCGTGCGTCAAGGTTTAAATATTTATTATTATATTCTAGTATCTTTATTCTTCTTCTTGATATTCGTTTACTATTTTTACTATTTTATTGAAAAAATTTGATCAGTCATTCTACTAATAATATGTTTAGAAGGTTTTATAATTATTATATTAGATAAAACTTGTCGAAATATAGTTTTGGATGTTTTCAAAATTTTTTGGGTATCAATAAGTAATTAAAAAGTTGGGTTGGATGGAAAAGTAGACGGATGCACATTTTGACGACTTTAATGATACCCGACATGCTATTCATATTTAAATGATATGTCTACTCCAATTCTCAAACTTAAATGACACCCGAGATATTTTTTTCCGACATCAATGATGATCCTTTGGCAAACCGATCGAGAAGATAATTCCTTATCCCTAAACACTCTTTGGTTCCGTACCAACCAAATAAACCATATATGGTTGCATGTGGCATCATATTCTTGCACAATTTGAACCGTGATGTACAATTAGCACCTTTCCAAGCCAACAAAAATGATTTAGGATTCTCCGGGAACATTTAGATTATAAGAAGCTACAACAACATATTCTCAAATAAAAATAAATAATTACTAATTTTGCATGATTTTGACGATCAAAATCATACTAAAATAAATTTTTTGATTTAGTCTAATTAAATGCAATACAGTTCAATTAGATATTCATCGCTACCTAACTCATAAGACATAACAATTATCTAGTAGTTATTATTCAGCCAATCCATAAATGATACTGGAAGTTCTTGTTGTGTTTTATTTATTTTGTATAGATATTAAATTGGTTTGGTGGAGCATTTATTAACCCATAACCAGTTAACCACCCAAGAGCCCAAAACACAATGAAGTTAAAGTCCAAGTCAGGCCCGTGAAATTAAAGTCCATCAACACCCACTTTTCCCCTGAGCCTTCCCACCACCGTCTCCGCTTGGATCCTCACCGCCGGCCATTTTCTTCTTCTTTCTCCTTCTCTCACGCCCACTCCCTCTCCCTGTTACGACTAACTCAACCTTACCGCGAACCGGCACCGGCGCACACCCGTTCATTCCGGCACTCATTACCTCATCCCCCGACCTCCACATTCATTAGTTCACCAACCGTATGAGGAAATGCCTCAAAGAAGTAGCTGAAATCGGCGACGGCTGATTCCGGCAGCTGGGTTGGGCTTGGATCCTTCCTTCCGGCGGGTAGTTAGTTGGTCAAGGTTGAGCAACTTTTCCCCCTTTAGTAAAACCGGTTTGTGGCTTTCTGTTCTCTGAATCGTTTCATTCCAGAACGAACTGATCACTCTCTCACTGTGCTGTTTAAGAAAGGGTTTCGTCCCTGTTTCCCACCTTTGAATTAATTGTCGCTTCGACTGGTTAGGGTTAGTATATTCTCATGGTCATGTGTGTACCATAATGATAAGCTGGTTTGGTTAAGTAAATGCCTAAATGGTATAAGATGAACTGCTGGGATTCCTAATGTTAATGGCTGAATTAAGTATGTGATTAGGAATGCGCATAAGCGAATGGCATAAAATTCTGTTTTGGACCTGTAACAAAATCCCCCACTTTGACTTTGTATCTTGCCTTGCTGTTTGTCTTTCTTTTGTCTGCTGGAGAGCTCTGCTTTTCCTCTTTTCTGTTCACATTTGCAGCAAAGAGTTTATCTTTGTGATGGGGATGTGTGGTGATGATGATTAAAGTTTCAGGCATTCAACTCTGTTTGATCATTATAGACTGTTGGAAGGAGGAAGAAGATATGATGGGGAACTTCAAGAAGAAGAGACCCAAGCTTAGGAGCCATGATGTGGAAGAGGAAGAAGAACAAATTGACAGACTGAGCGATCTCCCGGACAGCATTCTGCACAGCATTCTCTCCTTCCTCGACAGCAAATCCTCAGTTCAAACAAGCATTCTGTCAAGGACATGGAGATGCTTGTGGAAAGCAGTTCCTGCACTCAATTTCAACAGACGCTCCTTCCGTAAGGAATCAAGTTTCAGAGATTACGTGGAGAAGTTTCTATCTCTTCGGTTCCGCTCTGCCGCTGTGGAGAGCATTACCTTTGACTTTGGACCAGAGTTATTGTGGCAACGAAGACGCTTAGAGTTGTTTGATAGTGTCATGAGGTATGTTACTGCAGTGCAAGGTGGCCAGCTTCACAATTTGTCCATCAGCTGTACCGATGGTCGTTTCAGTTCCATAGTTGCCTCCATCACGGCCTGTCTTCGTCATGAATCACTCAAGACACTCAAGTTGGAAGGATTTTTAATTGCGGCCACTGCATTGTCTTCGCCGGGCTTTAAGTGGCTGACAACCCTGGAGCTGCATGAATGCTATTTGACGAATTCTCGTTCAAGCCAACGATCTAATAGTGTTGATCCTGCAACTAATGTCCCATCTTGTCTGAACTCCTTGAAACTAATTGACTGCTCGTCAAAAGGTTGCTTAGTAGTATCGGCACCCCAACTGCTGGACCTGGAAATCACATGCTTTAGCACATACCTCTTCGATGGAGCTGAAGTGTTTGCTCCAAAGCTGAAATCTTTCCGTCTTTGCTGTAGTATGTACTATTTGCTAGACCTCCATAGGTTGGACTTCCCTTCTTTGGATCATGCAGACATTCGCTTTTGGCCCGAAGACTGGTATTCGAAGGACAACCCTATACTATCTGAAGATTTCAGTCGTGAATATATGAAGTTATTGCCTGCTTTGCACAATGCTGAGTCTCTCAACTTTCATTTTGGCAAGGTACGCGGGTTCTGCTGCAAGGCATAATTCATTTAGGATATGTAAATAAACCACTTTGCTTCATACTAACAACGTATCCAAAGTCATTCCTTGACAGCTTTTCCATTTGATTGTGTTTCTTAGAAGCCGGAGTGGATCTATAGCGTACCTTGGGAAGATCACCACTTTCCCTTCAGTAGAATCAAGCTGTTACTGGAATCGGAAGCCTCTCCTTTTACTAGATTGAAGACACTGCGTATGCAGTATCCTGAAGAGCCGCCGAGTATACCAGATCAAGTGTTGCGTTATTTTTTCAATGGCTCTTCTAATATAGGGCTGAGGACTATTATCATGGAGCAGAAGTCGGAATAACTCTTAACAAATCATATTATTATGTAATTTTGAGATGTTGTCTAGATAAGAGATTATCCAGATGGATGTATGAATGGTCATGGCGCCGCATAGTTAAACAATACCCAAAATCTATCTTATGGTTGATTTCGGTAGTGTACTAAAACTTGCTGGGAATCATTCAAGTGTTCTGTACCATATGCACAACGACTAGGCAATAACTGAAAATCAGGTATCCTTCCAAAAAGAAGACTGGGAATGCCCTAAAAAACGGCGGGGTAACTCCTCCCCCTAGGTCCTATAATTTATCGAACTTGCAACATGATGAGTAAGAGTTTATGAGAGATTGAATAGCAAAGTAGAAAAACTCTATAGAAATTAGAATGTAATCTACAAAAACTTATACAGTCTGAGAGGTAATGTCCTACAAGTTTAGCCTACTCAAAACGGTGAGGTGAATGTAAAGGGACGTGGAAACCACAGGTTTTCACAGGATGGAGAGCATTCTATATCCTTTTCACCTCCACTTGTCTCGGAGTTCTTTCTTCTCCGATAGAATCCATGTTATGAAGATGGCGGCCACTAGGGCGACAATGGTCAAGAGCAAGAGCGCGTAGCTGAAGTCTTCTGTGAGAGAGTCGTAGGTCCTTGATGGTGCGAACCGGGTGAAGAAGAGGTCAACTCCATAAGCAAAAATGAGAGTGGTTGACTCCAGCTTGGCCGGTACGGTTTCAATGCCTCTCAGGCCTTCCACTTTAAGGGCATGTGTAACATATGACTGCAAAAAGTTCGGGTGCGGAAAAATATGAGCACAAGGTAAGCAGCAGCAGAAAGCATGTAAAATAGAGGGTGCATGGCCCTGCTGCACTGAAAATTAGCAGATAACAAACAAAGGGAAAATGAGGAACAGTCGAATCAAAGTGCATTTGGTCCAACCTGGTTGAGTCCTGTTTGGTGTTTAGATTAAATCCACACTTTTCTTTATTTTAAGATGATTTATAGAATCAAACTTATACTCGGTACAGTCCAAATATACAATGTCAACTGAATAGTTGCAGACCCATACAGTATAGTTCGAGTTTTGAGAGAAGTAGAGGCAGCTTACCTGAGGGATGATGGGCAGCGAATCGGCGAGAGGAATAATTCCTTCCTCTTTTTCTGCTTGCGTGGGGTTGACAGATCTACGAGGATCCAAGAATCGTTTATCGAGTGCCAAAACCTGCAGTTGAGTTACGTAAGTTGCTGCAGCTTGCATACAGTGGAACAAAAACTCATATTGACATCGGTTTCTAGTTTGACTAACCTGGTCGCCAACTGTACCGATAAGTAGCTGCTTCGAAGTTATGCCCTTTGCAGTTGATGTAACTGCTATTGATTTTACGGAATGGGTAAAGAAGTAAGACTGTGACCTTGTCATGACCTCTGGCCGAGAATACGAAGATACAGGGGAAGTCAGATTATGCTTCCCCAGGATAAGCTTCCAAACATCTTTGTTGTCCTATAATTACCGGGGGAAACACAATGAGAGCCCTAGTAGAATATCAGCATCAAATCAACAATCAACAAAACAGTAAAATATTATTATGTACGTACCGCCCGAGACTGATCATAAATTTCAATCACTGACATCTCGTATCTGTGTGCTCTGAGATTGAAGTAGTGATAAATTACCCAGTTTTCACTGACAACCTGCAGATGTTGAGAAGTGATTAGACTAGCCGACTAGGAGTGTTTCTGTTTTTGCTAAAAAACAATTAATTTTTTAGTGAGTGGCTTTTACGTTTTCGATAATTTGAAGGTTTTCTGGCGATTGTTTCAAAAAGTTAAAAAGAGTTAGTTATAAGTTAGCCTAAATAAACAAAGCCTGTAACTTCCCTTCCATTCCAACAGCAGGAAAAGATGCAGAAACATACCGCCTCTACTGGACCTTGGGCCCCATGATGAGTCATTCGTTGCAATATGCGGCCTGTTATTGTATCAATAAGGTAGACAATCAACCATGACTCCTCTGGGGTCGATGAGCCAATATCACCACTGGCTTTCGGTGCAACAGTTGCAACAAAGAGTAAATTTTTCGATATATATTTGAACATTGCATCTTGATCTGCTATGACCTTTGCTTGGGTATGAACAACCTACGGACACCCAAAGAAAGTTTCCATTTACAGCCCACATACAGACATATATCATCTATGCATGAAGAAGCTGAATAGGAGAAATATACCTCATTCGATTTTCTGGCTGAAGATTTGATTATCTTTTCCGATTCCGAGGGGAAGACGATCGACCATATACTTCTAGTGTCAAAAGAATAGTTATCGGAAGCCTTTTCTTTTAGAGCATACCCCTTAATAATACCTGTCTCAGCTTCAACTGAATACCAGTAAACATTTGACAACTCAGGTCTGAAAATACTGAGAGCATCAGAGGTCTTGGGGTACAAATGAGCTTGCCCACTAGCATCTATTAGAAGATGTAGGCGTTGTTCAGTTGAATCCATGAATGGCAGAGGAATGACTTGCACAACAGAATGGTCAAGGCTTGCTGAACTAAGCTCCTTTCCAGTGTAGGTATCAACAAAAGAAAGTAGACCTAGAGCATCATCACTCGGTCCACATCGGCTGACAACAAGAACAGATGGATTCTCGTCCAGCGCATGGTGATGAGGAACATGCCAGGGGAACAGATTGAGCCCAGTTGGGGCCTCGCATGTTGCTGATTGGCGTAGAGAGTTCAGTAACCGAGACCAGATGATCCTACCATCTCCAGTGTGCAAGGCAAATATTTTCCCTGCTTTTGTGAGCACAATGAGAAGCTTCCGGAAACCATTATGGTCTCTGGTCATCTTGCTCTTCCCAGAGGCTTTCAACCTTAAGGCTTGTATGGCAGCCATATCATCAGGACTTGCAAGCATTAGTGTTCCTTTCAGCTTAAGCACATGTCCCTAGCAACAGCAACAACAGCAAGAGAATCATCAGAATCCCAAAAATCCAAAGAGGACCCACGAGGCAAATCATTGAAGTTGTTTTCTGATAAGGATGGTTGTTGGCCACATTACCCCTAGGCTAACCCCTAGGAGTTTAACCTTTGATGTTATTACCATGAAAATTATAGTAAATAGCTTTCAGGAAGATATTCAAAAGTCATACACCATTGCTATGATACACCAAACAGGAGGACTTTCAAAATCTCTACTTCTACGAATAATCAGCCACTATAAATGCTTCTTCATATGAGACTGGAGCTCCATCATCAATCAGATCAATAACTAAGTATCGGCCTTATAGACAAGGAGAGAAGAAGACTTCTACTGGAGGATAAAAGTAGACAAATGCGGAAAAATCTCATTTGTTATCTCATTCAGGCCCCTCAGACTCAAAGAAGACAAGAACGATAAATTAGCTTTAATAATAATATAGAAAACTACTGGAACCTCAATGGCGTAAATATGGCAAATTTCTAAAATCAGCATTTTAACTCGAGAATAGCGTCTTAGCTTTCGGAAAAGAACCATTCTAGATCATACCTGAAGCCACTCAAAGAGGGTCTCCTCGACTTTAGCAACTGAAACACCTTTCTTTTCAACAGGAAGTTCTGACGTTTTAACATCTATCACTGAAGCCAGAGCGTCCTCCCTACTCCAAACAATAGCACCTTGTTGTACCAGCAAAAGAGAATGATCTTCCATGACAATCAGTGCCCTGAATCCATGGGACCTGTCTGTCCGGATGTAGTTGTTTATGAACACCTTCTTGACAGACCCTCTTTCTTGGTCCATCTTAACGCTCTCCTTAAGCAAATCATGGTTCCAGTCTGCACCAAGCTTCACTGTTAAGTCAATATCAGTGCTTCTACTGTGCACAAATGCAAAAGCTTGCCGATCCTCTGAAATTGCCAGAAGATCGCTAACTGCAGTCGCATAGTCGACTTTATTTACAACCTCCAACTTTCCTTCAACCGTCACTCTTACAAATAAAGTAAGTGTACCAGTTTTCACGGAAAACAGTCCTTCAAGTTTTGAAGCCGATATGATTGCCTTCCCGACAAAGTCCTCAATGAGGGTGGAAACAGGTGTTTGGTTAAATGTAACTTTTCCATCATGGAAACTAATAGTTGTCACAGTTGAACCAGCAGAATCCATCACTACAAGTGTGTTGCTCGAAACTAAAGCAGCTTGCCCAGAATAACCTCCAGGAATAGCTGCACTATCATGCTTTATAAGCTCTCCACTCTTGGCATCGATTGTGTATGAATCAAACTGGGATGAACCAACAAACCCGACCAAATGAATAACATCACTGTCAGAGGCCTGAATCATGTATTGAATTTCAAAACTGCAAACACAGAGATAGGAGTCAGAGACGGCACAATGGTTACAACCAGGACGATAGAAAGCAAAATACAGTGCACGAGATTTCAAATTGGACGAACCTATCTGCCTCCAAATCCTTCTTCCAGAGCGTGTCGCCATGAATGGCTGAAATGGCATGAATACATCCTTTACCAAAAGCAAGGATTACATTGTCCTTGTCGACTCTCAAGCTAGCCTGAAGAACAAGCACCTTGGTTAAAAATCAGTCCTTACAGAAGAATATAAAAAGCAAAAGCTTAAATTTTGTGATTCACCGATTTTTCTTTGCCAACTATGTTGTTTATGGCCCTGTCAGTCCAAGCGGTTATGGCATTCTAGAATAACATAGTGTGCTAAACTAAGAACCAATGATAGTGGACAGAAGAAAGCAGATAGTAAACAGAGGAAAGCAGAACCATGTAATGACACCATTATATTAAGGTAGTTTCTAAATGAAAGATGAAACAGAGAGAGAGAGGCACCACCAAAATAAAAGTATTCAATATTCATGACAATAGACCACTCTGCTTTTCATTGAAAGGCAATTTAATGACAGTAGCATGTTATCAATATGGAGAAGATAGCAGAACTGAAAGATACGTAAATATTAGAAAGACATAGCAGCAATATGAACTTCATTTACTGACCGGTACCAACAATGATGACTTTGAGGAATATGGACCTTGAAGAAATGATTCCCACACCATTTGTCCATCTGGTAGGTTCCATGCTCTCAAAATACTGCCCTCAGATGAAAGGGTGATGACATCTGAAACAATGAAAGAAGCCTTTGCTCGATTAGCAATTCACCCCTACAGGGTACAACCGTACTAGTATTCGAGAGAAAAGATGGGCAGATACATAGTACAAATACAACTAAATATTCCCATCCACAAAAGCATAAATATTATCATCCCCGCTTTCAAAAGGGAAAAAAGTACATCCAGCATTGGAAACAAATACTAAAAGAAGGCACCAAAATCATGGAAGCACGACTCACATTTACCCATGGCAATATCAATTCCATCAATAGCATCATTGGGTCCAAGAACATGCCTCCAGACTGCAGCAAAACAGATAAAAGAACTTCTATTAATCCAGCCACTTGACAGGCATTGACCACAAACTTAAAGTTGAGGTCCAGAAGAACTTACAAATCTCGCCATGTCTAAGATCCAAAGAGGCAATCACATTCTCTTCGGTAGAAACCACGACTCGCTTTCGACCAGTTTTCTGCGTGTGAAAGACGGCGTCTTTCACCTTCCCTATGTACTTCTGATGCCTGCATTGATCGCCCAAATTAGAAAAAAAATCTCAACTACACAACTGAACACTTATTCCCCTGCTCCTTCAATCCATTGCTCGGAACAAACGCAAGCAATTCAGAGTTATGGCGATTATGAGATACTGAAGCAGTAAAAGCTCCAAATTAATCCGATTTCTATAGTTTGATCAATGATTGAGCAAGAACAATTAACTCCGATTATTTGCTTCTATTGCTGAACAAACAGCAGGTTTAGCTTAAGGGGCGATAAAGTGAACTGAGCTGAAAAAGGGGAGTGAGAATTGGGGACTAACCAGTCAGCGAGGCCAACTTGATCTTCGTAAAGAGAGAAGGCAGGAGCTGTTAAGGATAAAAGCGACAGGAGAAGAAGAAAAACCCTAAGCATCGTGGCCATGGCAGAGGAGAAGTCTTTTCCGAGTGTTTTCTTCTCTCGCCTGGTCTCGTCGATGAGTGTGACGAGATAGACAGATCTGGAAGGGGACGACGAAGGGTTTTTATGCATAAGATTTATTTATTTTGGAATTAATTTACACAGACCGACGCCGGCGTTCCTCTCTTCTTATTTTCCGTTCTGGACTTCTGGCTCAGTAATTTAACGACAGTTTCGTTTAATTTAGATAATATTAAAAATTGTGAAAACAAAAACAAGAATACGTCAACATGTCCGAGTGGTTAAGGAGACAGACTCGAAATCTGTTGGGCTTTGCCTGCGCAGGTTCGAATCCTGCTGTTGACGTTTTTCCAATTGGTTGCTTTTTTTTAGGTTTAATGATGGATTAGTTGTCGTTTGCTTCGTGGATTTGGATGATAGATTTGTTACCTAAATCCATTCCATCATGAATTTAAAGAAAATTCATCGTTTGCTTGCATTTCTTTTAGTGACCAAATTCGTGGACCCCACGAATTTGTAAATTTCACATATTAATGTGGGATTTGTAACATGCCATAAATCCATAATGAAATTTTATTCATATACCCTCATGAACTTTTAAAATTCCAAGTTTGTCCTCGCATTTACCCATTGTACATTATAAACAATCAATTAATTATTAAACGATATCAATGAATCTAAAAGTGATTCGATTTATCAGTTTATCTTGTTCTGCTTCCCTTCTCTACACGAATCCCTCTCAATTCTCCTTAAATCTCACTCCCTCTTTCTTTCTAGTACTAATCTCTATCTCTTATCGAACTTTGTTAGATGGTGCTTTATAACATAATATCAGAACTAGTTTGATGTATCCAAATTTCCACAAATCTAAGCACAATATATAATAACCTAATACAAAATATAAATCTTTGAGTTAGATTTCATTTGACTTTAAAAAAAAACTTGCTTGATTGATTCCTCCAGGCAAAGAATCCGACATAGATAGAGAAGAAGTGCAGCTCACTTCATTCTCTTCGAATCCCTCCCCTCCGACAAAGGAATCCTGACAGCCAAACCAGCCTTCTTACATAGACGTTCGTCTTATGGTGCGGAGGATTCCTCTTCCTTACCACCTCGTCGCCTCTAATTTCTCCATTCAAATCACGATTCGATGATAGCAAACGTGGACCTAATAACGGCGGCGTTGCTCCACGGGGCATTCATCGCCGCCGTCCTCACAGCGGCAAGCTTCATCCTCCTCTTCGCACTCTCGCTGGCCACCTTCGTCGCCCTCTTCTCCATCCCGATCGTCGACCTCCACGACGCCGTTTCGTTCCTCTCCGGCCACTACCTCGAGTCCGTCGTTCAGCCCAACATCCACCTGGCTTCCTTTCTCGCCCTCTACTCCTCGCTCGGCTACGCCATCGAGCTCCACTCCGCCGCCGCCTCCACTCCTCTCTACCGCCGGCTCCGGAGATTTGTGACCTCGCCGGCGGCTCCGTCGGTGCGTCGTCTTGTTGGTATTGTCCAACGGATCATCATGTAGCGCCATGTAATACATAATTAGTACTTTGATAAAATACATAATTAATTTAGTACCGATCTCTGATAATTATCTCTTTGCGTTAGGTTGCCAATTGTACGTAACTAACTAATTCATGGCTTTTAGTTGGTAATTAATTTCTGATAATTACCTGTTATGTGGAATAACATTTTCCCCAACAATTGGACTGATTTGAAACCCGAGTCAAATATAATTTTTTATTTTGCCACAAATTGATAAGGATAAGTCCAGTGCTGGAGACGTAGCAAACATGAAAATTAGTTAAATAATAAAATCCCCAACCCCAACAAAATGCAAAACGCACGTGGCAGCCAACTGAAAGCCAAGACTGCCCCATGCAACCACATCAGCTAACCAAGCAAGCTTCCCATTCCTCAATACTAGGGCTGCTATACGGTCCGGTCCGGTTAAATTTGTCTAAATTGATTCGATTCAGTCCGGTCTTTTTGAAAATACAAGGACCAAATATTGAATTGATTACAGTTCGGTCTTGATCCAGTCCGGTCTTGACCTGGTCCGATCCCAATTTGGTCTTCATTTTATATTGAGCTTGTAGAAATTTGAGTGGCCTAAGGCGTGAAAGAGTGAGGAGTTGGTTAAGTTTTGTACTAAGTGCAAAGGTTTGTGACCGTTTATGCAAATTACCATTAAGTTTTGAGTGTTGAGCTCTCTTATCCGATCTTTATCCAGTTTTCGATCCGGTCCCGAACGGTTTTTTACCTCAAATCTAAGTCCAAAGATTGGATTGGATTGGATTGTTACTATTTTGTCCCGGTCCGATCTCGGTTCGAATTGTACGATCCGATTTCAAGTAAAATCAAAAAACCCGGACCAAATAGCCAGCACTACTCAATACACATCTCTCCTCCCCCGCCGCTTTATATAAACAAACAAATAAACCCCTCCCAACAATCTCTACTCCTCACAAAATCATCCATCTATTTCCAGCTGAAAGATCCATGTCTACTTCTTCTTCTTCCGATGAGCACTACTCGGCCACACACGTCGGCGGCCACTCCCACTCCCGCCAGAGGAGGAGGCGGCGGTCCGTGAGGCGGGCGGTGAAGTTGCTGACGGCGGCCACCATGTGCACGGCCTTCGCGCTGCTGTTCGGGTTGACGGTCACGGCGACGGTGGTGGGGCTGGTTGTGGCCACCCCGCTACTGGTCATATTCAGCCCCGTGCTGGTCCCCGCCGTGCTGGCAGCGGCGGTGGTGGGGGCGGGGTTCTTGGTCTCCGGCGGGTGCGGGATGGCGGCGGCGGGGGCGCTGGTTTGGGTTTACGCTTACGTCACGGGGAGGCGGCCGCCCGGTACGGAGCGGCTGGAGGGCTACTACGGCAGCTGGCCGGCGCCCAAGGATAAGGCTTTGGATGGGTACGTTGATCGTCATGATGACGCCACGACCAATCATCTTCCTCCAGCTGGAGCTGATTAATCGTCGTCATCCTCCTGACCTGATCCATCGTCTCTTCTTAATTAATCAGTACCGATCCATGATTATTACATATCGGATTAAAAGACTTGAGTACTCTGCTGTAACGTCTTTGGATGGCTTGGCTTTTTTCTTCTGCTGTTAGGGCGGTTTGCTGTATGATTAACTAAGTTAAGTACTTAGTGTGTTGCATGTTTTCAATTAATTAGGCTGCCATGTTGCACGTGTTTTGTATGAGCACATATTGGTGTCCCTCTTTCGCATCCTACCTTTGCCGTTGATACAAAATCGTTTTTATCCAAGACGTAAATGATGCCTACCCCATTCGGTTAACCAAACCGAGAACTAGTAGAAACGAAACAAAGCTCGAATTAGTGATCTGCCCAAAATCAAGACAGTTAAAAGAGCTTATCGATATACAGTCAATCCATGACTCCTTAACGTTTTCGGTTTCGGTCCGGAAAATAGGAAACGAAATCATTGATTGCATTAAGAGCTTGTCTACTTTTATCGGTTTATTAACGATTTCCGATTTAAGCGAAATCGTAAAGAAAAACCGATAAACCGTTTCGATTAAAACCAAAAAACCAAACCACTACCCCTATTCACAACATTGATCAGGAACAAGAGCAGTACTGTCTATGAAACAAAGTAAGAAGTTCAAAACCCTAAACATGCATATAGGGGAAAAAAATAAAAAACCAGATGCCCTTCTGCAGTATATATTTGAAGGTTCCCTCTCTCACTCTCTCTCCCTCTCCCTCTCCCTCTCTCTAAACAACAATCATGTACAGAAAGTGATTATTATAGCCAGGCCAGGACCAAAACTTATGAGGGAGGACCAAAACGCCAAGGAATACATGTAATCAAAGTGAAACAAACATATGAAGAAGCAAGAAGATGCAAGTTATTACCAAACTACTTGGTAAAACAACAGAAGCTGATCGAGGGAATGAAGAGAAAAAACCCAGAAAAGCTATAACAAAAAAGAATAGGAAAGCAGTCACCGATGGAGATGTCACATACTACCCCCTGGGGTTTTCGCCGGCTTGAACTTGGTAAGGTCGACCAGATCACCAAACAGCTTATCTTCCGGCTTTGATGGCTTTGGGACCATAGACGAAGAGTTCGATGAAGGTAGCCCGTAAGAAGACGAGCTTCTCAAGCTGCTGTCGTCTCTCACCGACATTCCATACATTTTCTGCTCTAGGTACCGCTGCTGTTGAGGTGTCAGCTGAAGTTGCTGCGGTTGCTGTCCGTACATACCACCACCATATCCTCCATATCCTGCCATTTGGTTGCTATACATCTGCTGCTGTTGCTGTTGCTGTAGCTGTAGCTGCTGCTGCTGCTGCAGCTGCTGTTGCTGTTGAGGATACATTGGTAACTGTGGGGCCATTCCCATCCCAATGTACTGCCCCCCTCCGGCTTGCTGGGGATACTGCATTCCAAAATATGGGTTGCCCTGTCCTCCAGCTGCCGAATTGCTCATGGGTGACATCGGGGCGCTTGTAACTGGTTGGATATAGATTCCCACTCCCGGATCGGTTCCCATTGGTCCCATCGGGTGCATAGGGTTGGTCAGTGGCTGACTGTGGGTGACGACCACCTGAGTGACTTGCATGGGCTGTGATGGGTATTGAGATCCTGCTACTGGGCTTCCAATGCCATCTGCTGCTAGCTGAGCTTCCCATGGTGGTGGAGGTAGCGAGCCGTCGGGTTTTGAACCTTTTTTCAACGCCCGACCAACATGGATTAGCAGTTTATATATATATCAATACTTTAGAGCATGAAAGTTCGGCATAAAACATTTTCCTCTCTTCCCTCATGGCCGTAAAGTGGTCAGCTGGCAATCACCTAGTACGTACCGATGGCAGAAAACATGAAGGAACGTTCACTGGGGGATAGGTTTTGATTTTGGTTAGCCAAAGCCAGGAAAACTTTTTAAACCAAGAAAACTCGAACTTTTTAAACCAAAACAAAATAGAATTCTGATTTTACCGAAACTAAAACCAATATTTCCATTCCTAAAATCAACAACCTAAACCAAATAACTCGTTGGTTTCGGATTAACCAAAAACTACAAGACCATTTTCCCACCCTTAAAACCAACAGAAAGATGATGAAGTGATGACATTAACACAAGTACGTTATTATTATACAAAAACAAGAAACATACCGTAAACTGGAGAGACGGGCTGTTGAGGCTGCTGGGTGAGCTGTCCATTCCAGGCAGGGACAGCACCTTGCATGAATGGTGATCCCATATTCGGCGTGGTTCCATTAGGGTACATCGCAGGTTGTTCTGGAGGTTGGAAATTTTGCTGTGGTTGGAATTGCTGGGTCATAGTGTTATTTTGACCATCGAATGGAGTAGGCTGCATGTTAGCATTGGCAGGATTGTTTGCAACACCGTTTGGTTGATTGTCGGAGAACATGTCGAACAGGACAAGTGCATTCTGCTGAGAAGGAGAAGTAGTGGCCTGTGTTTCACCTACAGGAACAAGAGCAAGTGATGTGTCACCAGCCTTTGGGGAACTGAAGTCATCACCACTTAACAGATCCATCTTAGGATTGGCTGCTGTTGATGGAGTGGCTGGACCATTGCTCGTGGGGGGTGCAGGAAGCAATAGCTGGTTCAGTGGCTGATTGGCTCCACTTGAACTCGAAGGAGATCTGCAGAAAGACAGTGCTGATTAATGTGTGCTTGTCGGGTCTAAAATTGAGATCCTATAACTTAAATTGAAAATAACAGTTCAAACAAACACAAATTTCCAATACAACTTCATAGAAGAACTTTTATGGAGGGTCCCAAAAATTATTAAATTTTAGAAGTACATTATGCTGCATAGGACATGGTAACACCTGTCTGAATAAAGAATCACTTACTCCTGATTAGACTGTTTGGCACCCGCAACATCAACTAGAGGACCATCAACATCAACTAGACTCCCACTAGGTTGAGTATCCGTCTTTGGCTTATCCTTCGGAAGAACAGTTCCTGAAGAAATGGCTTCATGTTTGGCTAAAACACGCTGCAAGTCATCATTAAGTGCCAAACCTTGACATAGCAGTGATTCATCCCTGGAAATAGGAAAACCATCTCAAACAAACAGCATTCACGCCCAAATAGAGATACCCTATGTCACAGTACTGATCAGTAATCGTTCAGCACCATGCATACAGCTTTAACATGGTGTCCTATAACCCAGTTGAGACAATAATAAAAGGTGACTCGCGAACCTCTCCTAAGTCCTAACTCCTATCTCACTGCATATATTTCAGCTCTATAGTAACAGAAGCAACTTTGCAAAATACACAAGCTTGTAAAAGAAAGTAAGGTATGAGTAGAAGAAATGGACTAGGATAGCCAAAAAAAAATTATGAATTATTAGCAGACCCAACATTAGTCATCAAAATGAGCAGAAGTCAAGATGGTGGAAAGATCAATTAATAAATATTTCACTTAATCGAAGTGATACAAACAGAAGCTTACGCTGTCGAATTAACAAGGTGTACCACTCTTTGCTTGTATGTGCGACACTGATCCACTAGGTCAACTATGACTTCCTGCCTTAGACCCTAAGATATTCAAGAGGAAAAAATAATAAAGGTAAGGATTGAATGAATTAGAGACGTATTTCCTGGTTGGAGGAATAAAATAATAAAATTTTGTGAAAGCACAGTGATCTATACATTCTATGACTACCCCATAAGCTGCTATAGTCATGAGATCCCTGAATGCCAATATGACCATGAAGAAGCAATTACAGAGCTTTCCATAGTCCTCTGAGACTATGACGTCTTTGAAAATCACGGCTTAAGTTCAAACACACAAGAACAATCAACACTTTTATTGACGCATCACACAAATTCAGTGTATTATTCTGCACAAATGGGAGGCATACCTCTTTGTTTCCCGGATCTATAGCACTAAGCATTTCTGCCAGGACATCCATGATACCACGTGCATTTTGGATTTCCGATAAGCTGGATAAAAAAATTACAATAGCATGAAGGGTACATAGCAACAAGAAGCTTATGGTAAAATAGAAATTGAAGGGAAAAACTATCCTACTCTGTGGAGACTCTGGTGGCTTTGAATTTTAGAAAAATCATTACATCCAGCAGCATTCAGCTTACCAGGATTGTAAATAAATGATCATACAACTCATAAACCAAGGAAGCAAACGGATCCACGATATGCAATGGTCACACTTCGCAGTACGTAGAAGAAAGAGTACGCAGGATGTACTGCCACACTGATATGTGCCACAAAAAAGAACATTTGGAGTACTTCATATTTATAAGAACATAAACTACAGTTTCACGTCTGTAGAAGACTGTTTAACCAAACCTGATCTATGTCGCTTTATTTAGCCACGTACACCAGAAGACAAGATTATCATACAAACTACAACAAACTGTTTATTAAGTAAAAAGAATAAACTTAGTGTATAAATGAAGAAATCACAGATGTACCTCAAGGTTGGGAACTCAGACTCAGAGGATTCAGCTGGCTCCGGTCTCGCATCAGGATTCCGCAGATTCTTCGGATATGATGATAATGGTTGTGTTTGTGGAGGTGTGAAAACCGGAGCTGTTTGCTCCGATCTCTGAGGAAACACTGCCCCAGCTCTCTGAAAGATTGAATATAATAAACTAAAGAAATTGCCAGACCATGATAAAATTACTAATGGCCACAAAGACAAAGACAATGAAATGAGAAGTCGCACATGGTTGGTGAAACATGCTGAAATTATCAAGATACTTGGATTATCGGGTCACACAGGAACATTATGTCAGAAGAACATACCAACAACTCCTGGTATGCTGCATAATATTGAGGATATCTTGCCCTTGGCCCTCCAAAAGCTTCTTGCCATGTATCTATCAGAATCAGAACCTTCTCCTTGACATGAAGGTCAGGCTACAAGCAAGCACCAAGGATCATTATGAAGATACTTCCGAACAAATGCCACTGGGTAGGAGAACCAGATTGTAGAAGAGCCCTTACCTTTTTCCGCGCTATTTTCACCATGTCATGGAGCAAACCTCTCTCTGCCACTTGCATGTGGACGATATCCCCGCAATTCTTTATGATAGTCTCCATTAACTAGAATACAATGTACAGACCAAGTTGTAAACAGCCTTCATCTTCAAGGATACTAATTCAGAACACAAACTAAGTTGTAAACAGTCTTCATCTTCAAGTTTTCAAAGAAGGTAACTATACTCATTCCTAATCATTATACTAATTATCCCCAACAACAGCAGAACCCCCGAAAAGGAAATATCCCACCAAAGTTTGATTATCTTATGCCCTCGAGACAAAAGGCAAGAAACCAGAATTCAGAACACAAAGTTAGTAGCAGCTAGATAATATACTGTGCCTTGAAGCCGCTTCCCTTCTAACAAGTTTGATGGAAAACAAGTATCTAGAGGTTAAAGGTTTGCAATAACCCACTAAACATTGATGCAGCGAAGTATATGCATATATCGGACACATCCAGAAGAGCCTATATCGTCTGTTCTAAAGGCTCAAGTTACTAAAAGTTGATCAATGCCAATAGGGGAGAATGCTGATATTATGCTTGGTCCACAAACCATCTAAACCAATCAACAGATGTGTGGTACTTAAAATAGATGTCAGGTGTTACCGAGGCTTACTGTCAAAGCAAGAAGTTGAACTTTGGCATTCTTACTTCCAAGGCGCTTCTTTATTCCTTTAACCACATCTTTTGCTTGCCTGAAAACACAAAACCAAACGAAACAAAATTAACATTACAATTTAAGAAAGTTGAACAAGCTCAACTGGTTCATAAACCAGTAGAATCGGTATCCAAGACAGCATCGAGCTCCACTGCCATTTTAGAGTACTCTAGCATGGTAATCATCATAAGAAGAATGCAACTAGTTCAAGGTTCGATACTGAGACATACTGCCGTCTAATTCACTTCAGTAGTGAAGAAACACTCTATTAGTAGGAGGCCCTAAACCTCTCCCGAGCAACTAAAGCACAAAACATGATGAAACAAAATCAACCAAGAGATAACTGTATCCACTTGCTGCAAAGATGCGAGCCTTTCACCATAAACCCCCAAATCCGCAGCAGCTTAAAATTCGGAAATTTGAGCTACAATCAAGAGTAAAGACCAAACCGACATTCACAGCGTTTTGCCCACTAGAGCTTCCTCAATCCCGGCTAACAACCAATCGATCAAAAGCCACACTGCCCACTCCGCTGAATTGCCGCTCAAACAATCGATTGGGAAGAAAAACACAGAGAAACAAGTCCGCAAAAGGAGAATCGAAGCAGAAATTACGAGAGAAGTGGGGGCAAGGCAAATAACGCGCGTACCCAGGGTCGTGGTTGCACATGTCGCAGATCTCGATATTCATAGCCCAATCAGGCCCGATCAACATGTCGCTCGTAGCCCGTTCCACCATAGGATTCACCATCTTCCCCGGAATCTCTTCAAAACCCAACCCCCGGCCACCAATCAAATCAACCAACCCTCCCTTATTCTGCCGAAAACGAGATCGCTGGAAGTCCAATTCCGGCGACACTGAAACAGTGAAGAATAATAATTCCTCCGGCAAGAATCCTTATTGCGTGCCCTGTATAACGCTCTCGCTTTACCGGATCAAAAATAAAAATAATTATATGAGCTGCCGCACAGAACAGAAAACAGTTGTTTGTTCGAAAGGTCGCCTCTTTCCTCTCCCTCTCCGGAAAACCAGAAGAAAAAAATGTTTTATGAAAAATTAAAACAAAATAATCAGAAAATTTAGTTCTACTGTGGGCCTCTTTTAATGCGTAGTTGGTTCTTCTCTTCTTACTTTCTTGGTGATAAGCGCTGTCTTGTTATTTTATTTTTTTGGCTTTTTTCCTCATTTTTACCCATTATTAGCATTTGATGAGGTGGTGGGGAACCAGTGTTTGAGTGACACGTTGCAGTTATCGTTCCGTCCACTTCCGTCACGTTGCGTTGTCCGCCTACCAGTATGCGAATGAGTGCTTCAATTTAACGGTTGTTATCAATACAGTCCCAAAATTAGTCTTTATAAACAGCACAGTCCTTAAACTTAACGTTTGTCAACAAGAGAATCAATCACTTTGAAGGCAAGTTCCAGAAGTTAGTCCATGATACACATGCTTAGGACTTAGGAGTCGTCGTGAGATGAGTTATTATGTGTAGAACGAAGTCACAACTCGATTATTTCGTGTCCATAGTCTCCCACCACCAAGTTTTGTTTGTGTTCATGATCTCATACCTTGGCCAGTAACATGAAATCAAATACAAAGGTTTCAAGAGCACCTCGTTATATTCTAGACGTCAAGATCGACAATCTTTTGATAATGATTGATGTTCTTAAACATTACAACAACCAAATATGCAATACGAGATTTTAATAAAGTCCAAGGGCCGAGAGCAGGCATCCATCCGTTGACCCAAATCCACATCATTGCCTAGGTTCATATCACACATGTTCAGTCTTTTGTCTGGCGATGATATCATCATATGTATATATATCTTATCTTACTTAAAGCACCGCCCAAATGCATAATGGCTCACTGTTTACCAGTATCAAACAAGAGGAAAGCTTGAAAAAAGGTGAAATAAAGGAAGGAGAGAAAATTCCAAGGCCGGTTGCCTCTGACTAGATTCTCCACTTGCTGCTGTATGAGAGAGAGCTGGCTTTCATTTTCCAACTTACATGGCAAGTGGCAACACAGGAACTTATTGCCTCTTGCAAATACCTTCTGGATCAAGGCAGCTCCAGCATCACAGTCAAGGAACTGCAACTCGAACAGTAGGCGGCCCGGATTTCATGTCATCAAGTATCAAATTCAGTAGCGCCTGAGATATGGGACCTTCTTTTCCTGGAAAAAGAAGATTATAAAGGACATTGAAAACAGTCTCACTAAATAATCAGGTTAAGACTTGAGGTAACTTCAGCAACGCGGAAATGGAGATTCTATCAGCAAGAGGCACGCATGGATTTAGGAATTTTGCAGCATGTCTAAAGGAATTTGCAGAAAGATGGGGTTTTTTTCATGAACTTACCATCACCTATGACTTGTTCATCCCACTGGACAACAGGGCGAACGAGGATCCCACTCCCGATGAGCATCATCTCATCAGCTTGCTTCCCTTCTTCAACGCTCACATCCCTCACAGTTACACTTCCAAGCTTCCCCTCTCTCACCAGCCCTTCAGCTAGTGTCAGCACTCTCTTAGCAGTGCAGCCACTCAAGATCTTGTCAAACCGCGGCATCAAAAGCTCTTTCTCTTTGGTGACAAACCCTACATTCATGTTAGGACCTTCAGCTATGAACCCATCCTCATCCAGCCAAATAGCAGCAAATGCGCCTTTCTCCTCAGCTTCCATCTTCGAGAGCACGTTAGGGAGGTAATTGACGCTCTTCATGGTGGCGAATTGTGGAGGCTTTATGGGGATCGATGAGGTCACAACCCTCACGCCTTTGGAGTCGAAGGGGGATTGGTCTTGAATCACGATTGCATAAAGGGCTGGCTGATGACAACCGGATGAAGGAGATAGTTGGAAGTCACCAGGTCCTACTGAAAGCCAGTACCGTAGGGATCCCTTTTGGCATCTCGAGGCGCTCACTGTTTGTATTAGTATGTTTCTTATGGTCTCCCTGTCAAATGGAAGAGTGATCTTTGCCATGGATGCTGATCTTAGAATGCGGTCAAGATGTTGGTCCAGCTCATACAGGTGCCTGAAATAAGGAAACAAGAAAACAAACACTTGGGAGTCAAGTCCATACATTTGTGATAAACATCAACCTCTTGCTCCTTTTGTTAGTTCATAAAAAAAACCAGAAAAGTCTGCAACTTTCATGTCATGGAGTTCCAAACAACTCAAATTGTTGAGATGAACTAGTGCTTAACATGATATCATAGTCACTGATAGCCAAAACTTCGTGTTGGAGTCCTAAACGCCCATTATCAATGAATTTGATGAATCTGTGAAAATTTCAGTTACATGGACTAGTTATTGACAGATGACAAGTAATAATCCACAAAAGCATAATCTGGTGAAGAATGAATTAAACAAGGTCCAAATCCTACAAATGAAAGCAAAGCATTTAAATTGTTGGCGTGAAGTGAAAGTACACTAACCCATCCATGATCGCAGCAGTGTCAAAGACGCCATGGCCCCTATGGACCATATGGTCATCCATTGGTATAACCATAGCTGCTGGATCAGTTGTTATTCCACCAACAACGCTAGAGTACATTGCCAGGAACTCCTGCTTCCCTTTGCTATTCTCTCTGCTTGATCTCAGTCTCTCAACCACCTTCGAAAACCACACAGAGACAGATAGAATTACTTTTGCAGAACGTTTAGAGAAAAGCAGGAAATCAGGTGGCGATGCCCATGTAACCAGAGGAATCAAACCTCCGAAGCAGTGAGAATCGGAACATCAGAAATTTCCACACCGGAATCTTCAAACACGAAACACGGAAAAGAATAGAAAACCATGATCAGAAGACTTCCTCGGCGTGAAGAATGACTGGGCAGTTTGATGAATCAAGTTAGAGAAGTAATGAGTTACCAATCACAGCCTGAGCTCGATGAGTAAATGCGTCGATTCTGTTTGTGCTGACCGACCCATTTCGCAGGAATCGAAACCCATCAAGGCTCCGAAAGGGGAGATTCGTGCGGTACAGCAGCGGCGACTGTAGCGAAACGTCGGAGGATTTCGCCGGCGTCGGATGTTGGGGCTGCAGGAGAGAAGCCGAGAAAGAAGCCATGGCAACAGAATTTCAACCAATTCGGGGAAAGTGGTGCCTCCTGAATTTTTTATCGATCGAGAGAGTGTTGACTCGCGTTACCATAAGGAGCAGCGGAGGAAGAAAAACGACAATCACTCTGGTAGGAGAGACAAACCATTTCGGCCGGCGGCGAAAAGACAAATATTCTTCGCTGTATTTGATTCGCAACTGCTTCACGCTCGCTGGTGGCGATTGACGGAATTGGGCTTCTCGTGACCATAGAGTCGTGACATATTTGTTTAAACCATGCTGCGGTTGAGGTGTTCAAATGATTAACATGACAGGTTGAAAAATAGCTTCATTTTAAGTTTTCATCTAATATATTGTATGAGTTTTATCTAAATTAGGCGTCTATATCTCATGGTTTACACTTTACAAATACAAATATATATTATAGAAACAATATTGCGCTTTATTGTTGATGAGCCTAAAAAGAAGGAATATTTGGCTCTTGAGTGGTTATGCCAAGTATTAAGTATGTGTAATAATATATATTAGTCATCTGGATAATTTCTTAACTGGTTAGTTTGGTTTGGTTGGTTAGGAGTATCCGAAGTCAAACTAAGCCACCTAAACCAAACAAGCTGAAAATTTTAACCAAACCAAACCAATTATCCAAATTAGCCAAATACTACCGGTTAAAACGGTTACCACACCATTTGAACACCCTACATGTTGTTCATTGGGATAGTGAACTTATTGTTAAAATGTTATTGTATACGCTGACACATCGATTAATTACAAATATTTTATGAATTTAATTCAGATGAACATCATTAAACATTAAATGAGCTAGTTGGGTCTTATTGAATTTAGTTTTTTTTATTCTAAATTGTTGAGCTTCCTCTCTCTTACACAGGTAGTCGATTGTGTCTCCATGACCAGCTCCTCCCCCTTACACAAGTAGCTGACACGGCCTCTTCTTTGTAACAAGCCCGTTGGTATGAAATATGGTTCTAAAAAGCTAACTTTAGATACCAAGATGTCAAGACAAGCTTGACGCCCATGCAGCAAGGTATCAAGTATCCATAATTAGTTTTTGTATGACTCTCTCGTTAATACCGAGTCGATACCCCGTTGTCTAGCTACCAATTATATGTTGTTTCCAGACTTGGTCAAATTTCATATTTTCGTACCAACTTAATGAGGCTCTAAAAAATTAAGTATAGAGATCAAACTGGCAGGGTGCCAACCCGATGAGAAGGTAGCCACCTGACGAGGTACCAAGCCATCATGAAAATTTGCTAGATTCTCAAGACTTATAAGTATGATACCGCGAGGGTGGAGACTTGTTAGCCAATGTACTGGGCTGACATGGTATCAACTTGACGAGGACTTGGTGTCGACCCCCTTAGGGGGTCATATGGAGACTAAATAAATTGCAAGACGAGCTTGTAGGCAAGCTGACGAGGTAAAAAGTCGACCAAATGGACTTGCTAGCAAGTTTTTAAGAGTGGCTACGAGCAAGCTGGTAAGGTATCAAGCGATATCAAGCCGACAAGACGGATGTTGAGCTCCCTAAGACTTAAGTGTGGAGCCCTGGCGGGGAAAGAGACTAGGGTCTCAACCTGTCAAGGCGGTTACCCGTGTCTAACTAACAAGACACTTCATCGAGGTGGATAGGTTAACAAGACGAAGGTAGTATCAAGTCAGCATGAAAGGGACTCTATCATATAATCAATGTGGTAGAGGTCTCGAGACGACGAGAGTGTGGACTGTAGAGCTATTGGGGCTAACAAGGATGTGACGAGACATTATCATGGAGGCTAAGACAAAAAGTTTCCCTCATTCTCATCAACATGATAGCATACGGAGCCTAATGAAATAACTAAACATACAAAATAATTTTAACTTCCATAATTTCTTAGATATACCAATTAAACATATTTTTGTTTTCTATTTTCATGATCTTGTGATTACACCTCTGTCCCTGGTAATTGGATTGCTAATTTTCCTTACTACAAACTTCAGCATTCCACTCTGATCATATCTGCTAAAAAACCCGCTGAGTCTCGGAAGTTTCGTGAACCCGAAGACAGGAGCAAGAAACAACAGAAGCAAACCCAATAACAAACCCGAGCCCATTTCTCTTCTCCGCTCCAAAGTCCAACCTCCATTCTCTTCTTCACCTTCGCTAGTACTCTTCCTTCTCCGGCCAACTCATTTCCGAGAAATCCTTCTCATTTCCACGAAGAAATTCATTCCCCTCCCTGCGAATTCGATCGAATTCTCGTCCCCGGGAAAAATTCCGAACTCGGCGAAGCTTAAATCGGTGATCAATCACTTTCCACATACGCCATCTGCGTGCGCCTTCAAGATTAGGTAACTCACATAAGAACCAGCTCTTAGTGTTCGCGAGGGAACATCACGCGGCTCTGAAATAGACTGGAAGAAACAAAACCCTAGCTGAGAATCGCGCAATCTGCTAATAAACAATAGCAAGGGGGAAGGGAAGGAAAAGGAATCCCCATAGTATAATCATCTCACGTGTGTGTGTGTGTCAGTTGCTTTTGGTTTTTGTTCTCTACCTAGTAGTATAGTAGTAGATCTGGAAAATGGCAATGATCATCAGCGACGCACTGCGGCAAGCGTTCATGCCGAAACGCGAGTACGAGAGCTTGCGGGAGGAAGAGAAGGCATGGTCGAGGCTACAGAGGCCTTTCTTGATCTCCGCCGTTTCCTTAATCTGCCTTGCCATCCTTGTCTGCACGGTTATTAGCTTGAAGATTGTCTTCCCCGCCGATGGCTACCGGCGGCCGTTTTGCAGTGACCGGAGGCTCTTGCCTCTGCCCATGAAAGGAGGGCGGGAATCTGATCTGTTTCCCGGTGCGTTTTATCTCACGGATCAGGAGATTGCCGACTATTACTGGATGGTGCTCTTCATTCCATCGCTCATCATTTTCTTGACCTCGTTTGCTTATCTTGCCGCAGGTGAGCAGTCCTTACTAAGAATGTTATCCTTATTTGCTTTACATTTCACTGTAATTTAGGTTCTTGCTGGAATTTACTTCTGATCAGTGGTGAATGAATGCGTTGGTTCTCCATTTTGGTACACCCCCTAGTGCAAAACATTCAATGAGGTTTGGTTGTTCTATCCTGTATGTATTAGAGTTAATTCTATAAAGTGTTGTTTGTTGGCGACTTCTGTAAGCGAACTCAATGCATAAATATGAGTGCTTTTCGTGTTCAGCTTTGTAGGATTTCTTTGGGCATAGAGTTGTCATAGATTTTGAAACTTTACCATTGGGTGTTGAGGCAGTTTTTCATGAAAACCATTTGCAAGATTAGCTGTTTTGGTGGGTTCTTAGAGAAATTAGTTCTTATGGAATGGATTAATGTTGGTGCAGGGATTGCTGTTGCTTATACTGCTCCAACAAGACATAGTTGCTTAAAGGTGGTGGAAAACAATTACTGTGCTTCCAGAAGAGGTGTGTTCCACTTTACTTCCCTTTTCATAACAGATTATGAACTCACTTCATCACGATTCAAAAGACTGTGGTGCTTCTACTTCTATGGTGTCTGTGATGATGTGGAGAGTTACTTTCATTCGTTTTTTCATGATGAACACGAGTTCAATCCACAGCTTGCCTATTGTATATTGGCACCTCTGTTATCTAGAGTACATCTATATGTTTAGTCGTCTGCCTAGGTAGCCTCAACTTGTGGAGTATGATTGAGGTTTTCTGGATTTACATTCTGGTGCTAGAAGTGCTTATGACTGCTTTACTACTTCTGGCACACTGAATAATGCAATTGGCACTACGAGTACTACATTAGTTACTTATTCATGGTATTCAGTGCGATGGGCACTGGACAGACAAATGGAAATACAGGAAGAAACCAACTTTCTTATTCTCCAGAACAGTACTTTGATTAAAATTTTACCCTCCTTGTTTAGCAGTCCATTGTAGTCTTGAGATGATAGTTGATATCTTTCCCTTACAGGTGACTTAAATGAGATATTAGAATACAGCCCCGATTGCCCCCCTTGTAGTTGGTTAGTGTATTGACTTGGGTGTTGAGTCGAGTTTAGGAAGCCTGCTACCATATGTAATTTTCTGATAGTGCTAAAACAAGTCTGGTCTGTTCTCTTCATACCTGAATGCGTTCTTTTTAGTGGGAAGAGGTAAACTAAGTTTTCAAATGATCTTGTAAAGAGGACGATGGCACTGATTAATAACTGATCAGTTGTATGACTCTCTGGATTCCGATGCCTTCTGGAGCCATCAGTGAAGCAACAATGGCCATTCAGATGGCAAAGTATAGACTATGGAGCACCAAGGACAAACCTTCACTCACTATTGCTTATTTATAGGAATTTGATCTGTTAGAATTTTCTTTTTCCTTCTCATATTGTGTGATAATAGTAGAGAGAATCTTCTGCTTGCTTCATGTGCATGGCGGCATGCTATGTTTTTTTCCTCTAATGATCACAGTTGAATCTTCTGACATTACAGGTGGGGTCCGCTGCCTTTCCATCTTAAACGCCATCTTCGCCACCACCTTTGGTCTTCTCGCTTTATTCCTCGGTTCAACCCTCTTAACCCTAGGGAGTAGCTGCTCCGTAACTTTGTTCTGGTGCTACGAGATTGCTGCGTGGGGGTTAGTTATTCTATACGGGGGAACTGCATTTTTCCTGAGAAGAAAAGCTGCAGTAATCATTGATGAGGGCGATCAGGGTAGTAGAAACCTCGGCCTGGAAATGCTGGAAGCAAACACCTTGGCCGTGGCGGTTACCCCAGAGGTCGAAAGACGAGTTAGTGAAGGTTTTAAGTCTTGGATGGGTTCATCTCTGCTATCTTCTGACGATGAGGACGAACCAGACACTTTTCTAGAAGCCCCTCACCTGTCAAATGCATCTGCAAACAGGCAGAGGGTATAGTGGTTGGTGAAACCAGGTTTGATTAGTGTATACAGCTGATGATACCAAAAGCAAAAAGAGGAGGGAAACCCAGTTCGCGGTTTTGAGACGTGCACTTTACCAGTTAGGAGTTTAGCTCGGTGGTCGTTGTAAACTGTAAATGACATGACTACTGAATCTGGCAGCCTGACTTGGACTGCAAATGGCCTAATGAGGAACAGTCTTTGTCTGGATTTTGTAAGCACGATTAATACCCTTTGGTTTTTCTTTCCGCACATATTCATTGATGAAGTTCAAAATTTCTGTAGGAGCCTGCTCTGTGCGATGCCAATGTTCAATACTCAATAGTCAATACTCAATTATTATATAAGTAAGTACCATTTCAGGCCTTTCCATACAATTGGTGCAGTTATTATGAGCAGCTAAATGGGCCTTAGGATGGGCTTAGACTAGTAATCCGGGAGAAGTTTAAATGGGCCAGAATCGTAAGATGGGCTCCGCAAAGGTTGTCCCTTCACAAAACCCTAGTCTGCGTGAACTTCTTTCTTGTTCTCTGTCTCCACTGAAAGCAATCTTCGTTCTGTAACCAGTTACTGCGTCATCGTGCTTCACTCCCTGGTTAACCCCCCATCGCTATCGGGTCCTCGAGCTGTGAATCTCGAGACATGGCTGCCAATTACGAGTACGATGAAGCTGCCGGCCACTATGACGACCAGGCAGCTGCGCTCCGGCAGCAGGAAGTCGGATACGATCCAAACTTCGTTCCCGATTCCGTGAAATCCTTCGTCGTCCACCTATACCGCCACATCAGGGAGAAGAATGTCTACGAGATCCACCAGATGTACGAGACTTCCTTCCAGACGCTGTCGGAGCGGCTCTTCAAGGATACTCCTTGGCCTTCAGTCGACGCCGTGGCTCACTATGTCGACAATGACCATGTTTTCTGTCTTCTTTATCGCGAGATGTGGTTCCGCCATCTCTATGCTCGCCTTTCCCCTACGCTTAAGCAGAGAATCGACAGTTGGGACAATTACTGCAGTCTCTTCCAGGTCTGTTTTTGCTGCTCCTGTTCGTTCCCACTTTTGATTTGTGATTTCTTTGGCTTTGCGAATGCTTATTGAATGTTTGGTTTGCAGGTGGTGTTGCATGGAGTGGTGAATATGCAGTTGCCCAATCAGTGGCTGTGGGATATGGTGGATGAGTTTGTTTACCAGTTCCAGAGCTTTTGCCAGTATAGAGCTAAGATGAAGAACAAGACTGAGCAGGAGATTGCACTTCTGAGGCAATTTGATCAGGTACATCCGGATTCATACATGTTCCTTGCTCGAGATGGGTTTTCGAGTGACATTCCGTGGAGATTAAGATTAGCAAAACTGTTTCAGAATCTTAATTATCTGGACAAGGAAATCAATCTTCAATGTCCATACAATCTGATTTGACTCTTGTTACTTCACTGATGAAGTGTCAATGCGGCGGTTTTAAGTAACTTACGGATGCCCTTGTCTATTGATTTGAATTAGTTTTTGAGCATCTTCAGATTACCTTTATTACAGGCGTGGAATGTGTATGGAGTGCTCAACTTCTTGCAAGCATTGGTTGAAAAGTCGGCTATAATTCACATTTTGGAGCAGGAAAAGGAAGGCCTTGAGCAGTTCACTGCTACTGATGGTTATGATTATAGTGGAGGAAGCAACGTTCTGAAGGTGTTGGGGTACTTCAGTATGATTGGTTTGTTGCGAGTTCACTGCCTTTTGGGAGATTATCATACTGGCCTTAAGTGCTTACAACCTATTGACATAAGTCAACAAGGTGTTTACACCAGTGTTATAGGAAGCCACATCGCTACGATATATCATTATGGTTTTGCAAGCCTGATGTTGAGGAGGTAATTTTTACATGGAGTGTTTGTATCCATCCCTCTCCTCTCTTGTTTTTTTGGTGGTATGGGTATTTTTGTTATTGCTCGATTGTCTGGTTGTTCAAAGCTTATTCCAAATGAGCGCCTGCCATATATATGTTGAAATGCTTCTAATAACTCTAAAAAATTGTTGTCGGTATCTTTCAAGGGCATTGTTCCTTCTTGGACATGAAGTAATATCTTGATTTTAGTGGTTGATTCCAAGAATTTTGAATGCTCTTAGAGTTGGGTCTCTTTTGTATATATTGTTTCTGATTTGTACTATCTCTTCTGTTTTTCTACCATTCTAAAACTGAAATTTCACATTAGGTATGTGGATGGTATCCGTGAGTTCAACAAAATTCTCTTGTACATTTACAAGACCAAGCAATATCATCAGAAGTCTCCACAGTATGAACAAATACTGAAGAAGAATGAGCAAATGTATGCCCTGCTTGCAATTTGCCTCTCATTTTGCCCTCAAATGAAGCTTGTCGATGAAGCTGTGAATGCTCAATTGCGCGAGAAGTATGGTGAAAAAATGGGTAAATTGCAAAGGTATGATGATGAGGCATATGGTGACAAGATGAATAGAAGGCAAAGGTTTGCTGATGAGGCATTTGGTATCTATGATGAACTCTTCTCATATGCATGCCCCAAATTTATTACCCCTTCAGCTCCAAGTTTCGATGAGCCTCTTGTAAATTACAACCAGGTATGCAAAGTATCACGCACATGTTTTACTTCTAATATGCAATGCCTTACAATGAAGAATTTGTCCAGTGCTTTACACTTTCTTATTTTCTTTACAGGATGCTTATAGGCTGCAGTTGAAGCTTTTTCTCTCTGAGGTGAGGCAGCAGGAGTTGTTAGTTGGTGCTCGAACCTTCCTTAAAGTTTACTCAACTATATCACTTGGGAAGCTTGCTAATTACTTGGATGTGGATGAATCCACGTTAAGGTGAAGGTTCTAGTCCTTGAAAAGTTTGTCCCTCAGTATCTTGTCTATGGGAGGAGAGATTTGAGCAATGGTCTTGTTTTTCAGGATGATATTGATGACATACAAGCACAAGACTCATGCTGTTGATTCTGCTGGAAAGATTATCTCCAATGCTGATGTTGACTTCTACATTGATGATGTATGATACAAGCCCCGCCCCCCAGATTCCATGTAGTTTTGGAGTTTGATGTGCATATAGCGAAGATTCTCACTTTTATAATTAACATATCCATGTCTTTTTGGCTATTGCAGGACATGGTACGTGTTGTGGACTCAAAACCAGTGAAGCGATATGGCGATTTCTTCTTGCGGCAAATTGTAAAGGTATGCTAGTTATGTCCTATAGTTTCTTCTTTCTGCTTATGATATATTAGAAGAAGATTTGATCTATTCATAATGTTCTCCCATGGTGATTATGTGTGCTAATTCCCTTGCTGCAGCTTGAAGGAGTGATCAATGACGTGGATCGGATAAAGGTGGAGTCAGCCCATTAACGTTTGCGTTTCTTTATCTGACCGGAGCATGTAGTTCTACCAGATGTTGGCAGAGATTTTGTTATATTCATTCGCATTTTGGGTATCCATTTCTTAGTCGTTTTCCCCAATGTCATATGAACCCTATGTTTACCTAGTGAATTGCTGCAACTCCATAAACGAGAAGAAGCACTCTGTCAAGACTTTGGAATAGATAGTCTTTATGTTTAGTTGCTAGCAGCGTGGTTTTCTTTGTGTTGTTTGGTATTGATTTCGGCGTTTTTACTCTCTTTGGCTGAAAGACACGGGAATTGGGGATGATGGATGGATTTTCGGACTGAGTGCTCCTATGCATTCCTTTCTATACCCTCAACTCGATGTCCAGCAGCTTCAGGAAAAGAGGAGGAAGAAGTAAAATCTCTGCCTAATCCATGAATGTGGGTAGCCATTTTTCTGTAGGTTGTGATTGCTTGCTTTTGTTGGCGCATTTGGAAGCCTCCTAAAATCGCGACGACTTCAAAACTCAGATTAACTCCACAGGTCCATACGCAGTTTCCCGACGCGATATCCAGAACTAGCCCGTTGGTTTCGTCCAATGCCTAGTGAATTTTAGTTGGTCATTCACCGTGCTACGTTTCTTCGAAATCCAATTCGACGGGTGACTATTCGTTTCTTTGTTTATTGGTGGGATTGTAACGAAAGCAAATGCCATTTTTCTATCTAATCTCCTTTTTAGGGGAAGAAATGCGCTGGAAAAGTACAGAGTAGTCAGTACAGACGAAGGTTGAGACAATTTACTCAGAAACAGACAAATAAATTTAAAAACAAAAGGGAAATGAAAATCCCACACTGGCCAAAACAAATAGTTCCTCGCTGATGCTCTTGAGAGCTAAAGCACAGAGGGAGCTCAGTCGAGGAAAGGAGGCAGGCAAACAATGGGCGACTATAGCCATGATTCCGTTTTCTATAAAGTACCCCAAGCTCCGGATATCCCAGTTTACGCGGTGATTCTCCTTCTCACTCACTCACTCTTCTTTCACTCTTCAAAATTGCTACAATCGACTTCCATTGCTGACCATAAAAATATGTGGAACTTGCGATGCGCAGGTGATGGTTGCTTACCGTGATGACCCAAGTCCTTCCAAACTCAATTTGGGAATTGGGGTTTACCGAACTGAGGTGGGTTTCTTGCTCCAAATTTCCAACTCGTCTGCTTTAAAACCTTTGTCAAAAACTCTTTCTCCTTAAGTTTTGTTTATGGATGCACATTGGCAGGAAGGGAAGCCTCATCTACTAAATGTAGTTAGCAAAGCAGAGAAGTTGCTCCTCAATGACAAGTAAGTAAACCCACAATAATAATAAGCAGCTCTTCTCTTTACCCACACTTTGTAATGGGTTTTGAAAGCTCTGAAATTTTTCATCCTAGGTCTGTCTCTAAGGAATACCTACCCATCACTGGATTGTCAGAGTTCAACCAACTAAGTGCACGACTTGTGCTTGGTCATGATAGGTATATTTGGCTGCTACTGCTGAAATGACCTCTTAATACCCAGAACTTTTTGACAGTTGAAATTTATGAATTCGGTGCTTGATTGTAGTTTTGCTATCAAAGAGAAGAGGGTGTGCACGGTTCAGTGCTTGTCTGGTAGTGGATCCCTGAGGATTGGAGCTGAACTCTTGGCAAGATTTCACCATCAAGTGATACATATTACCCTTTGCTGAACTGCTTCAAATTTACATTGTTGGCGTTTTCATGCTTGATGATTTAATCTCTCGGTTTTCGTTTTGTTTGTCTCCATGTTGCAGCACGTTGTTTACCTCTCCCAACCTACTTATGGCAACCATATGAACTTCTTCATAGCAGCAGGAATAACTGTGAAGTATTATCGGTACTATGATGAAGCAACCAAAGGGCTGGACTTTCAAGGTTTATATCCCGCCTTTCTTTAGTTCTCACCTGTTTGATCACTTGCAAGTGCATTTAGGTTATGTGTACATCCACGGATGAGTCTAATAATTTCACACGTGATGAATCACGAATAAAGTTGCTTTAAAGGGCAGTCCTGAATTTTGGTATTGGTGGTTGTTTGGGGTGGCAGGATTATTGGAGGACCTTGGTTCAGCAGAATCAGGGGCCATTGTGCTTCTCCAGGCATCTAGTCATAATCCTACTGGTGTAGATCCTACTGTCGAACAGTGGGAGCAAATCAGGCAGCTGATCAGGCAGAGAGGACTTGTACCTTTCTTTGATTGTGCATATCAGGTTTACAAAATTATTGTTCAACAGCCCATATATATCTTTCGTCTCATAGAACATGCTAACCATTTCTATCTTACATTTTACTCTGCAAAAGGGTTTTGTTACTGGAAATCTGGAAGAGGATGCTCAATCTATTCGGATGTTTGTAGCAGATGGAGGCGAATGTCTCATAGCTCAATCTTATTCAAAGATTATGGGGCTCTACGGAGAGCGTGTTGGTGCACTTAATGTTGTAAGGCTCAGAAGCTTATGTAACTACTGTCTACTGGGAATCTCATGGAATCAAAACACTTTGATTCTCTTCGACTACTCAAGCTTTCATTACTAAAGGTGGTTATTTTTTGCAGGTGTGCAAGGCAGAAGATGTAGCATGCCGGGTTGAGAGCCAACTTAAACTTATAATCAGACCCATGTACTCAAATCCACCAATTCATGGGGCAGCAATCGTAGCAACAATCCTGAGGGACAGGTAATATTATTAATTATAACGGGTTAATGTTACTCTGTGTGCCTATGATGTAGTTTATGAACACCTCTCTATACTATGAATTTTAACAAATACAACCCTTACAACAACATTTATTTTTATTGTCCCTCTACTAAAACTTTCATCAAAATCCTTTATTGCTTATTAGTGGGATCGACTATTATGTATGTTCTAAATGACTCACATGTTGGCTATACTTAAAATTCCTCTTGTGTACCTCAATTGGACTTCCATGTCTACTTTCTCTTCCCATTTTTGCTATACATCCATCATTGGGCTTAACGGGGCTGCAATGAGAGGCAAAACGAATTTCCAGTGTGAGTGACAGACACATGAGTCATCAATGACATGGTTACTAAGCACAGGTCGACCCCGTTAATAGTGAATCTGGTCAGATTTCTAATGGAGGGGATAGAATTGGTTGAACATCATAGTAATACAGGATTCTTGTTCATTAAGGAACATATTATATGCTGTGTTTGTTAAAACAGTATACTACAAGAACTTAAAATGCTATAAACTTTAATATAGTACAAGAACTAAAAATGTCATGAATATGTCATTAACATAGTTTAGTCTGTTCAAGAGTTTCTTATGATTGGTTCATTTGAATCTGCAGGGAAATGTATGATGCATGGACCGCTGAGTTGAAGGCGATGATTGTTCGAATCGTCAACCTTCGTCACCAACTTTATGATGCTCTATGTGAAAGAGGTAACTTCCTTGTGACACAGTAACTGAATTTGGAAGATGTTGAGTTCTCATTCTACATCATTATGTGCATGTTTTGATTCAGGAACTCCTGGGGATTGGAAGCACATTGTGAATCAGGTTGGAATGTTCACCTTCTCTGGACTTAATGAAGATCAAGTTTCCTTTCTGACCAAACATTACCACATCTACATGTCGTCTGACGGGTCAGTAGGGGTTCAGAACTTCTTTTTTTGCCATTTCCTTGCTCTGTGTGGATTCTATTTCTTCAACTATGGTTTTGTTGATTTCATTTGGTGTTATTTATGTGGAGAGCAGGAGGATAAACATGGCAGGCCTTAGCAGCAAGACAGTTCCTTACCTTGCCAATGCAATACATGAAGCCTTAGCTTCCGTTCCATGAAGGCAGAGAAATAACTAACCTCTATTGTGCTTCTATCTTCACTCTAAGGGGTTAGTTTAATGATAACATGAGATGATCACGCACGGTTCGAGCGATTTGGAGATGAATATGTATTTTTATAAACAAGCATAAGCGAGTAAGTCTAACAATGAAAGATGTGCTCATTGTTTTTGGAAATATCAGGTCTTTATGTTTGTATATCAATGTGTGGCACACATGTAGCAATCCATGTAGTGTACTTATTTGTTCCAACAAGAATGTAGTGCACTAAAGTATAAAAAAAAAAACATAACGACTAATTGTAACATCAACTCATAGAACTCATATTCAGGAGGCCATTTTACTAATCTTATATGCAAGGACTCATAACATAAAAACATACACCTCATATTTAGGGTTCGTTTGTTTCAATCTCAAATGTAAGGACTCATAACATTGAAAAATATAATTTTTTTTTTGGAGTGAAAAACATATAACTCATATTTAGCGTTTAATTTTCTAATATCATATGTGCTCATATTTAGTGTAACAATGAAAAATAGGTCTTTATGTTCGTATACCAATGTGTGACACATATGTAGCAATCCATGTAAGTGTAGTTATTTGTTCAAACAAGAATGTAGTGCACTAAAGTAAAACAAACACCTCGAGATTAGTGTGGATAACGATTCATATGGTGTAGTCTGATTATGTATTTTCTAGGCAAACACAACGACTAAATATAACATCAATTCATAGAACTCATTTTCAGAAAGTCATTTTACTAATCTCATATGCAAGTACTCATAACATAAAATGATAAAAACATACAGCTAAATAGGTTCGTTTTTCTAACCTCGTATATAAGGACTCATAACATTGAAATACATAACTCATATTTAGGGGGAGCGGTTACGGTGAGTACTTTTTTATAGTAATCACCGTGGTTACTAAGGGTAAATTGGGTATGGAAAAATAAATTATATTAATTAATTAAATTAATAAATTATATTTTAGGTAGTTACAAAAATCTATTAATTACAATTCTTTCTCTTTCTCTCACTTCCATAATCTCCAGCCAGATCTCCTTTCCATATTTTTCTCAAACTTTCTGCAAAAGAAAAAACATGAAATCACTACCAATCCATTAAAAAAATACTACCATTATACAAAACATCAATACCATTCCAGAAATAAAAACACTACCATTTCAGAAAACATCAATACCATTGCAGATTTAATCACTACCAATGCGACAAAATCAATACCAATGCGACAAAAATAATACCAATGCGACAAAAACAATACCAATACGACCATAACACTACCACTACGGGAAAAAATGACTACCATTTAAAAAAAATCACATGATAATCAATACCAATGCAAAAAAACACTACCACTACGAAAAAATCACTACCAATACGAGAAAAAAATCAGATCTAGGGTTTTTATTCATCCCACCTTTTCCAGCGAATCTGTCGACCCGAGGAACTCCATTGCTAATGCTCTGGCGAGCCGTGATTTCCCAACTCCGGTTGGGTCGTGAAAGAAAAAGCTGGCGAGTGGATTGTCGGCGGCGAGATCTGAATGAGTAACTTCCCCGTTTTCATCACGAAGTACAAAAATACAAACGCAGTGCCGGCCGCAGGGGGAAGGGGTTCCGGCGACCGGAGATTGATTCGATTAAAAATGTGGGGGCAAAAGATGGCCGCTCAAGCTGCAAACGAATAGGGCAGCGAGCAACCATGGAAGCTTCCTATTTTTAATGTGAGCCCATCACACTGACGTGTGCCACAATTGAAACCTTTTGCACAGGGGAGGAGGAGAGGGCGATGGGTTCGCCGTCGCCGGGGAGGGGAAGCGGGCATGTCTCATTGAGGATAGTGAGGAATTAGGGTTTGGCTATAATATATATAAAAATTAATTATTTAAAGGATAGAAATCTTGTGTGGTACATTTTTCGTTTTCAAAATTACCCTTAATCTAATCTTCACCGTCAATTTAATAATAGGATGAAATAAGGATAATGAAGGGTATAGATGTTAGTAGCCACCATGATTACTTAAAATTGAGTAACCACGACTCTATACAAGTATACACCATTACACGATTCCACAATACTCTCACCTAATCTACCCATAACAAGATGATTTCACTACATTTACCGTCTCATTTTCACGACTCGTGTTCATCCTACATGATTAGATCACTCTTACCATGAATACATAATCAACAAACATGATCCCACAATATATCAAAACATATTTCAATAATATCCTCCATGGTGTGAAGCACATATATCCAAACCAACTTGCGTTCAAATTATTATTTCTTCCAATCCGAAGTTGTGGGCGGAGACATGGCCTGGCATTCATATCTATCGGTCCACATCCTCATCCTTAAAACCCAAAACCCAAACCTCGAGAATGATGAAGCAATGGCGGTTTGCATCGACGTGTCACCTCATCTCCATTTACAAGAGAAGAGGTTGCGGTGACGCAACTCCCCGTCTTTCCTTGACTAGCGTGCCACCATTTCTCAGCTCTGCAATAGCTTTGGCCATCAACAACCCTTGATCGACGGCCAGGATTCTCTCCACGTCCCGACGAAAGGCTGATCTCCACCGTGGACTATGCCGCGCCGGTAAATTGCCCTCTCATCAATTACCTAATCACCATTATAGTTTGGAATACGAACATATTGCTCGAGAAACTTTCATCTTTCGACGATTTATGTTGAAAAGCGATTTAAAAACTATCATCTACGAATTGTTTCATCAAGTAGAGTATGTATTATCACAACCGCTTCATCACACGATGCTTGATGTCTTTATGGGTGCTTTACTTCAAGAAATAACATTTTGTTCATTTGAAGAGTTTATTCTTTCGTGTTCCTATTTGTATATTCCTCTGCACGTACAATTTTTTTGGTCAAAATGAATTTGAATAATACTTTTTCAACTATATTTTTTAATTTTCAATTTTGGTTTAATCTCAGCTGTAAAATCAATTTTTTCTTCTATGCTTCACTTTTTTTTGTACATAAAAAAGTCAATTTTTTTATCTGAAACGCCTAGCTCAACGTGTGTCATATCATTCAAGTTAAACATCTATCATATCATATAGACCATATGATAACTGCTCGGATTGAAAAGAGGAGTTTGAGGTGTTTTTGTGGCAATGCACGATCGAAACCAAATCGAGTAATAATCAATTTGATTTAGGTTCGATACAAGGTCAAATGAGTGATTCAAATTGGCCGGTTAATATTTTATGTGAATATTTAAATGCTAATTTGGTCAAGCTGACACACTAATATCAATATAGATGTTTGCTTTCGAGTAACTAAATGGATAAAATGATTTCGATTTATATTAGTTATTTCAAACATCAGTGGCTAGATTTGTTAGAGATTAAAGTTCGCAGATCAAATTGTTATTCACCCCCAAAGAGAAATGGCAATTTACGCAATTGAACCGATCTCCTTCTCTTCTCTCTCCTACCCGCCGCGGCGATCCCGCGATTTTAAGAAAATGAAATTAATAAAAGTAAAAAAAGGAAAGCAATATAAACGCGAATAACAAACAGCGATCTCGTCCCTTCGGGGACATCCGACAAACAGCGATCTCCATCTTCTTCTTCTTCTTCTTCTTCCCCTGTTTTCCCGTCTTTCCTGTCAGAAGTAGCGGAACCCAACCGAAGGCCAGACAATATTCAACGCGAAGCACGGAGGAAAGAAATGGCGTCAAAATCGTTCTCTTCTTCTTCATCATCTTCAGGCTGTTCGCCGGCAAGTGATCGGCGAATAAGCGTTCTAGCAAGGCACCTGGTGGCCGAGAATGCACTCTCCTCCTCCCCCATCTATGCTTCTCCTACTTCTTCTGCCAACTCCGTCTTCGCCCACATCGCTCGTGGCCCCGAAGACCCAATTCTCGGGGTACCCTCTTTCTCCCTCGATGGCTTTTGATCTCTGATCACGTTTGATTTCAATCAGTCTTATGGGGGGTGGTGTTCTGATTGATTCAGTGGTTTGAATTCGGCCAATTCCCCCTTTTTTATTGTTGTTGAAATGATTACAGGTGACGGTAGCATATAACAAGGACCCCAGCCCTGTCAAACTCAATTTGGGCGTGGGTGCTTATCGAACTGAGGTAACACCAACAGTTTCCTCCCCCTTTTCCTTAATTTTGCAACCAGGGCTGAATCTGCGATAAATGGGTTCTGTTAGTTTACCCTTTTTCGATTTTGCAATCGACAGGAAGGGAAGCCTCTTGTTCTGAATGTGGTTCGAAAAGCTGAGCATATGCTTGTTAATGACAGGTTAGGCTTTCTATAGAGAATTAATTCTTGTTTTACCGATGATATGTGTTTCTTGACATTGTTCCTTCCGATCTAGGTCCCGAGTTAAGGAGTACCTTCCAATTGTAGGACTGGCTGACTTCAACAAACTGAGTGCAAAGCTAATCTTCGGTGCTGATAGGTAATTTTGCTAAGATTCCCAATTGATTAAGCTCAGCTCTCTAATGGATTAGTTAGCATCAAAATCGTGGCATCTCTCTAATGCATTTTACCTAATGAACAGCCCAGTGATCCGCGAGAATAGGATCACCACAGTTCAGTGCTTGTCGGGCACCGGCTCGCTAAGGGTTGGAGGTGAATTCCTGGCCAAGCATTATCACCAAGTGAGTTTTGCTCTTGTATTCCATAGTTAATTTTCCGTTTGTCGCAGTTAAAGATTGTGTGATGATGAGGGCTTTTGATGTTTGTAAACATTCTGTTTTTGCCTTGTTCTGCAGCGAACGATATACATTCCCCTGCCTACGTGGGGTAACCACCCTAAGGTTTTCACCTTGGCCGGGTTGTCAGTGAAGACATATCGTTACTATGATCCGGCAACTCGTGGATTGAACTTCCAAGGTTTGGATCCTTTCACCAAAGTTATTTAGTTTGAGTGCATTCATGGTTAATGGAAGAAGGATTGATGCTTATGATGGTACATTTTAAGCTCATATGTTGCAGTCATATTTACGCCTTGTTGTTTCCCTCTTATTTGTGGCCAATAGGCTTGATGGAAGATCTTGGCTCTGCCCCTTCTGGCGCCATCATACTACTTCATGCATGTGCTCACAACCCGACAGGAGTGGATCCTACTCCTCAACAGTGGGAGCAGATCAGACGCTTGATGAGATCGAAAGCATTGATGCCTTTCTTTGACAGTGCCTATCAGGTTCAGTATCATCAAGCGAACAAAATACTATTGATTCCTTTTATTTGGCATTGTCTAAAGCTAACTGGTGTGTCTCATGTTGATGATATGCAGGGCTTTGCAAGTGGGAGTTTAGATGAAGATGCTCAGCCTGTCCGCATGTTTGCTGCCGATGGAGGGGAGCTTCTTGTAGCTCAAAGTTATGCCAAAAACATGGGCCTATATGGGGAGCGTGTTGGTGCATTGAGCATTGTAAGATCGACTTCTCCCCCAAGCTATTGTTCTGAAAGTTGGAAGTACTAAGAACTGGAATTCATTGCTTTGCATGGCAAATGTATTTATCAGTTTATTATTTTTGCCTACCATAGGTCTGCAAGGATGCTGATGTTGCAGGCAGGGTTGAGAGCCAGCTGAAGCTTGTGATTAGGCCCATGTACTCCAATCCACCTATCCATGGTGCATCAATTGTGGCTGCCATCTTGAAAGACGGGTAAGAATCAATACCCTATCAATAATTATGCGAGGGCATTGGGATGCCTGGTATTTCCCTTGGGATTCTGAATCATGGTTTGGCTGCAGAAACTTGTACAATGAATGGACCATAGAGCTGAAGGCAATGGCTGACCGGATTATCAGCATGCGCAAGCAGCTCTTTGATGCCCTCCATGCCAGAGGTGATCGAGATTTCCCTCCAATATCGTATGCCGTGTTATCAACCTTCTAATAAAAAAGAGCTAATAATCTGGATTCTTTGCAGGTACACCTGGTGACTGGAGTCACATCATCAAGCAAATCGGGATGTTCACCTTCACTGGTCTGAACTCTGAGCAGGTGGCTTTCATGACCAGGGAGTACCACATTTATATGACATCCGACGGGTAAGAAAAAGCTTCTGATTTCACTAGTGGATCTCTGTTTCTCGAATTCTCGAATTTCTTATGGAAATCTTTGGTTTTGCAGGCGGATTAGCATGGCAGGTTTAAGCTCGAAGACCGTTCCTCACCTTGCTGATGCCATCCATGCAGCTGTCACTCGCATGAAGTAATGCATTCATCGTCAACAGCAAACTCCTCAATACGGTCTTCTGTTGTTGTGTTCTTATAAGCTCAATTTGCCTGGTAAGGCGAAACGTAAGTGTACTTGGTGGGAGATTCAGAATAAAATTTTGCAAAATAAACAAGGGGTTGGAAACAGTGAGATAGTCCACCCTGTAACTATTGGAAATTTACTGGACGAGTTTACAGTAAAATTATCATACATATTGTCGACATAATTTATTTAATGAGTACCCTATGATCCCTACACATTTGCCTTTTGCTTGCCTTTGCTTAGTTTCCTATAACAACTGCTAGATTGCACTTGGACTGACAGACCCGAATCAGAGCATAGAACAACGCTCTAGAAATCGATGGGTTCATCGTTCCATTCCTTTCAGGCTTTCCATCACTTTCTTGTGGGACAAGGCAACCTCTTGGTCAAGCAACATCGTCACACTCTATTCGCTAGACCTATATTTGTTCATGCAATTCCTGACAAGAGGAAAAACAATATCTGCCTCACTGCCTCTGTATCCTCACCCACTACACTTACGGACTTACCTTCTGTATCCTCACCCACTACAGCGTATCCTTAACTAGAAAAGCTTCCATGCAAACCCTTGATAGCCGCGTTCTGCCCTTCTCGACATTGATTCCAAACAGATAGAGGTAAATTGACAAGATACGACGAAAAGAAATAATGCTCGGTTCTCTTTTTTTTCTTCTTCTTCTCTCTCTTTTGAATCAGATAGGAGAGACTGATATGAACAAGTTTGAATGAATTCAGAATAGATTGAAGGTTCTTAACAAGTATCGGATTCCAGACAAAATGCTTACATACATCATCTATATTTGGTGTTACTATAAACAATAGAAGTTCCCACAGCCTAAAACTGTTTCTGTCCTTCCCTTGGCTTTCTTCCTTTACTATCTGAAACCCTTCAACAGGTGGGAAGAAGCGGAAGGACTGGACAAGCTGCTTACTGCAACTGTAGTAGAAGAAGAACATTTCCCATTCTCCCTTCCTTTCTCAGGCGTCCCACATTCACTGAAGTCCAACACTCGGCCTTCCTTCTGCTACAAGAAAAGAAGAAAACAGATTCCAAAGTCATTAAGTAGCCGTACATACTGCATATACATGATAACTCCCCTGACAGAAAACCATCAACACATACAGAGATATTGGCCAAATGGGAACCATTAATGTCACACTCTCCATCCTTGTTTTCTTGACCGGTGACCAGGTTTGTCTGGCGTTGCCTTCCTTTCGATATGGTCTCAGGGGTTTCATCCCCAAGAACTTCCAACGCATCAGCACAAGCAGCAGCAGTGTGCTCGCTTAACTGTTTCAAAAGCGTGATTGCGTCGTAGCTTCTGTCCCCCGGGCTCAGATAATATTCCATATCCTGAAAACATTAAGTGATTGCTATGAGGCTCCATAAATAATGCTCATGACTGTGGAGAATGTCATGTAAAGTAGAAGTAGTAATAGTACCTCAACTGAAATTTCGGTGTCGACCCTTGGACCAGGGAGGAAAGAGTTAAAGAACCATGGAGATTTCCATGCCGAGGGAGACTCAATGCTCCTCTTGAAAGGAGTTCCACCGAAGCTGTAAATCAGGAGAAAAAGGATATGCCCCGCTAAGTAGATGCGTTCATGTTAGATTTAAAAATTGAAACTTCAGCTGCCTCTGCTGAGAAAAAGCTGACTGCAAAGGGGCAAACCATCAAGAATTCACAACCAAAGTACTCACAGGTCATTCCCAGTGGTGTTAGTAGCAGTAGCAACTGTTTTCTGAGCAGGTGCTAATAATGACGCCAGGGGTTTCGTTGCAGAAACAGCAACCGTCGATTGACCTTCATTCTTCTTGTTCACAGTAGGTGATGACGACCCAGCTGTCACAACCTTCTCTGATAAAGTAGCCAAGATTTTTCGATGGAAGTTTCTTGGAGTTCGAGCATCAGGTGAAAATAGTAACAGATCACTCAAGCTTTCTTCACCAACAAGTATTTCGGAGTGCTGTCGCATTCAGTACAAAGGAGAAACAGCTATAAATCAAATCATCACATTGGAGTGCAAGTAACAGAACAAAAGTAACATAAAACTGAACTCACAAGTTGGGGGTTATTAACACCGGGATCCTGATCTTTTGTCTTCGTATAACCACCATCGATTTCTTTCTTCACTTTAACAGCATCCTCTGAGGTAGTAGAAGAGTCTCTTCCCTTCCCTTCTCCTTCATCCGATTGAAGAACAGGGTCCACATTTTCCTTATCTTCACTACAAGACATTTGGTTAACTTTGGATAGTGGAGACATTAAATACGGTCTGTTGCCAGACTTCATCTCCTCATACACTACTACATCCAGGCGTTGAAACTCTCTAGCCAAACTGGATGTCATGTCAATCTCAAGCTTTTTCTCGTCTCTTTTCTCCGACAAAGGCGACAATAAATCCCGTGTCCTCTTCTTCAAAATGGAAGGTGTGCCCATGAAAGTCTTAGCAGCACTCTTGAGGACTGCATCGGGACTGGTGGTACTCGTATTCCTAGTTGGAGAATCCCACAGCCTAAATGGACTGATGCAGCTTGCTGAAGACAACATGAATTGGCGGATACCGAGTGGACTGTACTCTTGCTGAAGATCACTATCAGGTTGCACTAGATCACAACTTAGGAATGGAAGATCCAAGCTTGGGAACCGTGGAGGCTCATAGCATAAAGATCCTGTATCCCCACCTTGATGTTGATCTAGTCTACCGTCATTCGTCATCGCCAAATTTGAAGCTTCTTCCAGATATGGTTCTGCTTGCATCATATTACCACCACCACCACCATCACAGAAGTTCATAACACTTGCTATTAGATCTTCATCATGAGTTGGAATAAGCACATTATCAGGTCTTTGGTTGATTGACGATCCACCTAAGTCAACCATATTTGACGAGTCTTCTATATGATGATTTTGAGGGGCAACGTTTCCACTGGTTGTTACCTCTGAGAACAAGATCTTGCAACATTCATCATCGGGTATAAGAATTTGCTGTTCGGGTGTGGATGAACATGTTGCCATATCTTCCAAAGGAATAGGAGCAGTGAAGCCCATTTCCTGGGTTTCATGAGCACCAATACTACAATGAGTTGGCACACCCGAAAAGCCACCTTGTCCGAATTCCAGTGAATGAGGCATGTTGGAAAGGTCCTCTAAGTTAAATTGGTATTCACTACTTGCTGGATTATTAACTGCAGCCAAATGAGCATAATTCTGCTGGAGAAAGCCGGAGGATGATCCATCTGCTTCACAGGGTACATCTGGGATGGAAAACTGGACATTTCCAAGAGATGTGTAATACTCCTGGGGACAATGGGCAGCAGTATAGGGGTGTGTTTCATTAACCATGCCCGAATCTTGTGTTAACTGGAATTCTTCTCTGGTACCGATAACGGAATTATTGCCCAAATCACTAGCTGACTGAGAACACACCATGATTGTTGACTCTTGACTGCACTCAGATATTTCCTCTGCCTCTGTGCCACACTTTCGACTGCTGTCGTTATCATCTCCACTATTTTGCAACCTTAAAGAAGATGAAGGTGTGGCTTGATTTTGATGCATGACTAGGGGAAGGCCTTGAAACTGTTCTAGTAGACCCGATGCCAAGTAAGAATCCAACTTCTTCTTCACAGAACTATTCCAATGGTTCTTTATAGCATTATCTGTCCTGTAAACCCCACACAGAATCAAATGAATCATCAATTATCAACGCTAACTTCCAAACAGAAACTCCTCTAGTAAAGTCTGCCAGATAGTTAATAAGAACTTTGTGCATAGGTAAAAGAAGAGTTGATATTTTCCACATATGGGGCAAAACAAAACCTTCCAGGCAAGAATTTTGAGAGCTCTGCCCATCTGTTTCCATAAACTTGATGAGCACGGACCAATGCCAACTCCTCATCCTGAGTCCAAGCCTGTCTGTTAATTGATGGATTAAGATGATTATGCCACCTAAATATAAAAAAAGCGAGTCAGGGCCAAATGTTGGAGCATTAGTGAATGTAGACGCATTGAGTGGAAGCTTGAAGAAACACAATAAGGCATCAAGTTAGATTTGAAAATAAAAGATGAGCTAATAATATGTTAACTCATAAATTTGTAAAGTTTGGAATAAATTCATAAGTAATTCATGTTTACCTTTCTCTACATTGCTTGCCAATGCGCCCTGGTAAATGTTGGGCAATTGTAGACCACTTTTTTGGTCCATATTTATTCACCAGTTCAACAATGGTTTCATCTTCCTGTTTGAAGAAATTCAAGATAAATAAGGAATTTACATGATGTACGCGTTCAAGAAAAAAGAAGGGAAACAAGATAGAAAGAAGAGGAACATTGACCAATTCCAGAAATAAGTATCAATATACCTCCTTTGACCAAGGTCCTTTCACAAGTTCCGGATTTAAGACTTTCTGCCACCTGTGCAGGCATTGTACATCAGTTCGGTCCTTGAAACATTCAGCTGCAGATGGCCAGAATAAGATTAAATGGTTTTAATTTTGCCAATGAGGAAGGTAGGTATATACCAAAAACGTAAATGAACTGCAGTCACCCAGAAGGGTTTCTGTAAACTAACAAAGGTCATTATGTAGCAAAGAGCATAGCAGAGACTTCAATCCAACAAAAAGTAATGAAGTAGAACCGACTCAATTCAAAAGAGCTCAAGTTTCAGGGCATGCCATTGCCAGCTACATACTAGACATTGCATTCCTGACTAGGAGGTTGTTACAAATTTAACGGTGCTGAGCAAACAAAATGTGCAGCTACTGCAGCCTTTTGTACAAGGCTACAAAAAAAGTACTCTGAAATGAGAAGGAATGCACTTTCTATGATTAAGTAAAATTATAAAGTTTTAAATTTCTACAGAACCTCTGCGGTTTGTGCCTTCGTTGATTAGATATCTACAGGTTTGTTTGGTTCTATGACCCCTATCCTCAAAATGGTAAGGAACAGTTTCCTAAGCATTCATGGAACAAAAAACTGACAGGAAAGTATCTACAACATAAAATGTCAGTGTTCACTATCCCATGTTAACTTGCTGTGTTCATGTAGGTTCAGGACTTGCGAGTTGTCTACATAAAAATTTACAATAGGAAAACATTCACCTCGCTGCCAACTAGCTCCACTACCAATTGGCAGTGGCAAATAAAATCCTAACAGATACGAAAAGCACAAATGATCATGAACATAAAGTATGAATATCCTCACATACCAATTTTTTTCCAGTTCTTTCCCTTGAATCGTTGAACAGCCTGGCATAAAATCTCATCCTGAAAACATGAAGCTCTTTATTCATTAGCACAAGATGGATGTCCAGAACCCAAAGGCAGGAGGATCATACGTAAGTAAAACAAATGACTAGAATGTCACCTCTTCAGCTGTCCATTGCCCTTTTGTTGAACGCCGAGTAGGGCCACTCGTTCTCCTGTAAATTGCTGAGACATTATTATTCCAGAATTTATTTGCCTTGATAATACAGTCCTTTCATTGTGAAAGCATTAAAATGCAGACGTATTTCAAATCAGCTCAAAGTAACAAGCTTCGGAATTTGGACCATGAAACACTAATTTTGATTTCAAAGTCTCCGGTGATGGAGAAATGAGAATTGTTAAAAGCACCGAAATCAGTAGACAAGTTGGCATAATGAAAATCTCATCCAAGCCCCCTAATGTTAAAGGTGTTCCAGAAGGCCAAAGAGCAAATTTAATCATATGAATATATACAATGTTAGGATGGTTACCCATGGAGTGGCCGGATTTTCTGAACGCTATCATTCACCCCATCCGAGGGAGCAGAAACTGACTTCTCACTGCCCATCGTTCTTTGTTAGAAGAATAAAGCTGCATACCCCAATCCCTACTCTATGATCGTTTTCTCTGCAGTTTATTCTCCACGACGTCATATGCCTCCCTACAAAGGAAGTTCAATTTCACGCTTAAACCTTCAAGATCGCAGGCTAATTAACCAAACAGACAGGCTAATTCAACCTCAAACAGAGTAATAAAATGGTAGAAAGGAAACAACTTTGGCAGCATGTAGAGAGAATCAACTAGCTTTTTCAGCTGGCAATTTCTCTAGATTGAAGGGAGAAATCATGAGATGAACTTTAGTAGCCACAGCACAGCACCCATCGGTAAGGCTGGCGGTCGAACATAAATTCAAATTATCACAGCTATGTTGACCATGAGCACAAATTCAAAATTGAACAAGTCAAAGTACGACTAATCAGTACTACTACTACCCCCGAATCCAAACCCTAAAACACAATCGATTACCCTGAACTCTAACAGAAGCAATTTCAAAACATCCCTCTTCCAAAATCCAAAGAATCCTCTTTCGTATAAAAAAAACACCCCCAGAAGCAGCATAAGTTCGAAGCCACTCGCCTCTCATTTCTCCCCCGACCAAATCACACCAATTCGAAATCCCTCGTAAAAAAAAAGAAAAAGAGTTCAAACCAAACTCACTCACTCACCGGACTGAACTTGTTCAATGGACGCAGGAGTTGCAACGGCGCCGGCGAGGCAGTCGCAGCGATGCGCATTTGCGCAGATCCGAGTGGAGTAGTAGGAAATCCAAATCTGGTGGAAATGGCACTTGGTTTGAAGAAATGAATATTTATGAATGTGCTCTACTTTCCCCTTTCCGATGGAGTTTGCTTTGGGGCTGCTTTTCACCTAGAGCGAGAGAGTAGAGAGAGGAATTTAAACGGTCTATAGAAGAGAGAAGGGGGGAGAAGGGAGGGATTCAAACGAGAAGGGGCGGACTAGTTCCAGGTGGAAGGAAGAAGAGAAGAGGAGTATTTTGAAAGAAACCCCTATTTTTATTTATTTTATTATTTTAGCATGGATTGTTATTATTGTTGCTCTCGTTCGTTACCGTGAGATCAGACGGCGGTGATCTTGACGGGTCGGATCTTCTGCCGTCTATTTCTACTGCTCGTTTAGTAATTAGTTCCCTTCCCTCCCTCCACCTTTAGGTTTTTCAAATGCTGAACGGCTGAATTTGTTGTATTATTGATTTTCATCGATTTCATGTGTATCTAGTGAATTAGATTTTTCATTTAAAGAGACCAATGTCAACGGGAGAGCTGGAAGACGGATTTTTTATTTATTTTTCCTGAATAATAATATTATTTACAGGTATAAATATGTAAAAATATCTGATATAAAGTATGGTGACGGCTGAGTTTAATCAAGGGGTTGGTCTAGCGATTAACTCGATGGTCTTTGACATGAAAATCTAAGATTCAAATTCCTTCAATAACACCTAACATTCAAACTAAATCTTAAAACCTATACCAACGCTTATATAAAAAAAAAATACAGTGGGTTTAATCAAAAGATTAAAAGAACTTCGTGCGATGAAGATATTGAAAGAATCTTGCATGATTAATGGATGTACTTAAGCAAACCCTAACTCGCAATGGTTAATGATCCTCCACAAGAAGACCATCTAGCGGATCAGGGCTCACTGAACACTGTTATTACTTATTATTGACCATTAAGATGAGAGGACTTAAAAATCTAGTCGGACCAATGTGACCAATGGATATCATAGTTGTCCAAATTTTTTTTCACTAACGCATTTTTTAGTTTTGAATATTTGGAAGTGTGATAAGAATGTAATATACAATTTTTCATCAGTACTTTCGATGTAAAGTCTATTTTGAAATTGCACATATAAGTTCAAATTATTAGAACAATTTTGTTATCTAAAATACATGAAATATTTGGAAATACACTCAAAGAAGCTTAGTCTTGCAAGAGTGTAAAGAGCGACATAATTGTGCATTCAAATCGTTGAAATAAAGAACTCTGAATTCAAACCAACTGACCAAACCTAAATTTCAATTTTACGAGATGTTCTATGGGACAAGGGTCAAAACCCAAGAAGCTCAAGAGTCAACATCATATTCGTATGCAGATTGACAAACATCCATCTACCACTCTTAAATCATCCCAAAACTCTCCCATAATAGTTTTCCTGCACTATTATAAACCCATTTCCATATAGTATTCGACTGAGAACATTTTATGACGAACCTATGGTTATAATAAATCTGACATTCACAACTACACAGGCAATAGTCAATAGCACATCCATCACAGAGAAGGAAATTGTGCCAGCAATAAACTTCAAATAATACCATGCATTATAAAGGCTAATAAAGGCAAAATTTATCTCCGAATAACTTCACCAAGTTTACAAAACAAAAAGTTCAATCCCCACACACCCACTACCATCAGACAACAACACAGCATAGGGGACAGAGATCATAAAGAGGCATTGCTAGTTTTAACCGAGATTCAAACTCAGGCTCCAACCTTTTGGAACTTGTTACGACCACCTCTTCCCGAATTGTTATCCCTCGAACGAGGATGCTTACCACCACGGTGGAATCTGCCTCCCCTGGTCACAAAATATGGGAAAAAGAACCATCTTGAATCAGATGCTGCCACTAAGAACCAGAACACAATACTGAAATTTCAAATTGCTGATGTAAATCACTAACTGACCTTCCTCCTCGGTTGCTGAAACTAACCCTGCGGTTGTCTTGATTGGCTCGGACCTGAGCCCAATACTCTGCCTCCTTATCACCTACATGCCACACAGAATGTTGTACACTTATAGTTTGACTAATCGAAAGTCTGAGATGCTGAAAATAACTAGAGGATTGCTACATCTTCCCAACTGATGATTACTAGGCGTTTTACTTAAGTTACACAACAGACTAAGCCTGGAAGGAGGGACTGTTCAAAAATCATCCTTCATGCTATGATGGCAATTTGTTCATTCACCCTCTCATATATAAAGCAACAAAAGCAAGTATCGAACGATTAACTAGTTAAAGATGGGTGAAGGATTGAGTTTGTTTACCGTATACTGGTTCTAAAGAGACAACAAAGTTTTTAACAATCAGCCCTCCCTCCTCTGCCAAGATTGCAGCAGCACGAGCCTTCTGACCTGCTTCGGGTTTCTCGAATCTCAAATATCCGGAATCCTCTCCAATTTTAAAATCAATAAACTGGAGAGAACAGAAACACAACACACACAAAATAATTAGGAGGTATCGTCATACAAATCACTATCGAAAGGCAGCAGTTGTGGGTTCCAGTGATAAAAATAAAAATTGTAACAGCTGTAATCGAGTGGTACCTTAATAGCGCCAAATTTAGAGAAGGCAGCTTTGAGATCCTCACGCAACATGACGTTCTTGTCGTTCTTGCATGCAGCAAGGTCAAATCTGTTGCCCTGTTTCACATCCTTCTCAACAGAATCTTTATTCGACTCTTCCTCCTCATCATTCTTTGTTTCCTCGTTTCCAGAGACATTTTCATTATCAACCTTCTCAGTATCCATAGCAGCACCTTCTTCCTTGTTACTATCAGCATCGTTTTCTGAAGACTTCCCCTGAGCTTCTTCAGTAGTTTTCTCGACGGAAGTTGTAGGCATTTCGTCAGCTGCTTTAGAGACAGGCTCGCCATCTTTAACAGATTCCTGGTTACCATTCTGCTTTGCCTCATCTCCCGTTGATATGCTTTTCAGTTTAAAAGCAACGATCAGGCCCTTTGTGTACCTGTGATCATATCAGAAGTTAAAGAGTTAATATGGTCAATATGCACAAAGGGGACTATGAAGAAACTTAAATTGCACTGCTAATAACTTACTCTTCATGTGGGCTTGAGTTGTTGTTGTTGTTGTTGTCAGAATTCCACCGGGGATTGGAAGCTCTCAGTTCTGCTAATTTAATCTGCCTTTCTTCATCAAATTCCTTCCTGAGTTGTGAAGAATGTTCATGTTATCGGGTAGAGTTAATACAGTCCAGAATATCCAATATAACGTAATATAACAGATAGCAAGCACTCCGATGAGAGGAGCTGCAAACAAGACTCACTTTGGTTTCAGTTCTAGCTGTACACCTTCAAATTCCAAACTTTGACCTAAGACCTTGTCAGCCTCTTCATCAGTCGAAAACTCAACCAAAGCAGTGCCACACAATACCTTTTTGCTAGCTAGATGGTTAGGCAGCCTCAGACTAGTCACCTGAAACAAAAAAAAAAAAAAATTAAGGCACTTAAACTCACATTAAAACATCCACCCACAAAGCGGATTCCCTTAAGTTGAAGCATGCAAAGTGAACAAGTTGTTCACACACAGATTATTTATACCACGAGAAAACAAAGACACTCAATTTACCTGGCCATATTGACTGAAGAATGTCCTCAATGCATCACGGTTCACATCATAAGGCAACGGTGATACAGCAATCGTTCTTCCATCCAATTGTTCCACTAACTCTTCTGTTTTCATTAGAGGACCAATCCTACCAACTCTTTTACCTATACAAGATCATGGGCCAAAAAACAAAATTGTTGTAAATAAGACAGTTCTAAACTGGCGGAGTAAGCACAAACAACTCAACTTTGCATCAAATTCACAATTCACATGTCATATAAACTGCATAAACTCCTACACCATTGCAACTTAGCGATTAGCTCACAACTGAGCCTGGAAAAAAAGGAGGCAACACAGAGGAAAATTGAAGAAGGGGCTACCATCTTCAGAGAGTTTAAGAGAAGTAGACTTTGCAAGAGTATCAGCAACTGCCTTCAACGTATCCTCAGGAATTTCGTCCTGATTGGCCTCTTGCAGCTTCAAGTAACCCTTCATTTTCTTGAATGAGCATATCAGAGCCAGGCTTACCACTGTTTAACCCATGTCAAGAAAGACATCCAAAATCCAAATTGATTCTAATGAAAACACAATGGGAACAGAGCAAAAAGTAAACGGCTTTTTGTTTCTGTTTTCGTTTTTGCAAGGATACAGCCATCTTCGCTGGATGCAACAGTGCTGGATAAGAACTTGTCCCGCGGCAGATTGCTGTCACTGAAGTAAAACTCCACCTGCCATCATTCGTAAAATACATCACCAATCGATAATATAGTTTTGAGCCTAAAGGGTAATGATTTATTAGACGAAGGAAGAGTCTGATAATCAAAGGAGAGGAAGAGACCTGTCGGAGGACTTCCTTGGCGGTGGCTTCGTCCAGCGATTGTGTCGCCATTGAAGCACCGGTTAGAGAGAGAGAGAGAGAGAGAGGAAGCAGAGAGGCGATGAAGAGGGAGAAGGAGTATGAATTAGGGTTTTGGAGAGGATTTGGGCGTTGAGGCGTAGTGGGGGGTTTTAGGAGATTGAATACGAGGGACAAAGCGCGGTTTTATAGGTTCCACTTCGAACCGGTTTCTCCAGTTCGCGGTTGGAATTTAATTTTTCAGTTACACCACGTACTCGTCACTTCCGCAGAATGAGACGAGACTAATGAGAGAGGCCCCATGTCTCGTGAAAGAAATCAACTTTTTTTTTTTTTTGACAAAAGGGCACTGAGATTCCATTTCTTTCGGCACAAGCCAGTCAACCCAACAAAGGAGCAACAACATCAAGAATATTTAACCATTGCGATGGTAATTGGTTCCTAGCACAAGATCTAGCAACCCAATTAGCCTTCGTATTCTTCTTGCGGTTGAGATGTTGCAACTTGAGAAGGGGGTTCTCTGCCAGAAGTCTCTTGATACAACCCAGTCTTGCTGCCGCTCTCCAGGGCCAAGAGTTGGAGTCACTGTGTACTGCCTTGACCAGAATTAAGCTATCAGACTTAATAACACATGGGGATCGAAGGGATGCAGCTAGGCGAGAACCTTCCAGTAAGGCTGTGGCTTCTGCTTCAAGAGGGGAGAAACAATGCATGGGCTCAGCCCTGCCATCACAAACTTGACCATGGCTGTTCATTACCACGACGCCATACGCCGCCTTCTGGGGCTCGTCAAAAAACGAGCCGTCGCAGTGTACTTCAAAGAGCTGAGTACCTGGCGGTGGTTCAGATTGCTGCTGGGGTGGGGTGGGCTGAGTAGGAATGGGACCTTCAGAAGCTTTCCTTGGGCATGTGGACCACTGGGTGTGAGCTGCCTCGGCTGACAAAATAATGGACGGTGGCCACGGCTGTTTATTCCGGAAAATTTTTTCATTTCTGGTTTTCCAGATCTGCCAGCTAAGGAAGACAATCTTCTGGATCGTCTCGGCTGGGTAGAACTGGCGGAGGGAATCAAGCCATTCCAGGAAAGAGGACATCTGTGAAGGTCTGGGGAGGGAGGGCCACTGTTGCTTCCATACCTCCGCCGCGTGGTGGCACACAAATAAACAGTGGTGGATTGATTCTGAGGAGCATCCACACAACGGGCATTCCTTTGTAGTGGCACATTTTCTCTCAAAAAGATTTTCTTTGCAAGCCAGTGCTCCTCTTGTTACCCTCCAAACGAAGAATTTGAGCTTCGGAGGTAATGACAAACTCCAAAGCCACTTCCACCGATCTCTGCTTGCCAACGGAGTATCCTCCGCCCACCCTCCTGCTTGTCGAACCTGCGCATGGAAAAAATTGAATGCAGATTTCACTGTGAAGTTACCCCTGTCAGTGTACCTCCATGCCCAGAAATCCTCCATCGACTCCGGTCCTATGGGGATAGCAGCCACCTGGAGCAAGTCCTGCTGGCTAAGGAAGCTTGACAGTAGGTCAAATTTCCATTCTCTTGTGATTTCATCGATCCAAGTGTGGGCAGTATCAGTTGCATTCCACTCAAACTGGAGGAGAGGCCCTGGTCTGTCAAACCTCCATGGGTCGTGAAAAAGTCTGGTGGTCTTTCCATTACCAATCACCCTGATGAGACCCTTAGCCATCCATTTTTTCGTTTCACACAAACTGGCCCAGATCCATGAGGCTTTGCCGCCTTTTTTTGCATTAAGGAAATCAGAGTTAGGGAAGTAAATGCTCTTCAAAACCTTAACCCATAGGGCCTCCTTGTTGGTAATAATCCTCCAGGCTTGCTTTGCCAGGAGTGCAAGGTTGAAGATATGGAAAGGGCGGAAGCCAAGCCCCCCTTCTTCCTTAGGAGCGTACAACACGTGTCCTGCTCTCCAATGGATCGTTCGCTTTGTCATTGATCCTCCCCAGAAGAAAGACTTGAGCATGGAATCCATTCTGTTCGTGCTACTTTTAGGCAGAAGGAATAGACTCATTATATAGGATGGGACCGCCTGGAAAACTGCCTTCAGTAACACTTCTTTGCCTCCTGGGGACAGGAGAAGACTCTTCCAGGCTTCACCTTTGGATTCCATTCGTTTCAGTAGAAAGTGGAAAGTTTCCTTCTTTGATCGTCCCCATTCAGTAGGTACTCCCAGATAGTTGGAGTGACATGGAGTAGCTGCAAAACCCGAGCTGGACACAATCCTGGCTCGCTCATCATTAGGGACATTGCTGCTGAAGAAGAATGATGATTTGTTCCTGTTGACTTCCTGTCCAGTGACTGCTCCATACTGGTTGAGGATGCTCAAAATTTTATCCGCTTCATCACATGAAGCCTCCCCGAAAATCACTGTATCATCTACGAATAAACAGTGGGAGAGAACCGGACAGTTTTTGTTAAGTTTAATCCCCTGTAATTCATTGTTCCCAACTGCTTTCTCGATTAAGAATGATAAGGCATTCGACATGAGGATAAACAGAAGAGGGGACAGGGGGTCCCCTTGCCTAATTCCTCTGGATGGGGTGAACTCCCTCGACGGCTCACCATTCAGTAGAAGGCTGAAAGTAACTGTTTTGATGCATGATGAGACCCAATTGCACCACATCTCGTTGAAACCATAGGCTCGAAGAAGTGATAGTAAGAGATCCCATTCAACCATATCATAAGCTTTTTTCATGTCGAGTTTCATCATCATCTCCCTCTTCCTACCCGTTTTGTGTTTCTTGAAATGGTTGAGAACTTCATGTACGATAATGATGTTGTCTTGAATCTGTCTTCCCCCTGTGAAGGCAGACTGGAGCTCGTTAACCAGTTCAGGTAACAAGGGCTGAAGCCTATTAGTCATAATTTTGGTGATGACTTTGTATCGGAAATTGCAACAGCTAATTGGCCTGAACTGGCTGATCACTTCAGGGTTATCCACTTTGGGGATAATTGTGATGAATGTCTTATTCCAATTCTCCGGCATAACCCCTGAAAGAAAGAAGTTGGAAATCTCATTACACAAGGAGTCCCCCACAATGTTCCAGTACTTTCTGAAGAAGAGGCCCTGGAAACCATCTGGTCCCGGCGCCTTTGAAGCCCCCAACTGAAACACCGCCTTGCGGATATCCTCTTTACTCACAGGTAGAGTCAAAAGACCGTTATTCTCATCATTCACTAGCTTTGGGAAACCATCCAAAATATTCGGCTCATACACCCTGTTATTGGTGTTAAAGAGGTTGATGTAGAAATCACATGCATGGTCCCTTAGGTCCTGAGCATTATTAATCCACTCACCATCCTCATTTCTTAGCTTTCCAATTCGGTTTCTGTTTTTCCTTCTGATAGTAGAAGCGTGGAAAAACCCGGAGTTTTGATCCCCTTCTTGAAGCCAACTGATCCTCGATCTTTGCATCCAGAAACTTTCTTCCATAGTCCAGATATTCTCGAGTTCTTGGAGAAGCTTTCTCTCTTCTCCAGCCAAATCAGGGCACGTTCTATTCCCTTGTAACATTTGGAGTTTGGACCGGATCTCCCCTTCTCGTTTCTGCTTGTCTCTCCTGTCCATCATGGACCACTTCTGTAATTCCTTCTGGCAATCCAAAAGCATTGAATCCACCTTGCCCCCTCTCGTCCATCTGTCATTAATGATTTTGCCACACTCTTCGCTCTCCCTCCATCTTTTATCGAATCTGAAAGGCGTACAGTGGTTCCTAGCTGCTGGGTGGAGATCAACCCGGATTGGGCAATGGTCAGACTCCACGAAGTCCTCGTGATACACCATGGCAGACTCAAACAGGGTCCTCCATGAAGTCGAGCATAAGGCACGGTCAAGCCTTTCTCGAATCAACTCATCTCCTTGTTGCTTATTGCTCCATGTAAACACTTGGCCTGAGAAACCAAGGTCAAGCAATGCATTTCGAGACATGAAGTACTTGAAGGGAGATACATTCTCATTGCGAAGGGGGCATCTCCCCTGCTTCTCGAAAGGAAACACAGCTACATTCAAGTCCCCAACAATCAGCCATCTTTCATCTTGATTCTCTCTTAGTGCCGTGAGTCGGTCCCAAAAGAGTCGTCTCTCTACCGCCGTGGTAGGAGCGTGCACAAAGGTACAGAAAAAACTAACGCCAGCCTTGCTAATGCTGGTATCGATGAAAAACTTACAAGAATCTAAAACAGTCACATTCACTTCATCCTTCCACCACAATGTGAGACCACTACCTTCAACCTCTGGACTAACATACTTCGAATGCTCGAACCTCATCCTATTCTTTCTAGCTTCCATGAACGATTCATCCTTCTTTGTTTCCATGAGAAAGAGGATCGTAGGGCCGAATTGCCGACACAGCCTGCCGCAATAGCTTCTTGTAAGGGGTTGGCCGAACCCCCTACAGTTCCAGCTTAGAATTCTCATTCAGGATGAGGCGGCTTGAGGCTTGCCGCCGCTGCCCTCGGAGTGGAAGACTCCCCTTCTCCGGACTGGCATCCATCCGCCGTGAGCTTCGCCAAAGTCTTCCTCCTGACCAAGCTTCTCCTTCTCTGGTAAGTTTTCTTGCTCTCCCCTGGAACAAAAGACATGGAACTAAAAGAAATGTTAGAAGGGGCCTCTTGTGGTGCTGAGGCCGCGGGGCTGCTCCTCTGTTCAGGCTTCCTTTTCTTCTCTGGCCTGGGCTGATCCACCTCCGATGGGGCCCCATATGGATCCGTAGGCAGATCACTCGGGTGGGCTGGGTAGACATTCACTGGGCTGGTAGTGATTTGACTGAGATGGGCTGGATAGACATTCACTGGCCTGGTGGTGCCTTGACTGAAGTGGGCTTGATGAACTTGCACTGGGTTGGTGGTGACATGGCTGGGATGGGCCGGCATCTCAGGGCCTCTCGGAGCTTCACAACTGTTCTGGTTTGGGCCGCCCAAAGACAGGGACTGGCCCATCTCAAACAAACCCGCCCACTTCTCCTTGTTGGTCTCCTTCTCCCCTAGGTCCAGGCTGCGTTGCATTGCTCTCGTCGTCTTCTCCATCTCCATCTCGAGCAGTGCAGTCTGTATGACAGGGGTCTGATTGCTGGCTTCTCCTCTGTGTATCCATTCTGGTTCTCTTCCACTGGCTGTCAGACTGTTGTACCCTGGCGGGGTAACAAAAGGGCCCAGGATTGGGAGTCCCGCTAATGTTATCCTTGATTGATCTCCTCGGTTGCCGCGCCCTGGCTGCATCGCCGGTGAGGGGAGTGCCGGCCTCCTGGCTCTCGCTTGTTTCTCCCTGAACGACGCCGGTGGAGTGTTCGCCGGTGAATCATGACCCGCCCTTAGTGCATCAGTATACACTTCCGATGGGTCGGTGCTTAGTCCCATTCTTCTGTTTTCTTCTCTTTCATGGCAATTGTGGATAAGATGTCCCAATCTCCCGCAGAAGTAGCACAGGTCCATAATCCTTTCATATTTGAAGCTGATCGAGATGGAGTTGTCCCCAATGGGATACTCGAAACCGATTGGTAGTGGGTCGTCGATGCTAACTTCCACCTTAACCCTGATGAATTTTAGCCAGCCTCTAAAATCGAAATTGGAATGATCTACACCGTGGAATTGGGGAAAGATGAAGCTCGCTATTGCCTGGACAGCCTCTTCGTCCTTGAGGGATTGTGGCAAATCGTGCATTTGGACCCAGAGGGTGACTGTTGTTATATCTGCAGGCTCCGCTTTCTGTTCTCCATCCCATTTCTTCAGTGCTATAACTGTGTTGCTCAGGTTCCATGGTCTGGCCTCCCATACAGCGTCCCTCTGTTGAATCGATTGAAAGGAGTAGACGAAGAGGTTCTCGGCCTCTTTTGTTGCTTGCACCTCTCCATAAGCCCTCCACTTGTTCATCGCCGCATTTCGTGCTTTGGGCAGGTTGATGCTGGTGTCGGTAATCCACTTCCCTAAGAGCATAGCCATCCCACTACCTCGAGCCCCCACTACTGTGGGTCTCACATTGAGGACGAGGTGGCTCCTCTCCCCTCTCAGGCTATTTTGATGGGCTTCCATCTCTGTGTGGCTTGTGGTGTTTGATGAAGTTGGGGCCTGATAGTATTTTGGGATGGATCTCTCTCTGATGATAGTACCTCTGTTGTTCTTGTTTGGGCTGAAAATGGATGATTGATGCCTCGCTTTTTCCACCCTTATATAGGCGAGGATCCTCTCTGTACTCCTCCTGGTACGCTTTTGGGGGTTGCTGAGCCTGCCCAGCATTGAATGCCAGATGATTGTTCTCTCTGCAGTAACTACTCCTGTCATCCCACCCGTTTCATGGCATTTATGGTGGACTCCCTCTGGCTTTCCAACTCCTCCTCTCATATCTCCCCTTCTTGATAGCCCTTTGTATGTAGAGTTCGGCGGATAGTTGAGCCCTGCGCCAGTAAATCTGTATTCCATCCTCTCTGAGCATTTATGTTTCTGAGCTTTAATGATTGAGCGGCAGCCTTCCCGTGTCTCTATCTCAGGTGATTTTTGCCAGTATATTCCTTGTGTCTCATGGTGTAAGGCTGGTCTGCAGGGAAGAGAAGCTTTGGATGTTGCTTCCACGTCTTTCCAATCGTCAGAGCATTTACTTCCTCCGATTCTGCCCCTAGATCTCGTCTGGGCTCCTTTGATTGATGTCCGTTCAGGTGGCTTGGGCGGTGGAGTATTACCTTCTCCGGCTGCTTCTGTCTTGGAAGGGGGCTTCCCATTGGTGGCGAGTCTAGTCGGCTGATTATGACCATTAATGCACCAAATCTTGCACTTAATCGCTCTGAGATCTTCGATTAATGCTCCCTTCTCTAAGTAGACTTCGGCAGTTGGATTATTGAAGGCTCCCTGACGGGTAGCTGGAAATGCTCTCGATATCGGAGCTGGAAAAGTAGGGGAATCGGAGACGGAGCGACGAGGGGAAAGAAAAGTAGAAATCAACTTGTAGGTTAGAAATTGGAGTCTGACACTGACCATTTGGGACAGAAACAGTTTTGGAGCAAGAAATATGTATAGAATTTAGATTGACCCAAAACCTAACCGACCGGTTTTTGTCTATAAACAACTATGATAAAGATGTGCAACCGCAATGGGGGGAGATTGGGTAAGTGTCTCGAGTTTTCGATGGGTTCTAACCGAACTGAATTTTAGTTAAGCACTAATTTAGATCCTTCTCGGATTTCGATTTCGGTTAATCATTATTTAAGGTTTCAACTTTCAAGGAAGAGCACAAAGTAAGAGAAACTCAAGGCTCACACTATCACTTGGAAATATACAGGTGAAACCAACGATCGATGACTCAATAGATTTCGATGAACCATCAAAATGAGATGCAACAACAAATCATTTTAGCCAAAGGGAGGAAGTAGGCTTCTTTCTATGTCTCCAAAAGAAACCAAGCAAATAACTTTGGGTGAAACAATTTTATGGTTTACCACCCCACGTTTCAAATTTGGAGTTGGTCTCCTTCGATTTCTCCCTCAGTTTTACATTTCCTCCGGGCTTTCTCAATTGAAAATAACAGGACATGAGTAACAGAAAGAGAATGATGAGAGAGCTAGACTTGGAGCTCTCTGACATACAAAGGCAGAATGATATTTTCCACTTCCCTTGACGGAGGGGCGACGGCAAGGCCACAGACCATTTTTTGGTACAACATCTTGGGGGTGCTCCTTCGTTTTGGCTCACATGAAATCTTCTTCCATCTCCTGCAGAGACTTGCTCTCTGATGCAATCTGCTTGTTGGATGTCATCTTCTCCGCCACCATCAATCCCTTGTAGCTCCTCACCTCTGCCTGCCTCTCCTTTTCCATCCTATCCATCTCCTCCCTTCGTTTCTATCAAAACACAATGGAGTTTAGCAATCTTTGTTAAGCTATAATGAACAGAGGTGGAAAATCGGATTCTTTCCCAATGCCAAATTATGGATCAGGAGCAAATCAGAAGATTTATAAAAAGTTATTAGTGAAGACATATTTGTATCTGCACTTCAAAAAATTAGGAGGTGAAGATGGTAATTTTTGCAATATTGTTCTAAGCAATGATGAGGCAGGCTAGAAATCAAATGAAAGCCTCTACCAGCCATCACGAAATTCCCTACTCAAAATTTCAATGCTGAACTAGTAAACTTGAATCTAAAAAACCACAAATGACGTAAGAAGGTAATAATACAATCGACCCTTATGCTCAGACTCCGAATGTGCAAGTCACTTACGCCAATAACACCGGGATAAGTCACGGATCAACATCCTTAACTGGATCTGGTGTCAAATAAACTTAATACTCGACCCTTGTATGACATATATTAGAATTGCCAACTAAGTGAGATGTCAATTGCCAATGGCTGAACATGAGATAGCTTACTTTATCTCTGAGTTGAAGCTTCCTCTCAGCCCTTTCTGCCGCATTTACGGCTTCCCTCTCCGCTGCACCAGTAGAAAGGAACAAGTAACATCAGCAACAGAAGTAGAACTTGCTTACCAGCAAGGCCAAAACGGTTAACGGTTCAACAATTATGTTGTGACTTTTTAGTCAATGTCTGAAGTACCAAATATGAGATGATTAGCTGACCTCTCAAATCAGGCGTTCTTTCTACTTTTGTTTTGTTCAGTCTGTTGATCACCTCATTAATCCGCTTCTCCACTTTCACTGTACGAACCTACATTATTCAATTGAGTGACAAAATTATATCCACACCAAAGTACACAAGGGAGCAAGATAATCTCCCAGTTGAAAGTGATAGGAACCAGAAAAGTAAGTTCTCACCATCTTTGAATTGTGAAACCCAACTTGACCAACATCCATTGTAGCGGTCTTCTTCAAGTTTGACCAGGGAGTGTAAACAACATCAATGTTGTTAACCTTGTTGCCTGGAATTCGAAAAACGAAAAAACACACCTAAAAAACAGTATCTTCACATCTCGTCGAAGTGCATCATGAAGTATATAATGACAAATGGAAATCTACAGAAGCTTCTACACCAACATCACCACGAAAATAATGGTACACCAAATGCAAGCTGCATATTCAGGAATCAGAAGAGCGGTAAAAGAGAACCATTGCCTTGAATTGAATTTGCTTTGACAAGCTGGCAACAATCCTCTAGTAACCCTTCACTTATATTGTCGAAAGTCTGACCCTTATGCAGCCTTACATAAACATGGGCTGAAGACATTTTGTCCACATGAAACCTGTAACCATCCGCCGAACGAAACATAGTCTTAGCATTGAGGGGAATCGCCAGAAACCCATTCAGAAACAAAACAACGATGTGAAAGTCATCCATAAAAGCCAACCTTCCAACTGCCCTGAACGCAGTAATGCATCATCACAAAGTCAATGAAGCAAAACTTCCGACTAACAGCACATAAAACCAAAATAACTAGGTCTGAACAGCAATCAGCTGCTTTCGAAATTGAATTAAGGATCATCAGCTTTCATCTATCTTATATAGAATTAAAACCAAGATAAAGCACAACCAAGACCAGAAAACCAATGGTCAACCAAATTTCAGAAATGGGAACTGAAAGTTGGAAACTTTGCGACAGTAGCAAAGCCTGAAAATTGTAACACGGGTAAAAACTAAAGCAGCAACCTTCAACCAAAGAAAGCCCCCATGAAAAGGGGTCAAACTTTAGCAGACCGGAACTATGGAAGCAAGCAACCATCAAATGGCGCTTCGATCAGAACATAAGCCATCAAGAACCCTTTTTAAGAAGAAAATCGGATGAATTGTTATTGCAGAAACAATTGAAAGGGGTAAGTGGGTTGGGGGTAGAATGGTAGATGCTAATTATTTACCAAACGTCTTCCGGGAAGCCGTATTTGATGAGTTCCTCGTTCTCGAACTTGTCGAATCCCATGAAAATGGTGTAATCGCCCACATCTGGCCGTGCCTTGAAGTACAGAACCATCTTCTTCCCCTGCTTTTGCTCTTCTCGCTACAATTCAGAATCCCCTGCCTTCCCTCTCTTCTGTAAATTGGGTCGTTAGGGTTCTTCCTTTTATTCCGATTTCTGGCCAACTTGCTGTGCTTGCCAAATTTTCAAAGGAAAATGCGTCGTTATTATTTTATTATATCCGACTTCTGTTCTAGCCTAATATTCCTACTTTCTTATTTATTTATGGTTAATTCACTTTCTGTCTCTATACTATGTAATTTTTCCAAATGTGTCTCTAGTGCTTTTAAACTTCTTTTTTTAGTCCTTATACCATAAAATCCATAGGAATGATTTGGATGAGTAATTGTAATAAATTATTTTGATTAAATTGTCTCGTTATAAGGCAATAGAACCCAATTAACGTGTTTTTCAACAGAAAATTTGGATGGATCAATTTGACATGAGACTAACGGTCAACGCGTTTGACCATCCAAGTTAACGGTCAAAAGTCGGATCTGGCCAAATTGTTTATTTTGGTGTATAGTTCGGGCCAGGATGTTATAGAACGAAAAGATTGGCTATGATGTTTATTTTTGTCAAAGTTCATGCCATACGAAAATATTAACCCATTTTTTTATGAATTGAATATTAACATTGCGTTAAGTGAAGTGTTAAGTCATTACCGAAGTCTTACGCAACTCTTATAATTCAATTATCACGTACAAAATAATTGTTGTTCCGTAACTTTTACGTAATTGATGTGTATTTTACATAATAGATATAGAATGTCATCACGAAAGTTTTACGTAATGGTTTTTCCTTTTGCGTAATGATTACTAAATTTGTGTTACGTAAAATGTTAATTTAACTATCACGTAAGAAATAACTTTTGTGTCGTAAACCTTTAAGCAATGGATGTGTATTTAACGTAAGAGTTGTAAAATGACATTACGAAAGCCTTACCGTAATGGGCGGTCATTTTACGTCATGAACATTGACCTTGTGTAAAAGTCTTAAACAATTTTTTGATGAATGCGATGAGTCTAAAATAATTATTAAAGCTTTACGTACAACACGTCTAATTTGATGGTTATGTTAGGATTTGAAGCTAGGGAATATTTGGAGCCATTATTTTGACTTTGAAAGAAACTCTAAAAATGAAAAGTTGAAAGAAACTCTAAAAATGAAAAGACACTCAATACGGAAAAAGATCAAACAAGTCACCAACAAAGCTGAGTCCAAATTGTTGTAGGAGGCCCCAAACAATTTACATCATAAACTCAGAATACCTTCTACTTGGTGTTTGACATGTAGACAACATACAACAATGAAACACAATAAATAGCCAAAGTGTTGGTTTGTGTTTACAAAAAAACTAAGAATCCCAAGAGCCCATAAACAAAAGAATGAACACTATATAATGAGGCCTGGGCCCAAATCCCACTTAATCTAGAAACACACAAATCCTCTATGGTTGATACAAACAGAGATTCTCAAAACCCATGTACTCTCCTTTCTCTACCTTCTCAACCAGGTTTGTGATCCCAACTCCACCTAGCGTTATTGCACTGATGAAGATTGTAAAGGAGAGCACAAATATGATGAGCGATGCCCTGCCTGTCCATCCCACAACTGCGCTGATTAAGTGCTGCCCAATATAGGCTGCTAAAATGGACACTGCAACAAGATACAGAACTGCCAAAAGAGCAAAGATGGAGGGAGAAGCTTATTCAGATTGTCAACTTCAATTTAAGTTCAGCAATGGTATAACAGGCTGGTTAAAATACTTACCGTAAGGGACAGGGAAGCGATGGAGAAGGTAGTATTCCACCACAGACATGGATGCAGAGAACGCCATTCCCAGAGTTGCTGTAGCACTAACAACCTTCAACAAAAATGAACAAACACATACAAACGGATCTTCAATGTTTCAACCAGATTGCCGAAAGGTGAAAAAAGCTGCAATTTTTTTGCAGATTCATGGCAGATGATAGAAATGCTTGCCTGAGGAGCAATGCCCAGTTCAAGAAACAGAGGACCCATCACAAATCCACTACCCAATCCAAGCAGCCCACCAACGATACCAGCAAACAACCCACAAATGGAGAACAAAGTCAGCTGCTTTAGCTTCAAGGTCGTTGCTCCTTCTCCCTTGGATGCTATCTTCTTTGTCCCTTTGTACAGGGCAGTTGCCTGATACAAGAACACACTGGCCGAGATTGGGATCTGGAGCAAGTTCAGGGCCCAGTACTCCATTGAACAAGTGGCTGTGTAGTTCTACAAGGAATGAGTGTTCAGTCCAAAGATAGATGAACACAGAAAGGAAGAATAGCCAAAAGAATTAAGAAATCACCTTGGCGATCTGCAAGGCGACGTAGGAGACCCAGACGAAAGTCACAAGTCCAAGTTCCTTCCACCGAATGTTCTCAACAATGGAAACCTGAAAACCCCCCATTACCAAGAAAGCTACTTTAGCTGTGATTTCCAGACTATGGCAGAGAAATGAAAAAAAATATACAACCTCTCGTATTTTGGGAGTTGAAATATTTCCTGTCGTTGCTCCTTGGTCTGGCCCTCCTAGAAGCTGCTTGTACTCTCCCACCTCCCCACCATCACCTGCCAAGAAATTTATGTGCTCACTTGGGCAAATAATCAAACACCTGGTGCCCATAAACCATTGAAACTGGAGCTCTTTGTTTACTACCTGCTGGTTCCAAAGCAGCCTCCTTGTTCCAGAGTTCAAGACCCTTGACAAATGCCCTTCCCGCCGTTGCTAAGAGCAGAATGATGAGAAGAATCGTGACCATCCAATCAGGGAATACAACGTTGAAAGTGACTCCAATGCTGATTCCCAGCAGCAGCACGGGTTGAATCAGCAGTATCAAATCATATTCCACGATGGGAAGATCCAGAGTCGGGTGCCTCAGCTTGAGATTGTAGTAGACAGTTGAAATCGCAGCGGCAGTGATCATACCTGCCGAAAAAAATGTCACAATTTTGAATGGACAAACTAGCCTAATACTGAAGCAAGCTCATGGGAAAGGAAATCCTCTGCTTTCGTTATCTTCTTACACTTGGAGATGGCGATGGCAGATTTCGGATCGAACCCAATGATGAGAGTAAGCATGGGAATGAATATCCCGCCGCCACCAACGCCCCCGACACTTCCAAACGCTGCTCCAAGGAACCCAATTGCAGTCCCCACCACTACTTGCCACCCAAATTCCAGTTCCTGAAGTAAGAATGCTTTGCAGAGTGAGTAGAGTGATCAACTTGCAGAGTGGAATCCAGCTGCATTTCAGATTCAACACTCGTATATGGAAAAGTAGATTTTGGGTTGTTACTTACAGGCCAAACATGCTGATACTGGAAACCGGACTGCCATGGGAAGGCATCACCCATTGTTGTTTCCGAGCTGGATGGGAAGCTAAAGTTAGCATATGGGGAGAGACTTACCAAGAAGAGTATCAACCAGTAGTGGTTACTAAACAGTGAGGAGGCGACCAGGAAACGAGGGAAAGGATAACAAAATGAATGCCATCATAAGATTTCGTGGCATAAGTGAGAAGATCCTTTGATCCATCCAGGGGAATAAAAAATTCGACTGGTTCATAATGAGCGCCATGTCGCCGTAAGTACTAATAATAATCTACCTTAGAAAACGACAGTTCTAGCCTGTATCCCGTGGATAATCAGATCAGGCCCACATGGACTGCATTGATCAATTTGGTGATCCTAGATGAGAACAGTACATGTGTTTTGGTTCTGATTATGACTTCAGTTTGTATTGATCCGTTTGAAGCTGTATTATCAGCAAGTAGTGCTCGAAAGGCCAACAAAAATGAAAAGCCAGCAAAAGAGATGGGGGCAGAAGAAGAAAGATCCTTTGATCCATGGGAATAAAAGAACTCGACCTTATGGATTGGGAGAGGTGAGTCCCTTTCTTTTGTACAAATTCGCTTTGGATTATATTGTAGGAACTAATGTATGAAGAGTATTATAATCGTATGTACTACACATTGATCTCTCTCAACAATTCGAATTGTTGGGACCAATTGATTCATAAAATGGTATTAGCTTGTGATAGACCCTCTTCTTTTCCATTCTGCTACCCATAAACATGAGTCAATTTCCTCTCCCATTTTTACCAACCCACGTGGAAGACAAGCTAGGTGGCATTTCACCCATTTTCCACTTTTCATTTCATGGGGATAGTAACTCCTTGAAATCACCACCTCATGCTCCATTTTGACACATGGACATGGTTAGGTTGATGGGGAATTATACCACCCCTCATTTTACCCCACCAGAGCACATACACCATGAATAAAAAAGGGGTTAAATAAATCCCTTCATTCCATGTGGCTTGTAGTTGGCAAGGCCAAGGGTTTTCCTTTTTGTCTTTCATTTCCCTCCACCAATCATGACTTCCATATACTTTCTATTGAGAAGACATGTCCTACTTAAACACACATGTAAATCCACCCAATTCTTCTCTAAACACCTGGACATGACTACTTTCCTCTCCCACCAACAAAGCCTCCATAAATTCTTACGTGGCCACATGAAAATGGTGATGGTCAAGTTACCATTTCTCTCCATGTTTATGTAAAGGTGCTCTAACAATTACCACCCACCTATCCATGTACATGAGCTGGATTGGATCCAAAAAACCTGTAACTCTTGTACCACTTACACGTGGAGAAAGGTGGGAAGGTATGCAATTTTATATCCTTTATACATATGGTTTTATTGTGCCAGTAAAGAGGATAATGGTTCATGGGTGATTATTCACACACAACCAAGGTAAGTTTCTCAAACCTTTAATTAAGTTGTTAACTCCATTTGTTGTTTTATGTTTTAAATCACTACTAATAAAGGATACGCCACCCCACCAGGAGCAGGACGCGCCTATAAATAGGTCGTTCATTTCTGTTTCCTAGGGGATCCATCTCAATTCCAGGGAACTCATTTTCTCTGAACGAGATAGGAAAAGGGGAATTCCCGACGAACTTCTTCTCGGCGAATTGGCAACTTCCAACCCCAAAATTTCTCTTTCTTTCTCCCTAGAGCCGGTTCTATACGCCGCTCCTTGTTATTTCCAAGTACTGACTTGAGCTTTGGAGAAGGTCCCAGCCGACCACAACCGGCGGGTCCTCTTTTGCAGGTATTCATCTCGAGAACTGGAATCCAACGGCAAATCAAAAGGCCAACGCTCTCCGGACTCTACAACGTTCGAGGTCAGCTATTTTAGCTTGGCATCAACAGCTTGTTTGATTATGAGGTCACATGCATGGGTGTAGTCAGAATTGCATTCAAGGTGGGTCATTTGAACAAAATACATATGATAAATAGTTTTTTTGTTACTTTTTAATCATCCATTATATAATCTTATATTTTGAAAAACTTAGTAAAATAAAATACATTAATAGTAAAAAATATCAAGAAAATTACTCTATGAACCAAACAATTATTCGTAATTTAGTTAGTCGTTAATCTTACATAACAAGAAACCTTTTGAACAAATGATATGATACTTGCATTCTACATATAATTTCTAACTATTTCCATATGAATATACTGCTATTAGAGATGCCAAATGTGACTAAATGCCCCACAACGTAGCGGCGGATATTGATTCTACTAGAGTACAAGGATTAACACTTTACACGAAATTTAAGAATCGTATTTGCATAGGTTCTCAAATCCCATGTATTCTTGTCGTTCGATTTTTCCAATCATGTTGGATATGCCAACACCACCTGACCAGCAATAGCATATAAAGAAGCAAAAGAGTGTTAAAAGGTTGATGTATATAACAAGATAAAGCTGAAGTTCGAAGTATAGCACTATAGTTCATCCATCTCCATTAGGCTTTATGTCCAAATTGTCCATATTCAGGCTTGTAGGCTCTCTAATTAGCTATCTGGTAGGCGGAAACCCTATTAGAGTCCGGATCTGGTGACTAAGGGGGGGTGCTTAGTCATTTGGCTAAGCCCCCCTCAGCCCTTGGATCAATCTAATGGTGTAGAAAATGGAAGGACTATTTTATTAATAAGAAGGGCAATTCTGGAATTAGGAAAAATTCAAAAAAAAAATAAAATTCTCCACCTTCTCTTCTGCGCTGCCAGCCACGGGATGAAGAGGCGACGATGGAAAAGAGGCGACCGGCGGCGACGATGGAGAGAGAGAAAGGAGACCTCGACCACGACGGCGACAGCGACGGCGACGGCGACGATGGAAAGAGGGAAAGGAGATCGCGACGGAGGCGAAGGCAATGGCGGAGAGAGAGCGCCGGCGACAATGGAGGAGAGAGAGGCGGCGCGACGATGGAGGAGAGAGAGGCGGCGCGACGATGGAGGAGAGAGAGGCGGCGCGACGATGGAGAGAGAGAGAGAGGTTGCGATGGCAGTAGATTGAATCAGCGGCGGCAGCGGTGGAGAGAGAGTCGACGGCGGCGGCAGCGGTGGAGAGAGAGTCGTCTGAAGGAAGAACAGTGATTTGTATAGTTTGTATGTTTTGTAACATTTGTTTGTATTGTTAGTATTTTTGTACAAAATGTCAGTATGGTTTGTATGTTTTTCTTTGACAGTTTGTACTCTTAGTATGTTTTTCTTTGACAGTTTGTACTCTTAGTATGTTTTTCTTTGACAGTTTGTATTCTTAGTATGTTTTTCTTTGACAGTTTGTATTCTTAGTATGTTTTGCTTGTATTCTTAGTATGTTTCGCTTTGTATTGTAAGTACTAATAATTTGTATACTTTATATGTATTGATTTGTGATGCAAAAAACATTACAAACATGGTTGACAAAAATGTGGACAAAAATAACAAACATTACAAACAGTACAAAAGAAACCAACAAACATTACAAACATTACAAAATAACAAACATTACAAACATTGCAAACAAACATTACAAACATTACAAACAAACATTACAAACAGTACAAAGCATACTACACGTACAGAATATCACTACTTACAATACAGATTGGTAAACTTGTATTACAAACAAATGAATACAAAGTATACAAATCATAACATAAAAGTATACAAACTTGAATAACAAAAGTTACAAATACAAATCAATGAATAGAAAGTGTATAAATCATAACATAAAGTATACAAACTAGACAAACAAACATTACTAACATTACAAACATTACAATGTATACAAACTAGACAAACAAACATTACTAACATTACAAACATTACAATGTATACAAAATAGTAATATAAACATTACAAACATCACGAACTCAAATACTGTTGTCGGAAAACCATCCACCACCGTCTCTGGTCGCCGGAAAATTGCTCCGCCGTCGCCGGAAAAGCTCTCTCTCTCTCTCTCTCTCTCTCTCTCTCTCTCTCTCTCTCAATGGCGCAGGTTGGGGAATTAATGGCGCCCCTCTCTCTGTGGACTGTGGTGGGAAATAATGGCGCCCAGACCAAGTTGCCGGCGGCGCAATTATTGGAACGGAGATGGGAGGCGACGGGAAGAGACGGACGGCTGGGTTAGTTTTTTTTATTTCTTTTATAATTAAAAATTAAAAATAACTATGCAATTACTACATTGCCCTTCATTAAATTGGATTAATAAGAGCCCTTGGATTTTAATGAGGTGCAATGGTGGAGATTTACTTAGCCATGTGACTAAGGGGGTTCCCCTTAGTCACCAGATCTTAGCCCAACCCTATTAGAGTGATTCAGGTAATATGGATCAAATTTGGATTAAGTCCGCTTAGTTAACTGATTGGTTTTGGGTGAGTCTATAGAGACTCGCGTTAAACTGGACAGTTTAAGGCAGCATAATTAGCATCTACAATTCTACATCCAATTCAACTATTAATTTAGTTGACATGAATACATGACATGCCACGATAGACTATTCGCGAAAAACTTAATAGAGATTGACGAGGTGAATGTAAATGCTAGTTATATTCAAAACTTCAGTGACAAGTTTGTTAAAAACAAAATTTTAGGGACTGATTTGTTAGTGAACCCAAATTCAGTCATCCCCCATGTAAAATTACAGGACCGAGATACCTCACCTAGAGAGATTGCACTGACGAATATGGTGGATGCTAGAATGAAAATGATCAGAGACGACCTTCCTAGAATGATGATCAACTTTCTCACAACATGCTGCCCCACAAATGCAGCTACTGTTGCTACGGCAAAGAAGTAGACAGCTGCAGAAGGAGAAAAACCAGTGAAACAAAGGAAAGCTGAGACGATAGAAATCTAGAGGAGAGCTTCAAGACAAGCACTGTATACCATATGGAACAGGAAATCGATGCAGGAGGTGGTACTCTACGACGGACATAGACGAGGAGAAAGTCATTGCAAATGTTGCAGTGGCACTTGAAACCTACAAACAAATTCCATGAAAACGGTATGAAAGGGTTTCACCATGATCAACCTTACAAGTTCAGAAATACAACAGTAATGAAGAAGAAAGCTCACCTGAGGAGGCACTCCTAGCTCCAAAAATAGTGGACCCAGTATGAATCCTCCTCCGAGTCCAAGAAGTCCACCTACGACTCCAGCCAGGATACCGCAAGCACAATAAGTCACAAGCTGGTGAACTTGCAAGTTGGTGCCTTGGTCTCCCTTGGATGCAATCACCCTGTGTCCTTTGTAGAGGCTGAAAGCCTCGTAGCCTGAGACACCAAGTGACACTGGGATCTGCAAAAACAACAGACAAGTATTGACTCACCCCACCTTAGCAAAATCGGCAGAAACAAAAATGATGACTTTGTCTCCATACCTGTAACAAATTCAATACCCAGTAGTTTGTTGAGCAAGTAGCCATATTATTCTACAAAAACAGAGTTACATTTGTTACGAAACGGTTCTTGAATCTTGATGGAATTGGCAGTACGAAAGTTCTGAGGGTCAGCAGAAGAAGAAAAAAACCTTTGCAATCTGCAATATGAGGAATGCAACCCAAACGGATACAAGAAGCCCAAGTTCCTTCCAACAAACATTCTCTGCAATTGAAACCTGGAAGAATATATACCATTAGATGAATCTCTTTCCAGGGATCTGCCTCCAATTTCAAAGGCGGGCTCCAACTCACCTCTGCTTCATTGGCGTCCTTTCGAGGGCCACTTGGAAGAGGCCTGTATGCGTTATCCCCACCACCATTACCTAGTACAATCACACAAACACAACAATCAGTCAAATTCTAGGCTATCACCAAACCAAGATAATCCAAAGATCCAGTAGAAAAATTAAGAACGAGTAAATAAGCAGCAACTCACTGGTTGACTCAAGACTCCTAGCAGCCTCCTGTTACACAATGGCACCTATTCTTCACCAAGAACTAAGTTGTGAATTGATAAACTGACGTAGAGAGAGATTACCTTCTTCATTACTGTTTCCTTTTTCCAGGTTTCAACACCCTTCAAGAATGCTTTCGATGATGTACCTATACCATGAAGATTAATTAGCCAAAAAGGGATGCGCAAGTGCAGAATGACCAGCAATACTTTCTCAAGAGAAGATTCATTACCTATAAACAGAACAATAAGCAGGACAGTAACCATCCAGTCTGCGAAGATGACATTAAAAGTCACACCGATACTAATTCCTAGCATAAGCATGGGCTGGATCAGTAGAGCCAAATCATAATCAATGATTGGCATGTCAAGTGTAGGATGTCGTAGCCTAAGATTATAGTACACAGTTGATGCAGCTGAACCCATTATCATACCTAAACGACAAGAAAATGGTCATAAACACGTTCATTAATAGCAATGCCACTTAGTCTTAGCTTTACCGTCAATGCAACACGGGTAATCTTACATTTAGAGATTGCAGTTGATGATTTAGGATCAAACCCAACAATAAGGCTAAGCATAGGAACGAAAATGCCACCTCCGCCAACACCACCCACACTCCCAAATGCTGCTCCCAAGAACCCAACAATTGTGCCCAGCACTATTTGCCATCCAAATTCCAGTTCCTGCACACTCCACAGCAACCAACCTCAAGTCATTTTACAGCCACCCATCTAGTTTGCATTAAGATGAGGGCAAGAAGGCAATCATCATGGTAGGAAGGTTGTCATTAGGTGGAAAAAAAAAATAGGCAAGGAGTAAAGACAAAAATAGAGAAATCCGGACAATACAAAACTCCAAAGTCCGGCCAAAAGGATGAAACAGGGAAAGGTGTAGGTGGGGGCCATCAACCCAGAAGGGGATGAAGGATAATGGACAACCACTCCATAATTTTGGATATGAGCAGTCAACTACGCCATGGACGGAATTAGGAAACGAAAAAGGAAGGAGAAATGAGACCAGCCTTACAGGCCAGACGCGCTGATAACCTGTTCGACCATTTTGCCACACGAAATCCGATGCCTTAACGAGAAAACTAGAGGCAACACTCCGCTCTTCCGATTCTTCGAATCTCAAACGTCGGTCCGCCGAGACAAACACGACCGCGAACAATAAATTCAACAGAACCGCCGACATCGTCCTCATAATCCGCCGCCGCGCTCCGCGTTCCGCCATCAGATAGATCCACCGGCAGAATAAATGAGGGGGGAAAGAAAAGGAACGGTAGTTGTTGTATTACGGGCGACGGGGGCTCACTGAAAACCAACACAAATTTTGAATCTCCGGCGACTTGCGAAGAGACTTCGCTGTCCACTTGGCAGGGATTCAAAGTCAAAAGGCGAGATCGTAAGGAGAATGAAATTCCGAGGGAAGGGAAGCGATAGATTTGGAGCCCTCAAATTCCGGGGGAAAATGGCCGAATAGGGATCCTCGGAAGAAAATGGGAGGGGAGATACAGGCCACGTTTGTTTTCCGGGAAAGCGATAGGGAACCCATTTTTGTGTGCGCGCGCCAGAAAATATTGGGCTGCCAGGCCTTTCCAAGTGTCAAAACTCGACCAAGAGGACCGATGGATTGCAAATTTCGGGCTTGCTTATCAATAATTCGGGTAGTTAGCATAAATGGTCACACAACTTATCACTTTGTACAAAACGGTCACAAAACTTTCATTTTGCACAATTCGGTAATACATGTTTAAACTTATAACAAAACCATCATTTCCATCCATCTCCGTCCAAAACCCTAACAGAATGCCGATGTGGCTGCTGACTCAACTTCCCAATCAGCAAAATATTAATAAATTATTTCTATTATTTAAAACTCATCTTCAATATTTTAAGAAGAAAACTAAAAATAACCGTTCTTAGCCCTCAACTCCTCTGCGTCGCCAGGAAGAATCACAACCACCACATAAATCCCACCGATTTACAACATCCGAGACAACAGAAACCTACCCACTCGAATTCGTTTTCTTCCCCTGGTCTGCGATGCTGCTATCGGGGTACAAACCGAAGGGGAAAACCAGTGGAGGGTTAGGGTTTTCACTCTTAAACCTAGCGTCGAAACTGAAGAAGCCTGGGAAAGGCAGAGGACGTGAAAATGGGCTCTGGCGGGTTCCCATCGTCGACGGCCGAGAGGATTCCGAAGTGGAAGACAGAAGTAGATCGGGCGGCAGACTCTGTTAAACTTTGCGGGAAGTTCAGTTGCCAGAGGGAACCCAATTGACGCCCTATCTCTCATGGATTTCCACCGGCGAGAGCGCCTGCGGAGATGGAAGAGAAAGCGGAGGAAGAAGAGGTCCCCGCATTGTGATCAGGGAAGGGAAGACGGAGGGTCACTTTCCCTCTTTCTATTTTAATAATTTAAGTTTTATAAATATTTTTAATTGTAATTAAATAGTAATAAATGAATATATCATAGTTTATCAATTATTTTGCTGATTGGGATGTTAAGTAAACAGCCACATCAGCATTCTGTTAGGGCTTTGGATGGAGATGGATGGAAATCACGGTTTTGTTATAAGTGTAAACTTGTATTACCAAATTGTACAAAATGAAAGTTTTGTGACCGTTTTGTACAAAGTGATAAGTTGTGTGACCATTTATGCTAACTACCCTCAATAATTCAGTATTCACGGGTCATCTATTTCGGCCCATGGGCCCGGAGAGGAAGAGCGTTGCAGCTGCATCAACCTTCTAAGTTCTCACTTCTCACCACCCACTCCCTCGAAGCCCCATGATGAAGATGATGCATTTGCAGCTCCATCAGCACTACTCCCCGCCATTTCCAAACCCTCGTTTATCCCGAATTCTGGTCCCCGTTTACTCTCACACCTCCTTCCCCACCCATTTACACATTGCTCCTCGAAGCCTTCACTCTTCTCGGAGACTAGTGGAATCCGTATTCCTTCCTTCCCCTGCCCCGCTTTCTCGGTTCATCTGCAGGTCCAATGGCCGCTCAGGTGACAGAATCACTTCCCTGAATTCAGTTTCTCTAGGTCCCATTTCAGCGTTTCACTGTTTAACTTCGTGGCTGGGTTGAACGCTTGAAGAAGCTGTTGGGGAGAAAATTTTGAATGAGTGCTATTAGGTCTTTCAGGACTTTTGACAAGCAGTTAGCGTGCGTTTGGTTTTGACGTTGTGTTGTCTGAATTGTAGATATACCTGGGAGTCTTGAAATTGGGAAGCGGGGAGGTGGAAGGAAGCCTGAGAGGCAAGTGAATGGGGTGTTCTGGGTTATTCTCGTGAACCTTGGTGTGTTCTTGGCTGATCACTTCTTCCAGGTAAATTCTGAAGTTTTTCCTCTTGCAAAGTTTGAAGTTCGGATTGTGTAGTTGAGTCTGTGACTTTGTTCTGTTTTCTGCTATTCATCGAGAAGGTCCGCGCCATAAAATCTCTCTACTTGTATCACAATTGGCCTGCCTGGTACCAGTTTGTCACAGCAACGTTTTGCCATGCCAGTTGGTGAGCTAAATTGAGCTGCCAAAGTTCCCTCACACTTCTATGTACTTCATATTCTTATTGGGGTTTTCATGTGTCAGGGAGCATCTCTCGAGCAACCTTTTCTTCTTGTACATCTTCGGTGAGGGCTGCGGTTTACTTGGGTTACTGGATGATTGTATTTCAAAATTTTAGATTGGAAATTTGATATGCAGTTATTTTCTATTTGCAGGAAAGCTTGTTGAAGAAGAGGAAGGAACTTTTGCTCTGTGGTTTTCCTACATTCTTACTGGTGTTGGGGCGAATCTCGTTTCGTGGCTAGTTCTACCCAGGAATGCCGTTTCGGTTGGAGCCTCAGGTGCTGTTTTCGGATTGTTCGCCATTAGTGTACTTGTCAAGGTAAATTAGTCCTCCTTTCTGATGGATGGTGGCCCTATTCTCTGAAAGCCTATCTTCAAGATGAGCCATCTCTTGATTTTGTCAAGTGCAGTTGACTTGGGACTGGAGAAAGATCCTTGAGGTGCTGATATTGGGGCAATTTGTTGTAGAGAAGGTATGCAACCAACTTCCCGAGCTTGATTCTTTTCAGCCATGGAATAAGTGGTATCTTTTTTTTCCATCCAAAAGCTTCCGATCTATGAAATGCTTATGGTCATTTCTGTTATTGCAAACAGGTAATGGAGGCAGCACAATCTTCAGCAGCATTATCAGGGAGCTTAAGAGGAGGTAACCCGGGCCAGAGTGTGAACCATATTGCACATCTCTCTGGTGCTCTGATCGGCGTTCTTCTAGTTTGGCTCGTCAGTAGAATCCCTGCTCCTAATGACGACGATGAAGTATCGTCTTTGACTGGGAAATCAAGGAAAAAGTGAAAGCACAGAGCCACCAAGCACGGTGTGTACTGATCAAGTTTGCATATTGATGTGTCATTGAAGCCACGATTATGTTTGTATGATTCTACACGGATGCAATACAAGAACTTTGTTATAGTTAGATGAATATTTGGAATTTGTACACTTGTGTTTGGACTGACAAAACAGCCTGAAGCGTTCATCGTGGTTTCCCCATGGCAAAATAAAGCAGAACAAAAGACGAATTTATTATCAGAGCCTGGTTTCGATCCAGGGACCTGTGGGTTATGGGCCCACCACGCTTCCGCTGCGCCACTCTGATGATTGTTGTTATATGTCTTCTCTCTTTATTTTATTACTCTACAAATCTTTGTGAAGAAGCACGGGGAAAAATGATTATACCAGAAACTTAAATTTGAAATCTCGCAATTCACAGAGTTCAACAGTAAAATCAAGATTTCATGATTAAGGTGCACTAGAACAGATGCGAAAAAAGACCTATAGATTGTTGATCAGTAGGGTCACAGATTTGAAAGGCCTTTGCAGCTATCTACAACATAAGTTCCCTCTGCCCCCTTAGCCAAAATGCAGATACAAGTAAAAATGCGGGGAAAAAACGTTGCTTTCTGTTATCTTCCTGTACCTATCTTTTCAGTTGAGGAACACCGCTGTACAAGACTGTGCAAGTTGACCATATACACCACCCACCTGTTATCTTCCTGTACCTATCTTTTCAGTTGAGGAACCCGGCTGTACAAGACTGTGCAAGTTGACCATATACACCACCACCACAATGCTGCACTTGACACTGCTTCAGGCACATCACCCTCGACCACCTCGACCCGAATTTACTGATGTAAGAAAGATTCACCTGTTTAGTTGCAAGCCACGAGCATTCCGTCGAAGAAGAATCAGTCGGGTCTCTCAGCACAATCCTACCACCTTTCTTAGTCAATCCAGACAATCCTGTCGCAATCTGCTTCTGATAGAGTTCCTCTAAGCTCTGCACTGTTATTTCTTCTTTTGCTTCTGCTTCTGCTGCAGCTGATTCCTCTGTTAGTCCACTGGCAGCCCATGCTTCTGAGACAAGCACGAGGGTTGCCTTCTCAGGCTCGATCCCAGATTCTCTCATGATTTGGAGAACCTCTTTTGCCTTCCATGGCTGTTTAGCTTTACAGTATCCCAAGATTAAGGTCTTAAATGTCTTCAGATTAGGAGACACACCGAATTCACGCATCTGGTTGAAGACCCTCATTGCAGAATCCATTCTGCCACAACTGCACCATCCGCTGATGACTGTTGTGAAATTCACGACGTTCGGGTGGATTCCTGATTCGATCATGGATTTAAAGACCTCTTCTGCTTTCTCTGGCTCTCTGGCACGAGCATAGCCTTTGGCAAGAATGCTGTATGCATGTGCATCGGGTTGAATGCCAGCATTCACCATGTCTTCGAAGATCTCTCTGCACTTGTTCATGCGCCCTGCTGTGCTCCATGCATTCATGATAGTACTGAATGTAATGACGTCAGGTTTCGCGTTGAATTCTCTCATCAACTCGAGGACCTGCGGATTAATACAACAACGTATCAAAACCCAGATACGAAACTAAATTGGGAGGATTTCTAGCGAATGAGTTGGAAAGAACTAGTGTGCATCATTATAGTTCAACATTAAGGACAGCTCAGAGCTCACCTCATCAAGTCCTGCTTTATCCATCTGGTCAAGAAAGCCTTTGATCAGCGAGTTAAAAACAACAATGTTAGGACGCACATCAAGTTCCTTCATTCTGCAGACAAACCTCAGAGCTTCACTGGTTCTTCCTTCTTTCACATACCCACTTATGATGATACCACATGTTCTGGCATTAGGCTGTACATCATGCTTCTGCATCTCTGAAATCACACCTTCAGCCTTCTTTGGCTCTCCTTGCTTCGCATAAGCTGATGCAATTGTGTTATAAGTAACTGCATCAGGTTTAGTCCCTGAACCCATCATCTTATTCACTATATTCCATGCCTCATCGATGTTCTTGTTACACCATGCTCTAACAAGAACATTATAACTCCTGAGATTAGGTTTCGGGTTCCCTTCCTTGGACATAAGTTCCACCAGCTTAGTAGATTCTTCAGGTCTACCAGCAATGCCATAGCCTTTGACCAGTGTGTTGTAAGCGCTGGCTGCAGGTTTCATCCCATTCTCTTTCATCTTCCATAAAGTTTCCATGGCTTCCTTCATGTTCCCGGATTCAGCAAATGCATTGATCAGGGCATTGAAGAATACTGAATCTGGTTTCAGTGCATTCCCCTCTACCTGAGAGATGATAGAGGCTACAGAGTCGAAGCGCTTCTGCAGGGTCAAGGAATTCAAGAGAATTGTGTATGTTACTAGAGATGGTCTGTGGCCTCCCTCAACCAAACTGTCAAATATGGTTTGTACTTTCTCTGGCTTTCCTCTGTTCATCATAGCATTCATTTCACTCGTCCGTGCTCTAACAATTCTACAGCTATTTTTGCTCATGCAAATTGTGCAACTGACTGCACTTGGTGACTCTGCAGACCTTGACATAGGAGATGAATCGTTCTGATTATCTGGATTATTCACCTGGGAAACAAGAATAATCTCTTAGACTGAACCGATACAAAGTTCCTTACGGTCAAACAATCAGGCATAACGAAATAAATGGTACATGCAGAGGTTCACGAGGTTAGTGATAGCCATGGATACCTTGATTGGCAACAAAAGAGACCATCCTTTCTTCATAGCAGTTGCTCCTCCTGCTGGATTTCCGTTTGAGTTCCCTAAAAAACCATTCTCCTTGCAAGACGCTTCCATATTGAGACTACCTAAATCCGTGCTTCTTACTTCAGAGTCCTCACTTGAATCTAAGCCATCACATTCTCTCGACTTCAGCCCTTAAACAAAAGAAAACAGAGAAAGCTCAAGAAATCCATGAACGATAACTCACAACTCCATGAACGATAACTCACAAATTAACAGAAAGTAACAGGCGGGGATTCGCTCTCTATCCAAACAAGTTTCCAAGAAACATGGAAGCGGAATCACAAATCAACACAGCCGCAAAAGTTGCCAACTGAAACGAAGCAGAGATCAAGCCAAAACTGTGCAGAGAAAGCTATCTAGAAACCCTAAAGAACTAGAGAACCCGTCGTAACGGGAATGGACAACTGATCGTCGCAAGAACACAGTGTCCGCAACCAGAGAACCAAATGTGAAGATGATCGTCGCAAGAACTCGAAGAAACGAAAAACGTAATCATTCCTACCGCAAAGAGAAGACGAAAGAACTGGAAGTTCGCGCCATGGATACGCGACTCAAGCGAAGACAAATCAACGCAAGAAATAGGCCAAAACGAAGTCGAATGCGCGCAGCAAAGTTGAGCAGAGAGCGTTCTTCGATAGTTCGAGAAATGAAAGCAACTAGTAAGGAAGGGGAAGAGAGAAGGAAGTTCTAAATTTACCAGTCGGTTCATCGCGCCATTGGAGAGAAGCAGAGAGAAGGTAGCAACTAGCAATGCAGGGGAAGAGAAAACGGGAATTTGCAGTTTGGACAGGACGGGGCTTAAGTAGCTACAAATACAATTACGTGCGGGGATATATATTTATTTATATTATTCCGAATAAATTTGTTTTGCACCAGAAAATCCTGTAAGAAAAAAAAAAATCAACGGAGAAATTGTGGGCAAAACAGTGAAAATGAGAGGGCTAGTAAAATTGACGCTGTGCCTGTAATTATCGGTAAAAAAACTTCAGGCTGAAATCATTTTGACCTGATTTCCTTCATTTTTGTTAAATTTTTTCATTTCATATAGATCATAGAAGTATTTTTTTCTGTGAAACGGACTTATATAAGTCACAATCCAAATAAGTCGAAAACGGTAGTATATTGGCGAAATTACCTAGTTAAACTATTATAGTGATGAATAAAAGAATGATATTTGTAATTGTTAATTGAAAAAGATAAATACATGTATGTCTATAATCTAATCACATTTGTATATATAAAAATAGAAATACAGGATATATGTCGGATTCAAAAGGACGTGTATTCACACGTCCAAAGTTCCAATCAATGATTTCTTGAGTGAATCATATTAGAAATCAATACTTGAAAAAATCTACATAACAATCGAAATCGGTTCAAAGACGACTGGCTCATAAAGTAGGTTGTAAAATTATTTTGCGCGGAAGATAATAAATGTTGATGTTTATAATACCGTCCCAATATGTTGTATCAATAAGCTGTGTGACACAATGATAAAATTGATACATTTTGTATTAGGGATGGCAATAGGTCGGGTTAGGGCGGGTTTTGTCACCCAAACCCAAATCCATGGGTTTATCCGCCAAAACAACCCGGGGTAAAACCCGTTGGGTTTGAAAAACTCAAACCCAACCTGCTGGGTATCCGCGGGTTCATGGGTACCCGTGGGTTTTTGTGGTAAAAAAATTTACAATAACAAGTTTCTTTCAAAATAAAAGTTTAACATCAATTTTCTTTACAAATTATTCATACAAAAAACACTAATCTAGAGCATACAAGCAAATCGCAAATGATCATACAAATTGTTCAAAATTAAAGATAAACATCTATAAACAATAAGATTAATTGAAAGCTTCTTTCTCGTCAACTAAGTTTCTTCACTCTCCACTTCATAATATCAACTTCATTCTAAACAATTAGAAAGAACAAATTATACATGTCTCCACAAACATAAAGAATATTAGTTGTTTAAAAAAGATATATTATTTAGAATATTAAATATACCGGGAAAGTAATTATATGTGTGTGGGCGGGTACCCATGGGGCGGGTTTAGCTAAACTCAAACCCAACTCGACCCGGTGAATAGTGTAGCGAGTTTAAACCAAAACCCGGCCCAAAACCCGTCAACACGGGTTTTACCCGCGTTGACCGGGTTGGGTCGGGTGGGTACCCGTGGGTTCGGGTTTTGTTGTCATCCTTATTTTGTATATTAAAATTAGACAAAATACAATTTCATAGCTATAACTATTCGCTTTGTGACAAATAAAGTCAAGTTTTGAAAAATGCACTCATATAGCCAAAAATTAAAAGTTTATAAAACTTTATTGTCAACTATAATAACTTCGGTTACTACCGTTAATGTCGTCACGAACGCTGTCATCACCAAGTGACATGACTTCCACCTATACGACATGTCATCACCAACTAGACTCGATTTGCCCACATCACCGCTGACTTGGATTCCACCAAGTCGAGTCAATAGGTACATTCTTCTAGTGTTTTTGCATGAAAGAATGGAAGCTCTAGCAAGCACTTCAATATCCATAGTTGCGATTTGTTAATCGCAAGTCCCATTTTAACATGAATACAATACAACGATTCGAAGTTTACATGAATAATAAAAACTGAAGGATGAAAGGAAAACAAAATACAAGATGAAAGAAAAAAAATACAGCAGAGAATCGAATTAGAACGAATAGAGACAGGACAAGGCAGAGTAAAAGACTCACTCAGTCACATTGCTCACCAGTTAGGAAACACCCTGAGAGTCATGCGACGAACGATTGAATCAAGTGGATAATATCCAAATTATCTTCAAACACGATATATTTCCAACTCGAACAAGCAAAAAGAAAAAAAGAAAAAAAAAGATGGATCACAGTCCTGCTCTGTCTCGGAAGCAAAATCCTTTTCTCCTCAGGAAACCGAAACAAGTCATCACGTCCTACAGTCTTCTCTCTGAGATGGTATCGCTATCCGAAACAGATGGGTTCACCCCATAATCACTTGTCATCCCACTGTGATCACTCGTCAGCACAATGTTGAATCTCTTCATAATCATATCCTCCTTGTACTGCGCAGAACAGTAGTTCGAACCCTTCCAAGGACTGTAGCCATAAACCGCGCTGCGTCCAACCTTGTTCCCCTTGTCGAGATTCATCACAGCACGTGCATCTCCTTCCAGGGCATGAACTACCTGGCTCATCCGAGGACGAAGCCACGCTGAATGTCGAACGCACGCAGCGGCACAAGAAACCATTCGAGTCATCTCGGAGTTGTCGTAGTTCGTCCCTAGCCGTGGATCGACTAGGGATTGGAAGTTTCTGGTTTCCACGGCTTTGGTGAGTAGAGGCCGAGCCTGAAAACCACCAACACAGCAAGTAAAACCTCAGCATGTTTTTTCCCCTCTCTCCTCAACTCGACCAATTCAGATAAAAGCAAAGAAAACTCACCCACTCAACCAAGCTTGTTCTGGAAATGGATTCGGAGAAGCAGATAGGGGGACGTCCAGTTATAAGCTCCAGAAGCACGACACCGTAGGAATACACGTCTGATTTTTCTGTTACTTTGCCACTGGATGCATATTCTGGAGCTAGGTACCTGGGGAAAAAACCAGAGAAACATTGAAGATGACGAACAAGGGCTCACCCTGTTTGTTGTTGAAAACAAAGACAAATCGAGAAGAAGCTCCTACCCAAAAGTTCCAACCACCTGAGTGGAAATGTGAGTTACAGAAGCATCAGCATTGTAACTTCTGGCCAATCCAAAGTCAGATACCTGAAATTTATCAAGGCAGATTTTCTCATCAATGAAGACCTATCATCGACAAAATTGGATAGAGTGCAGTTCTTGACAGCTAATGTCCCAAACCTTTGCCTCAAAGTTGTGATCAACGAGAATATTGGACGCCTTGATATCACGATGAAGGATCTTGGGATCACCTGCATGCAGAAATCTCTTGTTGTGAGCTTCCAGAAAGTTATAGTCGAGTATTTATATAAAAAAAAGTTACATTCAAGTATGCAGTTAAGGGAAGGAGACCAACAATCGTCATGGAGATAAGCAAGTCCTTTCGCAGACCCAACAGCAATTCTCAATCTAACTCCCCACTCCATTACCGGTCGCCCATTTCCTGCAAATTAAGAAAATCAACTCGATGATATTTTTCATGTGAAAGTGTAAGGGTGGGGATTATGAGCTAGCTTACCATGAAGGTGGAATTCGAGGGTGTCATTGGGAACAAACTCATAGACAAGTAACCTCTTGGCTCCATGAATACAATACCCAAGCAAGGAAACAAGGTCCTTGTGATGTATCCTGCTGATGATTTCAACCTCTGCCTGAAACTCCTTCTCCCCTTGCTTCCTTCCTTCTCTCAGCTGCTTCACCGCGACTTCTTTCCCGTTGGAAAGAACTCCTTTATGAACGTACCCAAACCCGCCTTCTCCGACGAGATTTTCCTCTGAGAAACCATCAGTAGCCACTGCTAGTTCTTCATAAGTCAAACCATTAGTAGGGTACTTCTCCGCCAGAGATACATTAGCAGAACATGAAACGGCAGCAGCAGCGGGGCCGGTGAGCGGCGGAGTTGCTTGAGTCCCGACATTGATGACGTGGCTGCCGTCAGTTGGGGTGCTTTGCTGTAAATGTTGCGCCGCTGAAGATAAATCAGCTCCTCCGATGCCTGACAGTTTCGGTTCATCGTTTCTTTTCTTGCTCCGTCTGTATAGGATAGCACCCAAAAGGGCAAGAACCAGAAAGAGGGCAACTCCACCCACCAGACACCCAACGATGAGCCCTGCTGGTAGTACTTGTTGCTGTCTCGCGCCCGCCGCTGTGAGATTCGCGCTAGTCACCAATGGCAGAGCAACCGGAGGAGATCCTCTGGATGGCCATGGTTCAGAAGGCAGAGGAGCTGCTTCTGTGAATGCATGTTGGTCGCCTGGGCTCGGCAAAGGCGGCAGAGACGCTGTAACTGAAGGTGATGGGAAAAAGGGTTTTGGGAGAGTCTGAAGTGGGGGGAGAGAGATCGGTGACGATGGAGGCAGCAGCAGAGATGAAGGCGGAGGAGGAGATGCTGACAGGGGAAGGGAAGGAATAACAGATGGCGAAGGAGGCGAGAGAAGTGGAGGCTGTGGAGGCAATGGGGAAGTCACTGGAGTTATAATGATCACTGGTGGACTGGGAGTTGTAGCAAGATTCGTTGGTGGTGGTGACGACGATGACGGTTGAGATGCTGGCAGTGTTGGAGGTGGCGGTGATGGTTGGGATGCTGGCAATGATTGTGGTAGCGGCGGCGCTGATGGTTGGGATGCTAGCAATGGTGGTGCTTCTGAGCTAACCGGCGGCGCAGTTGGAGGTGCTGGCGGAGAAGATTCCGGAGTTGGGAGAGGCAATGCCGGTGGGGCGACAGGTGTAGTTGCCGGCGGTGACACAGCCGCGGAGGAAGGAGCTGGAATTGGTGGAGCTGGTGCAGAAACGGAAGGTGGTGGTAGCTGCGACAGTGGTGGCTGACTGGAACTATCCACCACCGCCTCCAAAGGGGGCGGCGAGATCAAGGCAGGGGAATTTACCGGAGGCAGAGACCCAAGTGGAGATGAAGCCATTATTAGTACTACTGAACCCTATCTCTCTGCCACCCTCCACAATTGTTACTTTGATAGTGCAATTTCTTCTCTTTCTTTCAGACGCATGCAGTGCAATATGCAGATGAAAACCCACCCACCGCCCACAAATCCGCTCCCCTTGTGGATTTCTGAGCTGTAAATTGGTACAAAGATAAAGAAATGGTTAAACAAGTCTCGAGGGATGCTGAAAGAGCTTGCCATAGTTTAAGTATTTTTAGATTGCAATTGCTGCTCGTGAACTCTCATGCCCTTTCTCTCTCCCCACGACCAACCAACCAGCTTCTTTTGTAGCAGTTGGTTTTAGTTGGGTTAATAATCATTTGGGCATTTGGGCATATAAAGCTCCAAGACAAACATAGTCAGACAAAAATAGTGACACTCTATCACTTACCCATGTGAGTGGCCCCAGCCATACCTTCGTATAGCTTGGCTTGTCATTATGTGGGTGGTTCATTTTGGCTTTCTTGTACACGGAATAATAGCCGTTTTTGTTCTTCCTCATTTTCTATGGGATTCCAACACATATGTTCAGGGTACTTGGACCTCATAAGGAAATGAGAGTCAGGCTTACAGTCCTACATTTCGCTCAAGGAATTCTATTTCCGTTTTACTTTCCATAAAAACAAATCAAGTACCACAAGCTAGTGTTCTACTTTACTGTACCAGCTCCTTTCTCCTCTTCAGTTTCAAACCTGGAGGAACTACAGGATCGAATAGCTCTAACCAAAAGAAGCTACATGTTATAATCTGACATCGGATGGATTTAAGGCTAGAGCTAAGATGGGAAAGGATAAAAAATAACAGAATTTACTGATATATAGATGCAAACAACTGACAATGTGCTAACCTGAAGCTGAGCTATCCTTGCCAAAAGGAGCGTGGAGATTGTGTCTGGCCTTCGGTCCTTGGTGATAAAGCTAAGTTGGGACGAGAATAACCATATCGACATTGCCCCAGTTCATAGCTATTTTTGACTTTTCAGATTTGATCTGAACTTCAATGCTGACGACAGTGAACCTGCAATGTTATCTTGATCAAGTCACCACTTCTCCAGGAACTCTGCCGATTTACAGTGGCCGCTAGAATGGTCGGAGATTTTTCATATTCTCTGTGATGGAATCAAGTCCAACCTTGCCAAAACAACCTTCCCATTTCAAGATGATAATATCCCTGAAGATCCCATGTCATTTATAACCAAATCGACTTTCTCGGTCAATCCAGCCCTTCAATACCCAGCAACCAACAAATCATAGGTCGAGCTCGTGATTTTATAATACCTTTTTACATGTTCCAGAAACAAATCAAGTCTGTCATAAGCTTCGTGCCTGAAGTATGCAGAGATTACCCTCTCGACATCACATGGACTGCTAAACGACATCCCCTGACTCATCATCCTCCCAACCGAGTATTCAACATCATCCAATCGATCTAGACTTGCATACAGCCTTAGAATCCCACAATGCACCTGCAACAAAGCTTCACCAACTTGATTGAACTTGACTAGAGTATTAAGTAGCATTTCCATTTCTTGTGGTTTCTCAAGTTCACAGTATAACTTCACCACCTTCTCAATCAAACTGCCACTAATCTCAAACCTACGCTCCAGAAGAAAATTCACAAACTCCTTAACTATCTCACAATTCCTCCTCTTACACAGCCCCTCAAGCACAGAATCCAATATATTCTCTCTTGGGGCGATTCATTGGCCATCATTTCATTGTAGAACAAGTCACCCCTATTGAAATCTTTAACCTTAACGCAGCAAGAGATCAGAGATTAATACTTCATTTTAATTGCAGAGTTGGGGGCTTCCCTTTTGGCCTTATACCAATCCAGCATTCTGCTGATGTCTCTAAAGTTGGAGAACCCCAATATGAATGTATGGTAAGTTTGAGAATCCAGCCTAACCGTTTCAGAGCTTTCCATGACCTCGAACAAGCTTAGGGCAGTAATTACCTCGTTTGAAAACAAGCAGGTAAGAATGAGGGAATTGAAAACTGAAGCCGTGGCCTGAATTCCACGATCCTCCATAGAAATAAACACAGACATAGCCAGCGGGACATTTCGAATCTTGGCACAAAGGGATATCAAGTTAGAGTAATTGCTGTGTTCTTTATCGCCGTCGTTAAGCATTCTGTCCAATCTCCATTCCAAAACCTGGGGGAAAAAACGGACGTAAACGGTAAATTCTTGTCAACTTTCCAAGAGAAAGAGAATCTGACAAAATTGAGCTATCGAGTAACCGCAGGCAGTGGATATAATTCCATTTTCCTACATTTTGTCGAAATCCGAACAAAGCAAAAATGGAAAAATATTCGGGATAGGATTTCGCTTACAAGCTTGGCTTTCTGAGGAGCAGAAGAGGCGAGCCGCGCGAGGAGAGAATCTGAGACAGCGAGGTCGGCAGATCTCCCAGCGGCAGACGCGACGATGGAGTCATCGGATTCGAGAGCGCGTTTGATTTGAGAGGTCGAGAGCTGAAGCACTTTGGCGAGTAGTGCGGAATGGAAACGGTACGGCAGAGATTGAGTCGCCTACTCCTATAGCCGGCGGCGAGACTCTTCTCCATGCCGCCGCGAATGCGATAATTGCTTACATTCTGAAAGTCTGAAACCGAGTCCATACGTTATAACGGGTTCGTTGATGGGCCCATTGGGCTCGACGACTAAACCAGAAAAAAAAAAACTAGCTAAAGCCTGCCTCTGCAACCTTCGAAGGTAACTCTCCCGCATTTGTTTACTTTCGGCCAATAGAAAATCAATTCTGAAGAGACGGAGTTATCATTTGAGGAAAAAAATCTGAAAAAATTGAAAATGAAAACTTGTGTAGCTGAAATTTTCGATATGTTAATTGTATTGTATGTTTTCACTTTCGAAAACCGGTACAATAATAGAGCTATTAATTTTTGCTCCGTGTTACACACAATCTTATTAATTCTTTATCCATATCAGCTTTGTATTCACGCAAAAAAATATGTTTTTCACGCAATTCATCAGCTAATCAACCAATTTTTCATGCATCTCATTGATAAATCACGCAATCTCATATACCATTCCTCATAAACAACCCTGGAAACAGCAAAGAGAAGTATGTGCAGGTTTCATTATACACTCATCTACAGCTACATATCTAACAATCTGAAAACATAGACAATTTTCATCCCTTTGCCTGTTCATTCCTGTAAAAGACAAAATCTCAGGACATTCCAAACCGGGATAAAGCAGATTGGAAAAGAGCTGAAAATTCATGTGACGTGCTCTGATCCTCAGCCTTGATATTCAGTTGTGCTTTGGCTGTTGAGGTATTGATTTTACACTCTACGAGAAACACAGATGGCTCCTCTGCTTTCTGTGCAAAGAAGAAAAACTTGAAGTTAGGTGACTGACCCCCCGACGCAATGCACTGGATCGAATTGCCTTGCATGTGCTGGAGGAGGGCTTGAGCTGATGTCAGTGCTGCAGCCCCTTGAGAACTTAACTCACATTCCTGCAATCACAAAAAAATTTGGAACCATATCAGGAATGTCTGAGACGCTTAAGGACTGAGGTAAGATCATGTTCCATTGAATTCATTCAAATGAACAAAACTATTGTGGGGGGAAGTATGAAGAAGGAAAGACAGAGATAACGTTAGATGTATACCTGAGATATAGCTACAGGTAGTTCCCGCCATTTTCTCTGGAAGCTTCCTGCATCTAGGGCAGCTCTGGCATTGAGCTTCAATGAAGGCGGTGCAGAAGCAGGTGCCGGAGGGGCTGTAAGATCTAGGCCCATCAGTAGATCATCAATTGCCATTGAAGCCTGTGGTCCTGGATCTGATGTTCCTAAAAGGCTTGTAATTGCCAGCTCAGATTGTCCTTGTGAAGGCAGAGCTCGACTAGAAGAATCGTATAACGGAGCGGTGTAATCAGAGCCATTAGCGACCATTGCTCTCGTTTCTTCCTTCTCGGTGGTACTCAGAAGCAGATCACTGGTTTCATTTGCATCGACACTGGTAGCTGGCACTTCGTGTTCAGACTCTACCCCAACTGTTAGATTGCCGATCTCGTCTGAGAACTCGAATGGTCCCCGGTGGTCCTTATCTGTGAACATGTATGATGGCTGCAAGAACATGTAGATGTTTTTTACTTCCAACCAAAAACAGAAGGCAAAGAGAAACGCAAGTGTAAACTCATTCTCAACTTCACAGTCTCATGATTCTATTTCTATATCTCATTTTCGTCTCTACTCTCTCAGCCTTTTCCAATGTCTACGTTCATTTTATTCAGGGAAGTTATTCCACAATTTGTGTACAATATTTTGTTTCAACCATCTCCATTGTTCCCTCTTGAACAACGAAATTACAAATCCCACAAATCAACTATCACAAAAACCATTGTAAGCAATTGATAACTCTTCTCAAAATTCGGAAGCATAGAAGTCATATACTACCAATTACCTTCTGGTACACGACAGATAGACTGTTGAATTCATCAAATATGCGATCTTTGATCTCATTGCTCTGTGTATCAGCAAAGACTGAGACAGCTTGCTTTGGAGGATTCACTACACGCTCTGCACTTGATACATCATATTGCAGTAGTCTATAGTAGAACAACGCTCTATCATGGACATCCTGCAAGGCAATCAAAATTTAAACCAAACAGTTACATTCCGACTGTGAAGGTACTTCCACAACGAGCTACTCATATCATAAATTGGCAAAATAGCGAAGTTTGATGGAAGCACTTGCACAAAAAAAAAACACAAAACAATCACCTGATGAAAATCAGCCACGCCTGCAGCCAATGCAATTCCTAGTGCCTTTTGAGTCTCCGGTGGCCTTCTGAAAAAGCACTTCATTATGGCGGTGAGAAGGTGTAAACGAACCTGCAAAATGCAGTGGTAATTTACGATTTGTAAAGATTTAATAGAGGACACAAAATCATGTGAAGATGGCACTATGCGAAAGAAGTCCTATAACAACCTCAGGAGCATCCTCCTCCCAATTTTCCACCAAGCTCTCTAAAATATAAGGAGCATCATCCATGTCTTGTGCATATTCACCCAACATCCATATTAGAGCAGCTTTTGCCTTGGGCTCTTGCACATTTTTGCTGCTTATATTCCCAACAACTGCGATGCAGTCGTGGCTCCACTGAGGGTATTTTCTTAACAGATCTTTGACAAGAACCTGCAGAAAATAATTTAATTAATTAAATTATGTTGCTGTCATTGTCACGTAGTATATAGTTTGGGATATAAGAGTAGAAGGCCAGTTTGTGAAAACTTAACATGAACTTTTCAATGTGATAAGATAATAGATTTATTACCAAAGCTTCAGCAGTTACATAATCCTTTTCCATCTCCAAAAACTGAAGAAGCCTGTCGACAATAGCATTCACATCATACTGCTGCAGAGCAATTTTTCCAACAGCCCGAATCGATTCTCGTGCAATAGGAACATCAACATTCGCAGCATACTCACATAATTCAGTCACTGCAGTTGACAAAGGAACACCAGAATTTAGCACATTCGGAAGAGTTGCCCTTGTAATGCAAGTTTGTGGGAACTGTTAACTTACCAATTTCATAAGTATTACTTTCATTAGCAACAGCAGTCAACATTTCAAGCTTCAATTTTTTGACATAAGAAGGCTCATTGTACTGGCAGTAGAAATGTTTGTAATCTGAAGCAAATATGTATGGAGCACGCATCACCAAGAGGTGAAGGTGGCTTAGTACCGCATAAGATTGCTCTGGACTACCAGAACTCACAAGGGTAAGCAGAGGGGCTTTAATACGTTCATACACCTGAACAATAAAGCACATTAGTCATATAATGATCTCATCCGAATTTCATTAAGTTACCAAAAATGAGACCAAATGAATTTAATTAAGACAATGGGGGAAACAGCGGGTTCAGTACATACTAAACCATTTTATTTGCAACATACAATGTCAATGAGAACATTAAAAAAAATTGTGTCTTCTTTGCCCCCAGTGTTAAGAGTGTTATAGAGAGCTAGAGGTGGCAATTAAGATCCAAATCCATGAATCCAATCCAATCCATCCACCAAATTATCCACCTAATCCAATCCATTTAAATCCAATCCATTTGATCCAAATCCAATTGGATTGGTGGATTCATGGATCAATCCATGGATCCAAATGGCAAATTACGATTTGGTACCTATATTTTTTACATTTTACATTTTGGTACCTAAAATTTATATTTTTATACGAAAAATATCATTGGAAAATTACATTTTGGTACCTAAAATTTTTCATTATGACATTTTAGTACCAAAACTTTTCAAAAATTACATTTTGGTCCAAGCCTTGGATGTCATTTGGATTCATGGATCAATCCACCAATCTATTTGATCCAATCCATGAATCCACCAATCCATTGGATCCAATCCATTTGATCCATGGATCCACCAATCCAATCCACGAATCCACGAATCCGATCCAATTGCCACCTCTATAGAGAGCTAATAAAATGTCAAAAACGGCTCATGAAAGAAAAGCAAGGATGCAGAAATACCCCTATAAGAAATTCTTGAATGCTATGGTTAATAGGGATAAGCTAACGTAGTTGCTTCAAGGAAACCAATCTTAAGAACTTTAGTTTAACATGGCACGCCCATTTCCCAAAAGTGTTGAAATTTCATAGAATGATTAGATCGATATGTACAATCCAACAGGGAAAGCCAGACAACTTCATAAAAGCAATCGACTCTATTAAAATTCTTTTTCCCTCCCTATAATGATACTATTAAAATTCTTATAGTATCTTTGAGAATACCTCCTGGTGAACATCAGCCATTGACAAAGTAAGCTGAAGAAACACTTTGATAGTTGCCAGCACAACAGCACCATTTGCATGCTGAAGTCTATCTTCAAGAAGATTCATGATGTCGAAATTCTCATTGGTATCTGAAGGCACATATTTGGCGACCAACTCAAGCACAAGACACTGACCCCATTCGTTGAATTCCCTGAGTCTGCAGCAGCATACAGCAGAGCAGAAAATCAAACATAACTATATTCATACATGATTCAATGCCTTTCTCTGCACCAAGATCTATCAGGTGCAGCAATTTAAAAGTATCATAGTAGCATCAACTCCTCAATTAGCCTCTTCCCGAACCCAAACTCAGCAGCAACTTGGAGAATTGTGGATGCCTCACAGAAGGAAAAAAGAGAAACCAAAAGACCAAAAAGACATTTTGTGAATCGATAATACTGGTCCAACGTCAGTGTGGGTCTAAAAGGACATAGGTTTTATGACTAAAACACAACAATAGCCCAAATTGGCACATACAAACTTGCTATCAATACCAGCATGGTTATCACAGGTTTAACATGCAAAAACAAGCTACTTCAATAATATCAACTGAAATTTGTATTCAAATATTACTCACCCATACCTTATAACCTATTGCTCAAGAACATACCTATTTAAAAGGTAATATATGAAGGGCTTGCTGATTAAACCTTCTTTCTCTCTCGTTGCTTCCTCAGATTTGCTCGATTCTGAGTTCCAAATCTCTTGCAATGCAAATAAACAATTCACAACAACCTGATAAAAAAAGCATCTCTCTTTAAACCACAAAACCCAAACCAAGTTCGATAAAGTTCACTCCCAATTCTGACTGCCAATTACCTGGGAATCAGAGTCATTAAGCATCAAATGCTTCAAAGTTGCAGGGAAATCAGCATCAATACAAGTTGAAGCAGATATATGATACAGCTTAACAGCTCCCATGACAGCCACCGTCCTCACATAAGCATTATTATCCTTCAAACCGGAACCCAAAGGCCCTACCAGATACTCCACCAGATTCGCCACTCGCAACGAGCTCAAACTCCTCAAGGCAAGCCCTCTGATCATCGGGTCCTGGTCTTTGCAATCTCGTTGAAGGAAATTAATAGTCAGAAGAGCGAGATCAGGGTTGACCTTGGCGTAATTGCCAACGTAGAGGTAACACATTTTCTTCAGCACGATATCCGGCGTCACGGAGCACATCACCATCTCGCCGAACAGGGACGAGACGTCGATCCCGATCGTCATGTACGAGATCACTTTCTTGAAGAGCTCGCGCTTCGAATCGTCCACTCCGGGAGCTCGGCTCCCGGCGAGCTGCCGGAGCTGCAATCTCAAATCCGATACTTCACCTTTTCTGCAGGCGAAAACGAGTTCCATGGTCAATTGGTTGGAACGCATTTTTGAAGAGGATTGGTTTGTTTCGAGGAAACTAGACTTACCCGGACGGTTGGGATGGAGACGGATATCGCGAGGACTGCGCCGGAGGAGCCATGGGCGGACTGAATGTGGAACACAGTGGTCGAATTCGGTTAGATGGTGGCTCGACGGGAAGACCTGATATGGGAGATCTATGCTCTATGGGATGTAGTGAAGATGGACGGAAACAGAGCCAAGCTGGTCCGGTAAATCTGCCGGAAATGCCACAACAGTACCCAAACTTCCACTGTCTTACAATTCGTCTGGTTCAATTTTCACAAAAATGACTATGGGCAAATGAAGTAATGAACCTTTTTACCCCTTTTATTGTAACTGTATGTGGGCACCGGGCCGTGCCGTCCACGGGCTAGCACGACACGGCACGGTTAGAGCACGACATGAGTACGGATACGAAATAAATGGGTCCGCCTGGCACGAGCATAAATAACTTATGGGTCGTGCCGAGCCTAAACTTCATGGGCACGGCACGGTATATAAGTGGGTCATGTCGGGTCTAATATTTTTTAGAATTTATTGAGTATAAGAATGAACATGACACGAAAATAATATTTATTTGATAGAAAATAAATATAAAAGAATGATAGTTTCAAATATTACAAAACACAAGTAGAAAAATAATTATTTTTTGTTGTTAGAAGTGTCATAAAGATATATACGTAATTACTAACATAAGTAAAAATGGATAAAGAATTAAACAAAGCCACTGCAATCACCGTTTGGTATGACGGGGCAGCTAAGCGGGGACGAGGTGGCAGCATTGGCTTTGTTGGTTTTCAACCTACAGGTAATGTCCTATTTGCTTTTGGGAAATACTACGAGGGGTTACATGATCCTTTTGTTATGGAATGTCTGGCCTTACGTGATGCTTTGCAATGGTGTTTGACCCATGGTTTTGTGTGTGTCCAATTTCATGGGGATTCGCAACAACTGACACGGCGTATGGTGGAGGAGGACTTTGCTCATGATCGAGGTGGTGCGGTACTTGAAGATGCTCGAGTTCTAGCAGCACAATTCAATTGGATTTCGTTCTGTTTTGTTTCTCGTAGACTGAATAGGGCCGCCCATCTTGTGGCACATAAAGCCCTCTCATCGGGAGTTCGACTATTGGTCGACTCCCGCGCTTTACTTGACTCTTCTATTTGACTCTCCTGTTACCCCTATTTTGGAAAGAAAAAAAAAATCACACTCGCTATACTTTCAATTTTCTCCCCCCCTCCCCCCGATTTGTTACTTTTCTCAAACATTATCAATTAATACTATCTTCCTCGGTCCAATTTTCACCTTATTTTTCATTCTCTCTTTTATTTTCGTCCTTTTCATTAAACACGAATACGAGCATGGCACGGGCACGAATAGGCACGACACGATTCGAACCGTGCCCGGGCCTGGGCCGGGCCTAGCAAAGTTAACAAATGGGCTTGCATGGCACGGCAAGAAAACTAACGGGCCGTGTCAAGCACGACATGAAATAAATGGGCTCGAAGCGTGCCCGTACCGTACCGGCCCAGCGCCCATGTACAATCATAACACAAGATTAATTTATGAGATTCTTGTTGTCCACGTCGATGCTTGTGTTACATACTTACACTGTCTCAAGCATTGTTATTTTTCGGCTGATAAAAAAGCTTAGCTCAATTTTAATTTAACCAGCGATTTAGGGTTAGATCAATGATTCGGGTCAAATTTGTATAAATGAGTCAAAAGATACTATCCACTCAATTCGGCACAAGACAAGATTTATTGATCGAAAAGACGTTAACCACCCCTCCAACGTACCACCATCTGTGCCTCAAATGTCAAATGACATCCACTCAATTCGACACAAAACAAGATTTATCGATCAAAAGACATCAACCACCCCTCCAACGTACCACCATTCTGTGCCTCAAATGTGCCTCAAATGTCAAATGACATCCTCTTTCGTTGGCCACTACTCAAATGCGGTCGAGAAGGGAAAGACCTTTGGAAAGAGCTCTCAAGTCTCAGCACTATCACCTAAGTAACATGAGTTAGGGGCAAGAGAACTGCAAATCCACTACAGAGACAATTGAAGCATGCTTACTCCAGACATTTGGATTGTGTAAACAGATGTTGGTCGTAAGAATTGTTGTGATTAATCGACTTCTTTATACAACATTAATTTGTCTGTTAATGGTATAGCTTGAAGCACTTTTTATACTTCGTTACATTACTGCTTCCTTCCTTGTCACTGAAGCAAAACAGAGCCTCTTCGGTGCTTTACAAAATAAAGCCTGTGAAAGACTGAAAGGGCCATAAAAAATCATGAAAGATTATCTCAAAGAAGTTTATCTATGCACATTTGATACAACTTACGAAACTGATCCTCTAAACGAGCTCGGTTTCAAGTCACAAGCAACTCCCTACTCTCGAATATCAAGGCCCTAAAAGTAAATATTACTGTCAGCATCATTTCAAGCCTTCGATTTCTTGCGATCTCGGCTGGGATCTGAGAATGCTCAAGAAGTTCATTCACACGGCAATGAGCAGATCTCTATCAGGCATCAGCTTATTCAGTCCTGGCATCCACAACTATGAAATTTCAATAAACATGTTGCTTTATAATGGGAAGAATAAGTAGGCTTGTTGAAGACAATAGAAGATCAAAGGTGGTCGCTCGAACAAGACAACAATTTACTTATAATTAACATAACCAAGGAGCTGGCATTGCACTAGAACTGGAGGATATCAGACTGCTAGAATCCTCACAGAAGAAGTTCATCCACTCAACTCCCAATTGAATGGCAATATCATGATGCATTAGCAAATGAGTCATTTTTTTCAGCAATCAATGACGACGGCGAAGAAACCTTCCAAGTAAAAAGCTGCAACATTGCTCATTTGTAAACAACATGACTTCCCTTTTCGATTTTGTAGAATTCTCAATGGAAGTGTTAAATTTTCTGAGTTGAACAATAAGAAACTAATGCCAAGAGAAACATCAAAAGCAACAGAAGATAAGAACAACAGAAGAAAGGTCTGCCAAGAACAGCACACTGTGCATCATACAACATTCTTTTCCCAGTAAAAGCCACACTCTTTCCAAAAGAATGATTCGAGATCAATCCCACAAACGAGATCAACTTATGATTGTACCCCCAAGATCATTCCCATAAATGAGATCAACTGGCATTCGATACTTGTCACTTGAGCAATTGTAAGAGTCTCATTACACCAGGGATCGCTTGGGATAACCATCTAATAACCCAAATTTCCTTTCACTTGAGCAGCAGCCTCAAACAATACCTTAGTAGCTAACCAACATGCCCAATGACAAAAGCCCTTTTCACCATTGCAATTACAGAGCCACACTTCTGAGAACTCAGCAATATGAGCACAACAAATCATCAGCAAAGCACATACTCTTGACTATAGAAGCCCCATGGGAAGGGATGGACACAAAACGAGCATAAACATGAACAGAATACTTCGATCCGTTTAATGCAGAAGGAAAATCCGATCACTTGATCAAACAACCACAGAAGGTAAGAATCCAATTTTGAGAATACGACACATACCCGGGACCAACAACAGAAGAATTACGGGCGTTGATGCTGTTGTAGTATTTTGACAATCGTCGAGTCTGGGGTTTGAACTTAGCAGGTTTCTTACGAAGACCGAAAATCTCTTGAACCAGCGGGACGTGAACCAGCACCAGCTTCCAAGCTAACAGCCAACCTGAAAACATTAAAAAAAAAGCCAAAATTCATCAGAATCATAGCAAACGAATCCCTACAGAGATGAATTTTGAGCATAAGGGTGGCACCGACCGAGAGCTATGAACACGAACACGAAAGAGATGGCGGCAATTGGACGGAGTATCAGTAAGACGATGTAATCCAGAGGAGATGGCGAACTCGAAGAGGAAGAAGTAGCAGCGGAATCCATTGACGAATTTTTGCCCCCTATCTCCTCCTTCAGTGGAGCATGCGGATACAAATAGAGTTAGCGGGAACAAGGAAAGAGGCAAATTTTGCCGGCGCTGTAATGGACGGGAATCGCGCCGGAGATAAGACGGAGACGGCGTTGGAGTAGCCCTAATTTGATCGAACAAGCAAAAGACAGAGAAAGAAATGAAGAAACGTGAGCGAGGGAAAACATAGTTTTTTTAACATTAAAATTATTTATAGGAATTAAAAAATAAAATATTGAAAAAAATAAATAAAGATATCAAAATTTCTATGCCGATTTCGTACAGCTGCCGTCCCCTATCTAGTTCTGGCTCCGACGAACAAACGACTGCTCCACCGTAAGCAGCAATGGCGGTTATGGCTCACTTCAATAAGCTACACTTCTCCACCTTCCTCCTTACCCGAGCACAACCGCCGCCATCTCTTTCCCGCCATTTCAACGCAACCCTTTGCTCTAAGCTCTACCGACTCCCTACCCTAATCAGGCCCCAATCCGTCCTATCCACCGCCGAGCCCATTCCGGTCTCTCAGTTTGTCGAACCGCCGCCGCCTGCGGAAACCCAGGCGCCGATTCCACTCGACAAGCTGTTCATCCCGCCGGAGACAGAAGTGTCGCTCGACGACCCGACCACGAGGGTGCTCAAGGGGTCGAACATTGTGCTGAGCAAGTACGCCAGAGATGCTCAGGTGGTGCAGGCCGAGTTCGTGAAGAGCAGCGTGAAGACCGAGGATTGCCCCTCCGATGGATCCCCGGAGTTCGCCCTCGTCGGGAGGTCTAACGTCGGGAAATCTTCGCTTCTCAATTCGCTGGTGAAAAGGAAGAAGCTCGCCCTCACTTCTAAGAAACCTGGTATATAATGGGATTCTGCCTTGTGTGCCTTTGTATAGGGAAACTTGTGGTGGAAATTTGCATTCATTGGTATTGAAATCGTTCTAAATTTGAAGGGAAGACGCAATGCATAAACCACTTCAGGATCAATGAGAGCTGGTTCTTGGTGGATTTGCCTGGATATGGGTAATGGTTCAAGCATTGATCAATTTTCATTTGTGAAAGTTGGAATTAGTACTTATTTGTGTTAGACTGAGACTTAATGCTATGATTTCGCCTGATGACTGATTCGAGCCAGTATGGTCTTCTGTGCAGGTATGCTGCTGCACCACAGGAATGTAGGACAGATTGGGCCAAATTTACCAAGGATTACTTCCTAAACCGTTCAACTCTAGTCTCTGTGTTCCTTCTCATAGATGCAAGTATCCCGGCAAAGAAGATCGATCTTGAGTATGCAAGCTGGCTTGGTCAGAACCAGGTAAAAGGAGAAGACTTTTTGTTTGTAGTAATTGAATCGATTCGTAGACTGTAAATGGGTGCCGGTCTCGGTTTCTGTTCATGGATGAACTGAGGAGTTGGGAAGTTGAATGATGATTGTGCAGGTTTGCTTTTGCTGATTGCAACAAAATTTGATTGCTTTATCTGTTATCCCATTTTCATGTTGTGTTTTCCAGATTCCAATGACATTAGTTTTCACGAAATGCGATAAGAGGAAGAAGAAGAAGAATGGAGGGAAGCATCCGGAAGAGAACGTGAATGATTTTCAGGAGCTGATTCGTGGCTACTTCCAAACGACACCCCCTTGGATCATGACAAGCAGCGTCACCAATCAGGGTCGCGATGAGATACTATTGCACATGGCTCAACTACGAAACTACTGGCTCAAGCACTGAAAAGTTAAGAGTCCATGAATTTGTCAATTCCAGGCTCTCAAATGTGTGGTGATGCTTCTGAAAACTATCTGACTTGGGGGATGCTGGAACGGGTTTGGTTTTTGCAAACCTTTGTTTGGCCCAGAATGCTTCAGAGTCGGGTAGATTGCACAAAAGCCCTTTCAAACTGATGATTCAGTTGAAAGATGGCAATGCTTGGCTGTCTTATTCTGCTCTCAAGGTATGGTCTGGGAAGAATGTACCCCAGGGCCGAAGGTAATCATTTGATCGAGTAATAAAAGATGCTTCAAACTTATGGAAGTTGTACAACATTTAACATAAGCATCAAATCCAAAATGTCTTGTTTATCAACAAATACTACTGCGCTGAAATACATTTGACAGCATATGCACATTCGAACAGGTTAGGAGCAGACGCGAAGTACAACAAGATCTATCAACCTCTAATTACCTCTCTTTCCCCGTTGAGGCTTTCATGCCATTTTTACTGCCTTTCACTGCGGCTTGTCCCAAATTTTCCATGGAAGTCAGGCAGAAGGGATACACAAAAAAGAACAAACCATATAAAAACAGTTGCAGCATTTTTACTTACTATCTATTCACAAATGATCTATGATCTCGTATGACAGGTTGAGTCAGCCTCAGGACATGCGATCGTTCCATCTTTCAGATTGCAGCGCTCCAGCACAAAATTTTAAGCATTTTACCCTCTTTCAGAGTTTTCTTGCAGCAGGAGGAGCCTTACTTAGACACCGTCTCGGCCTCTACAAAAACACAGCCGATCACTGCTTACACTGGGAGTTCCCCGGGTGCCCAACCATCTCTTTCGCCCGAGAGACTACCTTGGAATTGGAACTGCACTTCTTCCAACTTGTAGACCAAAATTTACATGTACTGTGCTAACCATTGTTTGCACATGTCAAGCACAGGTAGCGCATTTGCATGCAACGCCTGCGAAATAGAGGAATCAAATGCCAAGTTGTTAAAATATTTTGGTCCTTCAAACGCAGCAGAGAATTTGAGCCCCAAGGCTTTGAGAGACATATATGATAAGTATCGGCTAAAAGCCTAACACTATCCACAACTAGTGAGTCCCAACTGAAAGACAATAATTAATTACCTGATGTGCCACATATTGTACATCAGCCACGCTTCCGCTTCGAGAAGCAATCTGGAAAGCACTTTTTAGACGGCCACAGACAACACAGGCAAGCACCTTCCTGCAATGCCAAAGTTAAAAGGACAAGATTTTCATGGTTCGTATCTACCTCGTAACAGGCATGGTTTTAGAAATCAATATTTTATGTTAAGTAGAAATTAGAAAGGACTACAGAATCATAATTGTGATTTCAAATTAATGAAAATCCATGAATATTAGATAAGCACATATGACATGAACAGAATAGCACTGATTGTGACAGTGAAAAGGATGTGAGTTTCTTGCTATGATCCAGAAAGTAACACTTCATTGTTACAATCATTCAAGTTTCAAAGCCAGTAAAGTGAAAGTAAGTAAAGCAGCAACTAGAATCACAGAAATAACTCAAATCACTGGCCAAGTACAGTACTTTTATGATGCACGATAGCACGAGAGACAAAATGACCTTTTACAAAAGGGTATTACCTATGACTGCTGGTTAACATATCAATAAGACGGTCAGGACGTTCTTTGTGTTTATTTGCATAAACGTTAATTGCAGCACCCAGCACCTGCAAAAGGAGCAATCCAACTATATAAGAAGGCTTCCTAACAATAAACAAGTGAAATTCAAATACAAGTGAAGACTTATGAGCTAACATGATATGGTAGAGGGTCAAAATCTAGTCAAGAAAGCAACTTGAACGCTTAAGGAAGTACTCTTACGACATTAAACAGTCCTGTCATTTCGTTCCATAAAGTAAGGTGTGTTGTTGGTTTATATTGCCGGATATTATAACTAGGTACCTTAGGATTATGTTCTCACTTCAAATAAAATTGCATTAACAGGTGTAACAAGTTACCTGATCCCAGTCATCATCATCTATGGTTCCTTTTATATTTCTGAAAAATTCCGTCAACTGGCCACCTTTTTTCCTTTCTGCCAGTGATGAAGCAACGCCAGCATATATGTCGACAGCTGCACAGAGGAGCACCAAAACTTCTTTATATTTACAGAACAAGAACCTGACTCCATACTTATATCACAAAAATAGAAATGCTGATTAATGAGTCACAGATTAGATACCTGGTAAATTAAATTCATATATTACTTGAAAAGCCAGATCAAAGTTTCTCTCGACAAGAGTCTCTGCAATCTCACACCTTCGTCTGTCGACCAACATCCATAGCAGATTAGTACATCCCCTTGGTGCACTCATAACTAAAACAGAACAGCATAGGCAAAATATTCATATGGTCCTCGGATAGCGTGTAATTTTCGGCCAAATGGAAATTCCGAGGAATTAGACAGCTGATCTTGGTTGTCCCATTCTTTCCTTCTATTATTTTGTTTTTCTTACAATGTACAGCCACCAAAATTTGCATTTCTACAATGTTATGCTTTGGCCTCAACTCCCCTTCACCAATTACCACATAGGATATGTTCTTTGTAGATTTTTAGAGGCAAATAATTGTGTATCTCAAGCATGGAAATACCTAAGCTTGCCATTTTAATCATTTACGTCCTACCCGATTTCATTTGAAGTTGTCGGCCATTTGAATATATGATCATCAGCATTTGAAGTTGTTGGCCACACAAATCTAACTCATACTGATTTCTGTGATGATTTGTGTGATTGTGTCTATAATACACTGGGCAGCCTCATTGCTAAAAGTAAGATCCACAGTAATCAAAGCCAGCACAGACCTGAAAGTTTCTGGATCATTGGGATTTCCAAAGAGTGAACGTTTCCACTGCGGACCATCAGACTCATTAGAGGACTTTACAACTTCCACCTGCAAAAAAGAAAGAAAAAATTATATCAAAATTGGAGAAAATATGAATCCCCTGGAGATGAACAATACAATCTTACATGTAGGATATTGTGGCACCATGGAAAGGGTTAGTTGCACACCATACAGAAACTAACAACTGGATCTGACACTACCGCCAGTGGCTCTCCACCATTACTTACCCTCTTTTATTTGACGAATGCTATAAAGAAAGCTCAAACAAAAGAAACAAACAGCTAGCTTCTAAGGAAAATAATAATAAGGCACTTAAGTAGTATAATCATCGTTCATGGTATCTAGTTTCACTTCGAGCTCAGGCTCATATCTAAGAAGAATCAATCCTTGCTGGTATTGCTATATTAAAAAACAAGGTATTTGTTGCCCCACATTAATGAAGACAGTGAGACGACCTAAGCAATGGAAAGGGAGAATTGATTATCATGTATTATAAGGTCAAAGGTCATTAAGTCCCAATATCTCTTTCCCTTCATGGAAGTAGGCTATAATTCTAAAATTAGAGCAGTAAAGTCACTCAGCAGTTTTGATAATGTGTACCTGTATAGATACCCGAGCAGATAGCTTGACCAGCCCTTCTTCAGTGAGCTTCTCTGAAGCACTCTTTCCTCTAACACCCTTTGACACAAGCTTAGTTGACTCTCCACCTTTGTAACGGGCTGACAATCCTTCATCAAAATGCACCTACACCCGAAGCAAGCAGAAGAGTAGCAACTTAATATACCCAAATAAAAATAAGCAATAACATGGCTGCGCCTCCTAGCTCATGCACCTCATGAAGGGGACATTTAGTCAGCAGCTCCAATTCTGGCCCGAGTTCCATGATTAGGAAGTATTTCCAGTTTTCAATAACTTCACAACACCAACTTCAATGCAATTCGGTAAACCTAGAACCATTTTACCCTTCGATGACAGAATTAACATTTGACATCAATGAGTGATAATGTTTCTCACGGTTGATATGGCATGATATAACCCTCACGGTTGATATGGCATGATATAACCATATCCTGTAGATGCACACTAATTAATCTATTTTTCCAAAAACCCTCGTCTAGGGATCTAAAAGGGTTCATGTTCAGATTTTCTCTATCCCCGTGCTAGCAATATGATCATAATGGTATTGCCAAGCTCAAATATGACAAATTTTACGTTTTAGTTCAGCATTTGAACAAAACACACATGACACATACATACAACAATTACCTTAGCATTTTCCAAGTGCTTAACAGCTTCTTCTTGTGAAGAAGAATTCATGAACAACTGAATACAGCAAAGGCCAGCAGCAATGTGATCCTTCTTGATAACCTGAGAGAGGGAATACATGAAATCATAAATGACCTCCCATGGAAGCAAGAAATACATCAAATCAGGCAAAGACAGATTATTATATCTGGCGAAATCTCAGTTTGAGAAGCTTTTTTGGGTAAGAGAAATCTATGTAAATATTATGTACCATGCAGCTTAACAATAAGCACACAAAATCACGATACACCAGATACAGGGTACACTTGGAAAACATTCAAGACTGGTTGACAAATGTACAATTAACTTCAAACCTTTCAAGGATAGCTTCTCCAAAGTACCCTGATGCTGGTATCAACTAGCTTTGCTCAAGTATTTCAAGGTTAGCTTCATGTAGGTAGTGGAATGCAACATCACAAAGTAAACTACAAACCATGACTAAAAGAGAATATACACAGATACTCCAAATGTGTTGTCAAAGCTATGAAACTTCGCCGGACACAACTTGAGAAACCCAAACAAGAAACAGCCAAACATTACTTCACACATAACATACATCGTGGAACCCAGCTGTAATATCTACATCCAAATTATATCCATGGAAGTACTGAACTTCGAGGTAAAGGCTTAAAAACAAATTCGGAAACCCCATACATCAGGAAAGAGTCAAATTTAGTTCACACATATAACAGACATTATGGCACTGGGATTGAATATCCACAGAAGTATTGAACTCAGAATCAAGACCTTAACCTTCAACATACCTGAAAACGATATAGGTAATTGAAATGCCGGTGAGTTTCACAATACGTGCAAATACGAGCAACGGCAGCAGCAGTATGCTGCTGTACAATCTCATCTTGTTGTGCATATGTCATTCTTGAGGAAATCACTTCTTCCAAGACAGACATTGCACCATACCCAATACTCAAGTCACATAAATCCTCCAGAGTTCCAAAATCAGTTGCCAAGGGATCCAGTCTCTGAGGAGACAAAGATGATGTTCCAGCTCCCACCCCAGAAGGAGGGAGAGATTGAGGAACAGAGTTTTGAGGAAAGAACAACATGCACGCATCTGTATAGCGCCCATGCCTAAACATGAAACCAAGCAAATGCGGCCGAGAAAACTGAAAATCATGGGAAGAGGAAATTAATATAAATGGTGAGACATCATGATAGACAATGGAAAGAAGGAATACTGACTCGTGCAAATAGTGATATGGAGAGAATCCAATGAAAAAGGTGGCAGATAAAATCAATAGCTCGGTGGAAATGTCTGGTTGTCTGAGTGCTTGGTAAGTACATACAGAAAGAAAAACTCTCCCCTTCTAGCAGTATTTTTTTTTATAAGGGTGATATAGGTTTCATTTTTGTGATTAAGGTACTACTTAAGGGGTTCGAACCTGGGAACTCCAGTTCTAGGCTAGCAGTATTAATCTTAATGAACATCAAACATATAAGAGAGCCACCCTTCCCAATATCCATGGAGGTGCATGTTAATAAATAAATTCTATGCTGACCAAAGGGCAGCAATAGATACTGTTGCCGTCTATGCAAAATGTCAAGATACTTGTAATGATATGAACTCAAAGATCTGCTTACTTCTTGTAAGTAATTGACACACTCAGCATAACGAATGTTGTCCAGGTTGCTGCGAGGTCCATCTTGAATCTGAGAGTTGGTTTCTGAGTTATCATTCAAGTGTTCTTGGAGCCTGGATCTCTCAGAACGGGGGAAGGTGGTTGGGATGTAAAGCACATTGAGGTATGAATCAGCAGACAGAGAGTCATCCAAGATCATTGGTGCACTTTTAGCCAAGTGCTCATATCTGCATTTTAACAACGATTAGAAAGGATGCACAAACAAAAGAGGTAGAAAACAACTCTAATAGTGTTTTCGTAAAATAAAGTTCAAGGAATATCAAATTACTCCATGACTGATAAGAACATCATGGCACCAAGATAAACAAGAAAATATCCTAGTTGTACAACCTCCACCAGGCAACGGCATCACATCTGATCAAAATTGCATCTGTCCAAGCTGGACATAACCATGCTAAGTAAATGCTTCTTTGATTACCATAAGATTGACACAATTCAGATCTTTACCACGTCAGGGGCAATGTTCATGAGAGAAGATGACAATCAGAATGCATCATCAAGATTTGGAAATCAATAAGTGAGGCATAAACATACACCAGACTGAATTCTGTTTCTTTTCACAAAAAAGAAAAAAAAAACAAGATCAAGGCAGGAAATAACAAGTTAACAATCCATCAGTAACAAATATTTTACACAACAGCTAAATGACTGATCATTTACTACTCGCGCATCTAGTAATGGAGGCGAAATTGTGAAGTAAATGGTCAGAGAAATGTTTCTGATCAAGAATACACTTGGAAGGCATAGAAATCTTACAAAGAACGAACAGCTGAGACATCTGCTGGTGGACCTCCTTCAATTGTATTGATTATCTCAAGAACAAAGGGTGTATGATCACCCTTGTACGACTGCAAAGCTTGCCTGTAACCAAGGTATAGTGAGAAACTAGATCAACCTATAAAACTGATTTTTATCCCACAAGTATGGATCAAGGGAGCACATGTACATTTTACATACCTGAACTTAACACGAGCTTGTTCATAGCGTTCTATCCGAATCAATGCATGTCCCCATGCATTCCATACAGGGACCACGTCAATCTGGAAAAGGCAACAAAGGCAATGTTGTGTAATTAATGTAAAACTGCAATGTTTCAAATTCTTCAAATATATGCAAAATATACAAAATGAAATTTTTTCCCAATATTACCTTACACTTTCTGCAAGTATATACAGCCATGCTGTACCTTTCATCAGCAATTAACCTGTCGCGAAGGTGAGCAGATGATTCTTGGTCAGCAATATCATCAAGTGAAACAGCAATTCCTAACCCCAAAAGGCTCTGAAGCAACTCAGCACGTCCTAGCCAAATGTCCGCTTGTGCCAAGATCTGAGATATTTCGTCGGTAGGCTGACTAGCACTAGAGCTACCAGCATCTGATAATGCATCATCGGCATCCTTACTTGCATCGTTACCACCCATTGGTTTCTTCAGCAGCGATTTAGCATAAAGTAGCCCCTGCAATTGACAGTAGAGAATTACTGCCATTGAGACACTATTCTGTTTCAAAGTAATTGATGAACTAGAAAGAAAGCAAAAGCACATGCCACTGTCATTGCCACTGGTGGCCAGGATGCAGCATGCACTACAATGTAGGGGATTGCATGACACAAAAGTACCTGGACAAATGCCTTTGTGGCATGATGTGCTCGCCCGACGACATCCATGGATGCATTTTCAGGTATTTGCTGAGAATTGAGGACATTTTTCATTTGATGTATGCATAAGTCCACAGCATTTTTCGCTGACACAGGTTCATCCGAGCATAATGAAAGCAGCGCCTATAGAAAGAATAAGATAACCTTCATTAGAACAATAAAAATCAGCTCCGAGAAGAAAACTAGCTAACATTCACAAAACCACTTAAGAAATGGGGCTAAGCCAGGATATGCCATGTTATAACGTCATCCCAAACAAGTTTGACACTTAACACCACTGCAACTCCCACACTAACGGAATCAAGAAAATCAAATGCACATAAAATTGAAAATGAAAATCCAACTAACTCACACTCACGTGACCTCAATTCCCTTCCAATATATAGTGATATACATTAATCTAGTCTACCATCGTACCTTAAGAAGTATGACATCAGGTGCACTTTCATACCGGTGGGATGCACGAACAGCTGCATCTTTATTCGCATCACCAGTTAACATCCATTCCTCAGCAATTGAAATAGAAGCGAGCCGTTCTTGGCCATCTCCAGCGATTGAGGGATCACGATCCTCTCCAATCCCAGCCATTGCTTCCCAGGCAACTCTTTCAGATGGTTGCAACCCAGAGCTCTTTCTCTTCCGGTAAACATCTTTTGGGGGGTTCTTATCTCCAGTATTTCGGGGAGCCCATGAGAAGGCACGACGTGCCTCCTTCTGCAAGTTACTTAAGCTGCTAGAAAAAGTTGACCTTGTTGGCACACCAGTTCTTGTTTTTGGTTTTTGTCTTGTCCCTGATACAGAGACCCGCGGTTCCCTGTTGGGAGAGCTAGTGCTAACAGCAATGGCTTTAGCAGCATATGAAATGATTAAACTATCGTCTCTCAGCGAAGGAAATTCCTTGAGGATCTGTTACCAAACCTCACCCCATGTCAAACAAAAAACATGTGGAAATAATAGTGCATGAAGGCATTTGGAATCATAAGAGGGTGTTTTAGCTTCTTTAAAAAGCCTTGTACAGAATTTAGTAACCAATATTATATGCATAGAAAACATAAAATCATGACATGAACAAATAAAATTTGACGCGAGATTAATAACCATACCAAAGCAGCAGATTCCAGTTGCTTTCTCATGAGCAGAACTTCCAATATCAAGTGTGGGTGCTCATGCAAGGCAGAACATCTTTGTTGCCATGGCAAGGGCAAAGCAGCAAGTACACGAAGGCCCAAAGCCCATGAGTTAAGCCGGGTTACTTCAACTTCCGCCAGATTTCCATCTCTTCGTTTTAGGAAGAAATGAACCTTCATAGAAAATTAATAATACAAGCTTCACTCTCAAAGGAGGGGGAAATACATCACAACCTTCACAGATTCATATCAGAAGCGGGTAAAGTGATTACGAGAAGCTGCTTGGACCGTAGGTTAGGTAAAAGTTGCATTGCACCCATTGCAACTGGTAAAGCATCATCAGAATCACGTAGAGAAGACAGGAAGCGTGAAGCTTCGGCAGGGCCTCCGCCATTTAGAGGATCAGCAGTGAGAAGCTTCACCAGCTGTCGACCCTGTAATTCCCTCCGCAACTCTATTGATAATCCAGCACTTTCGGCTACTTCAAGAGCAGCAGAAACAGCACCTCTCTCAGCTAGTCTAAGTGCTATGCCTTCAGGATCTTCCTTACACTCTGCTTCAACCTGCAATTTTAAGCAGAAAAAAACTGAAGTCTATGTAGTATCAACAGGAAGAAATCTACAAATTTATTATCCTCTATTTCAATCCTCTCCCAGAAGCGAACAATCTAGTATCACCTCTTGCCAATTGCTATAACGATCATCAGCACCAAGTATATGGCTGTATCTCTGCAAAGCTTGTTTCCGCTGTAAGACCTAAGGATCTCAAAAGACAATGTCAGTGAGTAGCAAGATACAAAGTCAGAGCAAAGGGATCATGACAAGAAAATATAGGAATCCAATGGCTAGCCAAACTTTGAACTCCGAACAACCAGTTGTGTCTTGTGAGTTGTGAGTATCACATACTTTGAGATGAGAACATAAAACCATAAAGGAGCAAATACCTCATTCCTAACAGAATCACATTCAGTCAAGTGGCAGCTGCACATTGTGAGTACATCGAGGGCAGCATCAAGTTCCCAACTATTCATATGCCTGAGGATACAGCTTATTAGATTCAAATGACATGTTCAAGATCATGAAACACATTCCCCATAGTTACTTTAACATGCATGTATCTTAGTAGCTTCATAAGGTAGAAACCAAGTGATTAGTACATAAATTTCAGATGTTCTACAGATTACACCAAGTATTCCAACTGTAGGTCAGATGTCTAAGGCAAACCCAGTTAAAGCCAACAAGGACTAGAGTACCAATTTAGGCTCCCGCCACATGTCAGCAGACCAAAAAAACTATGAATTAAGCAGGAACGCAGAACAAACTCGACCCAAAAAGAACCCCAAATACAGAACCAGGTAAGCAAGTTTCAAGGGATCACCAAGCTAGGCAGTAAGCAAGTGAGAAATCCAAGTATAAAAGATTCAAACTGGTCACAAGGTTTCACATACTTCAGTGCGAGTTCAGCCGCCAGTTGTTTATTCTTCAGCCGCAAGCAATACTGCCAACTATCGCTCCAGATTCCCTGTCCTCCATAAATTTGAGAACGTCCAGAAGTAGGATGGATTTCTTCTCCACGTTCAATTAGCAGTTGAAGCAACTGGTCTGACGCTCCACCACGTAAAAAGCGATCCGAAAGGGCAAGAGCTTCCATTAGTTTTCCTTCACCAATCAAACTGCATGAAAGAATAGTACATCGTACTTGGAGTCAGGGCTTAGCACTTCCTCCAGAACTAATGTGCCTATTAAAGAGTAACAGAGCTTGCTTCGAAATGGACTAAATACACTAGCAGGTGCATGGTATTATCTCAACCCAATATAAACCTGAGCACAAGAACATTGCAGAGAGCAAAAACTACACCTATCCACTGCTTTCTCATACAGCTCTTCATTCTCCCAGTCCAGTGAAAGATAAATTGTATTATCAGGTTTTGCATCACCAGATTCTAATGAATCCAGTAATACACCAGTTTCACCATCTTCACTACCGATATCGTGGAAAGATGATGTATTAGTACGACCACCACCGAGATCATCAACTTCTGACTCAGCATCACCATCATGATCCCGAACTCTCTTGCGTGCAGTCCTTAGGTCACCTTTTGCTTCACCACCACCATCCTTTTGTTTGCCAGTCCCAGCAAATTCCAGAACTCGATGAAGGTTAGTTTGCATTTGTATCCATCGGTTCAATGTTGGGTATCTGTTGATTCAGAAAATTCAGAAATGCAGTAAAATCATATCACACATAATTTAATCATCAATGTCTACACGAGTTACCTCTCAGATTGGTCAAGAGCAAACTCATAGAAGACTCTATCAGTGTCAGGGGGTGGCAGCAATCCCTCACAAAAAGGGCTAGATGTATAAGAATCATTGGAACGATATAAGATACCACTCCCAAAAACACAAGCCAACACAGCCCTTACTGGGGATAGTTTCACCAAATGTTTTACAATATCCAACTGGAGAGGGTACAGAGGGAATCCAGGAATTCCAGAGAAGTAACCATTGCAATCTGGTTTTATTTCTTTAGAAGATGGGGAGAGAACTTTACTTTCAGAGTAACTCTTAGAACATCCAGTACTGACAGGTATTCTTGCCCATCCATGACCAGACCTGGGTGGATAAACAGGAGGTACACATGCTGAAATAACTTCATGCACAAAATCAGCAGACATGATATCAGCAACCTTTGCTGCTGCATCAGTGCTTCCTCGGTCAAATACAAGGCGGGTCAAAAGCTGCGTAAGAAAACAGAGAGGAAGTATTGAGAAGTCAGGATGGAAAGGAAACTGAATAAATAAAACACAAACCATCCACTGAAGCAACTATCTTCCATAAAGTTCTACACGTCAAGAGTCGGCACTTCATAGGCGGCTTCTATGGTACACTCATAAAAATAAGTGCATACTACGCACTGTATCTTGAAAATAGCCTTTAAGCATCAAGTTTTGGATCTTACTTGCAGCATCAGTCTAATGTTATTATATAGAAAGGCAAACGACACTTAATTAGTGAATTAAACCATGCCCTAAACCCTGAACCTCAAATTCGAAACTATAAACCCTAACCCTAAACCCTTAAAATACAATAAATTCATCCATTCCTTGTCATTGTATTCCAATTAATGATTGAGATTGTCTTATCATGAACCACATGATCAAAATGATGATTATAAGGCGGGTGCATAACATGCACCCAAAAAAGTGAGTGGTAAGAGACAACCATAAACCATATATAAATATAAGCATATGTCGTCTTAAGCAATGGCCCTCAATCCCTTAATTTCCATCAAGTAATCTAATTGTCTAAAAATTTGAACTGATTGTTAATGCAGAACTAATTGAGATATAAATCCAGACAAGTCAATCTGGTTGCTCACATAAGCAATTATGTGAGATATCCCCCCCCCCCCCCCATCCCCACACACACAACTAACCCAAAATGCTATTAATTATGCAAGTAGCATAATTCATTTTTGTGACAAGCATGTGGCAAACTAATTTCATCATATGTGTAATTGTGAACTGCTAAAAACTTTAGTGAGCCTTCAAAGTGCAAAGCAGAATGACTTACATCTTTTGGCCACTCATAAGCAAGAGAGAAGAAGTTAAAATCATGAGTGGTATCAGTCCCATCAACTATGTCGCCAACCGCAGCGATGTAGAGAATAAACTGTGAAAGATATGTAGTGGGCTTGGCACTTAGTGGACCAAACAATTTCTTCCCGTTATCTTTAATGTCGTACAGTGGCAGTACAGTAGTTTCTCCACTTGATCCACTTCTGCGAATCTGTTTCAAGGCTTTCAACCCAAGCCCAAGCACCCCATCCTTGTCAAAATCAAACAAAACCTTTTGTTCTGTTTCTTGGTCATCACCTTTTCTAGAGCTTGTTTCAGTTTCTTCATCGGCAATAGCTCTTGCAAGATTATGAAGCTTGCCTACAGTACCATGACAGTATTAGACCAAACACATAGGAAATATATTTTCTCCTGAATGTACAAACTGTCCTTTCCAGAATCTATTTCTCATTAGTAAGGAAGAAGGTACCACTCAGAAACTGCCGTTTTCCCTGGTGAGCATCTTCAATCATCTGATGTAGCATTGCCAGAGCACGTTCTCTTTGTCCAGGGCGGAGAAGTTCCTTTGATGACATGATTACGCTTTCCCCAGTAAGTATTGCCTGGAGGCCTGGACTGTCATCCTAGACAAAATGCAACTTTCGAAGGGTATGAGTTGCGAGGGCATTGATTCACATTATCATGTATAATAAAAACATGGGTCGGGATTAATTTCCTAAACTTAATGTTAATACAGCATCCACTCAACGAATCCCCTTGTTTAAATGATTCCATGGCTTGGCCTCAGAAGGCCAACTCGCTATCTTTGACAAACATACTCTTCATGCAATAGGGGCGAAACTGGAAAACAAGATTGCAAACATGCTTCACGGATAACTGACATATAGAATAATGCTGCTTCTCCTCACATAAAGTATAGCGTTTTCTTATGGAAAAATATCAACAGTCCATGACTGTACTTACTTGTTCCAACAATTCATTCAATCTCTTGAGGACACGTCGTGATACAGAAATTACCCCGCCTCATGAATTTGATCCAAGTAAGTGGAACCCATTTTGGGGGAGCCTCCAGGATATATCTCAGATAACATAATTTGAGCCTGCATGTACAGCAGAACAAAGCCAAAAAAAAAACAAAACCTATGTCAACAGAGGAGGAATTTTTGCCCTCTCCCTCTTGTCTTGCCAGCCTCCTAATATAAAGTTAGACACAGCAAAATTAAGTCAAAGCAACAGAGAAAATCTAGACAAAATCACATGAGTGCATATGTGAATAGTAATTGATGAGCAAAACCACTTTTCAATGTAGTAAAGTTGATAAGAGCCGAACTGATGTTTGACTAGCAACTAAACATGGAGATTTTTGTTCGAATCATGAAAGTAAACGGCTAAGACAGACGTAATGAAACAATACTGGAGATGAAAGAATGTAAAAACTGTCACACTCCAGGTTTTCAGAGGAGATAATCATTGCCTGATGCAGAAGACGTTGGGACATCCTCGTTGACCTTGCAGAAGTTGCAGCAACATCAATACACAGAAGAATCTGACAACAAATAGAATTATGTCAATCTACAATGACAGTTCTTTTCTGAAGAGGACCTACGAGAGGTGTGAAAGAACTACAAGTGGACAATAAATTTCAACTGTAAGAACAACTTACCGCAGCCAAAGGACCTATTTGGGAGCGTAAAGATGTAAAATCGATGTCCTGCATAGTTGATGTACTGTCAGCAGCACGAGAAACTGCATCTTCTACCTGGTATAATAAACAAATAAAAAAATGCATCAGGTTTGAATACACCGCCAGTCTTCGTGACTATTAATGGTGGCCTACATGTCAACGTCTCAGAAACAAGAAGTGAAGGGTGCAGCAGGAAGCACACAGCACTTTCATTTGAGCTGTGACTGTAAGAACATTATCCAAGATATTCACTCACAATAATAATGTAAAGTATACAGAGCATAGCCCTAGAAAAAGTTAACAGAGCATGCAATATTGGGGAGTAATTTTAAATGTGTTTACAGTAACCATTTAATTTTTGCCTAAATATCAAATGGTCTGATATCTTCATCGTATATCTCAACATTCATAGTAGCAGGAATAACAGATTCCATTTTCAGGTACACTACTGAATTGGCTAAACATAAGGGAAGTGATGACTTGCCAGTCGAGATTCAGATGCCCTTCTGAATGCACCATCTACCCATTCAGCCAGTTCTAGGGTAGCTCTATCCTCAGCAGACAATGAAAAACGATGAACAGCTTCTTCCCCAATGTCATACTTTGCTTTCTGCATACACCTGGCCGAAAAAAGTTGACCCAGAATAACTGGATTTACATTATAGGGAGACAATGACATATTTCCAAAAGCATCACTTGTGAATTGTAGCTCATTCATCACTACCATACAAAACTCCATATTCAGGGTCATTTGACAAGCCTCAATAGCACTTACAGATTAAGCAGCTTGGATGGGGCTGCACGTAAAACACTCAATGCCTCCTTCCATCCCCAATGGTGCTCTGATAAAGGCAGAAGACTCTGCAAAATTGTCAATCGCCATTTCCAATCCTCAACGAAACCTCTAGCAAGTGATACTCTCCATTCCAAAGCCTGTCTTCCACCTATACTGAGTTCATCATCCACTGTGATCTCTTCAACCACACCTGATGGAAGACTACGATTCAATATATCAAGTAGCAATTCCGTGAAAGAAATAACTGTTTCGTTTTCCCCTTCACATGTGGCAACATCAGTGTGTTCCCATGAAGAAGTAGGTGATTCGGACATGCTCCCTGGTGAGGCACAATGCGTCAAATTGAGAGAGATATCATCCATATGTAAAAGCGAAACAATAACATTCACCATCAATATCTGCACAATTGAATAGAGTTGACCTTGTGAAAATGCATAATAAGAGAATTTATGTTCACCAACAACACAAGCACACAACTGAAGAATAACTGGAAACATCTGAACCTCCAGGAAATTAACAGACATGGAAAAAAGGGGAGGATATAAACAAAAGAAATTAGCCACAATCATACCAAATTTAGCCAACTGGTCAAAGAATGTATCTTCTGTTGTTTACAAATAAAGTTGACAACCACAGTCAACGAATGAAACCACTAGCCCCCATACAAAGAATTTATAAAATTGTAAAAAAGTTCCCAAGACCATGCAAAAGTTTTCGTTTAAAGCACGTTTAGAGCCTTCGCTCCATTTAGAGACATATCATTCAGAAAAAACTTGGTGCCTAAAAAAAATCTGCAGATCTTTCCCATCATTCACTAAATATTTCAGGTGGACTAAGAAGAACTAAAAAGTAGTGGCACAGCAAGACAAAAGGACCTTCAAAACTGCAAATAGAATCCCAGAAAAACATTGCATTTAAGCGTGGTTTCGTATACAGTGAAACTTAATATCCTTTCAATGAAGAACCTAGAAGAGCGCAAATAGAATCCCAGAAAAATATTGCATTTAAGTGTGGTTTTGTATACAGTGAAACTTAATATCCTTTCAATGAAGAACCTAGAAGAGCACTCACGATCATATCTATTTCCATCAAGGTAATTGAAGTTTCTAATTGAAAATCTTTCAATTTGTAACAATTTTATTCAAGTAGGGTGGAAAAGGTAGCACATTAAAAACCCACAGTCAAAGACCAGAGTAAACCCTAAATACATCACCTTGCGAGGAATGTTTGTTACAGACTCCAAATGAGTTCGAAGGCTTTTTAAGTGGTATAAAGCTGCCCGATGACTATTTTCTCCGTCTTCGATAATGTTTCTTCCAATTGCAGTTAGTGCAAGAACAACTGATTCCAAAGCATAGCGCATATGCATGAGTTCAATATCCTGCATCCTATTCCCAAAAGAATGAAAAGATCAGTCTTACATAATCATATATGATGGCTGTAAGATCAAGAAGTTACAGATATGAAAAAGGAGTCTCAAAATATATGAAACACAAGAAGGACGTGATCCATCAGCCTATCCATTTAGTCATAGAAATGTAACTGCAGTTATGATTAACCTCTACCAAAAAGATGAACAATAAACTACATTGCGAGCTTATTTAATTAATCCACAGCTCTGTGTAACCTATTTACCAAAAAGATCAGCATGCCAATAACAGATGACAAGAGTAAGACAAAACAGTTACACAGTTATCAAAGACCACAAGAATCATGATCCATCCCGTCCCCCATTGCGGCTTATACAAATTGAACTAAAATTGGTATTCACTTCTTTACCAAAAAGTTGAAAGATAAGCTATATCGCTAACTCATTTAGTCTCTGACTTTATATATGTACAAATACCCTGTCCATTTAGGAAGACCATGACAGATAACTGTCATGCCAAAAAGAAAAGGATAAATACACCCTCTTAAACAATTTGCAGGTTGAGATTAATACTGAGCAGTAATATCAGACAACCAGGTAATCCAAAAGGTCCAGAAACTCATCAAGGACCGACCACCAAAGCATCAGTCAACCCTCCAACTAAGATAGTGAAGGGATTAAAAACAGCCCCATGCCTCTTTATTGTACCTATGCACTAGTATGGCACCATAATGCAAGGCACCCAAGCCACCGAACATATTTATTTAACGCAATAACGAAACAAAATTGCAGATACCTTCTCCAAGATTCTACAGTGGAAGCCATTGGCTGCATGGTTATCAATTCAATGGCATCCTGAAATTTTATGACTGGAACAACATCAAACAGTACCTGCAGAAAAAGATAAGGTGTTATGATTCAGTAGTTCGAAAGAGAGAAACCAATCATTGAAAATATGTCAGGTTTATTTTCCGTGTGGTACAACTGGTGTTGAAGATGCAAATAGGAGACAACTATAACAATTGATAGCAACAAGCATGCTCCTTTTAACAAGTCTCACCCCTGAGTCTTCGCCCAAAAAATAGTTTTAATTCATAGCTTTTGATAGTCTCAAGCATGGTAGACAGAATCTCAAGTCTACTAGTAGAATCTTGCAATTTTACGAGTTTGCTTGCTAAACATGGTTAGAATTTATGCAAACTCTGTTGTTCTAACGATTTAACTGTGGAATCAAAGAAATACGTAGAATCGAGATAAATCATTGCCTTCATACGATTCTACCCTACTTTGATGATCGGGCTTTTTTATGTCATGCTTAATCAATGTTGACAATGGAAACTGATCTCGATTCACTAAAGCCAATGATTACATTGATCTATATTCTTCTCATATATACCACTTCAACATAATAAAAAAATTGATAGTCAAATGTGATCACTCGCAATGTAGTCAAAATCGCACTTTTCTATGTAGAAGCGTTTTAGTGACCTAGAAGCGCAAAAGCGTAAGCTTTCAAGTTTTAAAGCGCATATTTTGACTACACTATTAAGGGGAAAACGTGATTCTTAAAGCCAACAATCTGTCCTTCTTCACTATCTCCCAAATCCCAGTCATAGATTAGGAACTCAATTCAATCATCTACCTATCGTCCCTTTCAGTATTCCTTCAGGCCCATTTTACTGCAAAAGTATATGCCTTAGAAAATGATTTGCAATGAGGAGTTTGACAACTCAGATTTCCCCTATGTCCAGCACGAATATTAGAGCATAACCCAGAATTACATTGTTTCTGATCCATATCAGCATCATAAAGGCATCTCTATTTTCCTTAACTTTTTGGGTGAAATGGAACTGAAGTGAAATATTAGTTCAAGTGAAATAACCTAATTCAAGGCAGTTGAAGTAAAATATGCATCTTAGAGGTATAGCCTTACCCGCAAGGGACTCTGTGCCGAAAGTCGTTCCAAAACAAAGGTCTCAACAAAAGCTTCTTTAGTATCTTCAGCTTCACCAATTACTTGTTGACCCCCAGACAACAACAATGATGATTTTGAATTCCATGATTGGCCAGAGTTTACACAAGCAACAAAAGAAGCCAGATCTATATGATAACACAACAAGTTGCACAGATGTTCCACACATGATACCTGTAAAACAATAAGTTTAAGCCTAAACAAACCCATATTGCACGTTCCCGGGACCAAATCATGAAAGAGATCTACGAAATCTGAAAAACATGATACCTCATCTACTTTATCCCCATACAATGAAGATTCTTCCAGCCGAGAAACTTGTGACTCACTGCTTGTCCAAAGAAGTTGCATTAATTTCTTCCGAGCTGCTGTTTTACCAGACAACAGATCCCAACCCATGGCAGCCACAAGGGGCTTCAGTCGAGGAAATAATGTAAGAACCTGCAGCAGTACTGAGTAATGAGATTTCTGAATAAAAAATCAGGCATGCTAATAAATCACATATTTAATTTGAATGTCTATTCGGTAACTTGCATCATTAGCCTCTTGAAGTTCATCTTTCCTTATGATAGAAAGGGCAGTATCCATGATACACTCAAGCACATGCAGTCCAGACACACGGGCATAATGGTACATATCTCTCATGCCGAGAGAGGCTGCTGTATTTAAGGAGGGTTCACTTAAAGCTGCATCTGCTCTTATCTCTGCAAGATATCTTTTAAAACGCTCCAAAGGGGGCGGGACCCTGCTGTTGTCCAGTGTTCGAGACCTCTCAATCTCTTGACTGAGCAGATCATCTTGTATGACCTACAGTTAAGTACACCCATGCAATCAACAGCCAAACTATGTATCAAAGCACGAGAATAAGAAGTCGTTTAGACCTCATACAATCATAAAACACAACAAACTTAGAATATGACTAATATCATTATCGCTCCTGTCCACATTTTACAAAACAGCTAATTGATGGTTACTTCCAAGTAATATAGTTAACAGATCCAAGCTAGCCATGGGCCCCTGACTGACCTGCAATAGCCTAAGACACACGTGTGTGTAGCATTCTACCCAGCCAATCAAATATACAAAATTCAATAGCCTAAATCTCAATAATTCAGCCACTATATTGGTTTGAACTAGGGCGTGGTGGATATTAGCATCCCTAGGTCCCCACATTACCGATCAGGTCACTATATTGGTTTACAATGCCAACTTTGCTTGCTGTTTGAATACAGAAGACAGTACCTGGATAATCTCTGCAAGGTGTGTACAGTTAGATGAAAGAGTCTCCCCATAAATACACAACAATTGCTCTTGCATCAAATTCCAGGATTCTCCATATACCTCCCTCCTTGACAAAATCCTCGACAGCAGATCTTGCAGAACCACTCTATCATAAAAAGATCATGCAAACGGATACAAAAATAACGAACATGAAGACAAAATTCACAACAAAAATGGATGATTAAATAAAATGCAGCTTTAGTTTAGAGATCAGACACATATGACATGGAAAAAGCGAGAAGTAAAAGCTCAAAACAGCACCACACAAGCTCTTGCAGGAGAATTTGAAGAAATAATCCAGTTCTTACTAACATCCACGAATGGACCTCAAAATAAGAACTTTGGAACATGTCTTCACATAGGCTCAGACTCAACGTAAACCACAAAGACAATATGGGAGGGAACTCCTTGAATGCAATTTGCAAATCATCAACATCATTGATGTAATATTCTTTACATGCATTTTTCTACTTAGATCAAACAGCCTTTGGACCAAGACTAATATATCTTTCAGGCTAAATGCTGAATTCAACTACAAGCCGATTTAATTATTTCTCCAGTAAGTTTGTTTTCCAGACTTCCTTTCAGGATAAATAACGCAGTTGAGACTAGCACTCAATTTTCAGTTGCTCCTAAGGAAACTGAAATCGTAACATAAAAGTTCTACCGAGTCCTGAATTTGACTAGGGACCATAATATACAGAAAAGAAACACATACCTATATTCAGCTTCCTCCACCCCATACTCAAGATGCAAAAAACGAATATGAGAAATAGCACTTTCTTCATTGTTCTCTTTTATCCGGTCCTTCATGGCATCCAAATGTGCCAATTGCACTACTTTCTGTATGAGACTAAGTACCTTCCGATCCTCCTCTGCCTTCTCCTTCAAGTCCAACTTGGTCTTATCATCCCTACGCACCATTACTGCAAGCCCTGTATTGTCAACTTCAGGCTCCTTTATCTGCTGCTGTATATTGAAGCATAACGAGTCGAATTCGTCAGAATTATCCAATATCGTCTTCCTTAAACACATTAATTCTGTTTCATCAATCATAACCGTTCCAGGAACTACCCTCCTCTGCGCCCCTTCTCCATCTTCACCAGTATCAGCTTCTATATCTGGTTTCAATCTCTCTACACCTAACTCCAAAACCTTATCCAAAACCCTAACACGGACTTCCAGTTCACTACTCGTATCCTTTGAACTCTGAATTCCATCCAATGAATCAGCTGCCCGCCGGCTATCATCCATTTCCTCAACCTCAATCCCGGCATTATCCCCCTTATCAACATCTACCACCCGGTCCCATAAGAGCTGAACGAGCAACAAGAATTCCGCCCTCAATCGCAGCGTACCAGAATCGAAGCTCCATATCCGCGAAGTGGAGTCGCTGTACTGCAAAAGCTCTAGGGTTGACAGATAGGCCAGGAGAGACGAAGACCGACAAGACGACGACCACACAATCTTCTCGAAGCGCCCAGCGTTAGCAACTATCGTTTGAAGAATCGCGAGAGCTAGGTCGGGATGCTTCCGCCGGAGAGTTAACAAGACGGCACGAAGTGGCTCGAACTGCGCTAAGTGGAGATGGTTCGCCGCTAATCGGGATAACAGCGCAGTCTCTTTGTCCATTTCCACTGGATTTTGCTCATCCATACTGATTGATCAGGCGTCGTTCCCAGCTTTTTCCGGCCCGAAATCGGCAACAACAAAGAGAAATGAAGCTGCTGTATCGCGATCCGATACGAGGAACCGGTGAATGTCAGAATCGGAGAAATTGTGGATCGTCCTGAACCGGTTAACGGCAAAAATGAGGAAAACAGATTTCCACTTAAGGGAAGGAGTAAAATGTAGATTACCCGTTAAAATCTAAAAAGGAGCGAAATACTGATAAAATTTAAAGGGTTAAATAATAAATACTTAATATTATTGGGTTCAGGGGTTTTAGTAGGAGTGTTCAAATTATTACCGTAGTAATAACTAATAACCAAACCAATTAACTCTAAATTTTATTGACTATGGAATAGAATGTTAAATGTCTTAACCAAACCGTCCAAATTAACACGAAAACCAAATTAACCAAACCAAAGTTTAATTGGTTTGGTTAATCGGATAATCGGATTAATCAAATAACATAACATTACATAAAAATAATTCTCCTGTTAATGAATAAACATAACCATATGTTATTACTATCATAAACTATCATTATATATAAGCCATAATAATAAGACTAACCATCAGTGATTATTATCATTCGAGTTAATACATCATTCATCATCTCTGCACCTAATATAGTTAGCTTACAACAACCCCTTAACATAAATATTAAATACATTCTAATACCACTCATCAGGAAGTTAAAGCTCTCCTACAAAACACTTGGGGTCGTTTGGATGGATCAATCTAGAAATGAGTCAATTTGATCAATTGTCTCGTTTTATAAACGAGGCAATTAAAACGAGTCAATTCGAATTACCTGCCCCCACCCCAGGTAATTGAAATTGACTCAAAACGGATCAATTCAAAATACCTCAGGCAGATTGGTCTATCCAAAAAAAATTTGCTGGCAAACGAGGCAATTTGGTACAATTGTCTCAAAACGAGACAATTGTGTCAAATTGATCCGTTACAATTCCTCATAGTTTGATGTGACTATCATGGTACTATACGTAATCATAAAGTCTAGTAGCGGTCCAAAATGTTTTGGTTTAGTAAATAGGCAAACTCATTTAATTTTTGACCCATGATGCTTTGGTTTTTTGTGCACATGGAAATCAATTAGGGAATCACGAAAGTTTGGTTTGGTTGATTGCATGAAAGTATAAATAATTTTGTATATTACGTTATCATTAATTGGTTAATTGGTTTCATTGGTTAGCAGTGTTGAAACCAAACCAAACCACCTAAACCAAATAAGCTAAATTGTTTAACCAAACAAAACCAATTATCCAAATTAACCAAATCCTACCATTTAATATGGTTACCATGGTAACCAATCCGTTTGAACACCCCTAGTTTTTAGATCAATGGAAGGGAAGAGAAGGGAGATATTTATGCCTAGAAAGTCCTAGGCGGTTGATGGAGCACGAGTGAGGCGACTGTTCCTGATGATGCGATGCACTCCTAACCTTGCAAGGCAAATGTTCGTGGGCGGTTGTTCAGTACATTTTCTTATGCTTAAGTTAGAGAGAGAAGTAAGAATATGTGCTAGATTTAGAGAGAGAGGAAGTAGTGAGTTACCACCAATGCTCATGTGAGGGTATTTTTACCCGATTAGGTGGAACTTAGGGCATTAAATGCTCTGTCAGACGCACTAAACACGCCTCATCTTATAATAGACCGCCTACGGCGAGTAATTAATGTTTAGTCATGCTTGTATTGAGGTAAATATCTTAGTAGATCTCTCTCTCTCCTGTCACCATCAGTGCTTTATGTCAGGCAATCTATCCATGTCTTTATCGAGAGATTGACCGCCTGACCGCACTGTCATACCTTTTGTCGTGTATCTCCTTTGCTTTCCTACTGGGCCGAGCTCGCTGGCTGTCCCTGGGCCTTAAGCCCAATGTCGCTCAACCATGTGGCCCAACAGGAGGTTGTTTGTAGTTTGGAAGTTGTGATTTTAGATTATCTATTTTACAATATATGTAATTAGAAGAATTTTTTATATTGTAATTTGTTGTTTTCTTTTTTTAAAATGAGCACAATGCTTCTATTTGAGCAGAAGATGGGAACACCAAAATCACTCATCCTAAAAATAATGAATTTTTTAAATTTAAAGATTGAAACAATACATCTAATTAGAGAATGCTAATTCCTAACTACCAAACATACATGTACACTAGTTGGTGAAAATGTAGGAGATTATTTTTTTGAATTTTAAATGTCACTAAAAGTTGTTAATATCCCAAACGTTATTTGACCATTTATTCTCGATAAATTTTGCTATATTTTTTCACGTAAATAATCATGTGTCATAAACTCATAATTATAATTTTGCTTTCTCTTTTTCGTTGTTTAATTGTGGATTATTGCCTTTTGAGTTTGTAATCATGTGTCATAATCCTTCTTAATTATGATTATGGATAAATTTGTAATTGCAAATAGTACTTATCAATACATTTCTATAAAAATCTTCATTATCCACACTTGAACCTAAGCCTTTCGTAAAGAAGCGACCTAAGCCTTTCGTAAAGAAGCAAAGATTAACCAAATAGACTACAAACAAATTGTTTAAATTAAAGTTATAAAATAAATGAACATCTCAAAATAACAAGGGCAAACCGCAATGATCAACCCTAAAATAAATCAATTCATGTTGTACCAAAATAACGGTCTAATGTTACCGTGCACAAAGCTAGGGGCGGAGCCAGAATTTCGAGACAGAAGGCCGAAAATAATTTTAAAAAAATTATGTAACCAATGCGGATCGAACTAGTGTGCTTTAAAACACAAGTTAAACTTGGCTATCATTAGACCATATAGGGTTTTTTTTTAATAATGCCAAGACAATAGTTAGAAAGAACTACTACCCACAATCCCTCCCTATCCCACTAACAAATCACCTTACAAAATGAAAAGAAGCTAACTCTAACCGAGACACCAACAGGACTTTAAATGCCACTCTATGAGCAGCCCCGTTGGCAGTCCACGGAACCGCACTAAATTCTATACAATGAAAAAAGACTCAAGCAAAAAAAAAAAACGACAATCTCGAAGGATGACAACTTCTGCATCTGCTCGAGGATGACCAAGACAAACTTCAAGAAGCTGCAACGAGTTCTGAAGGATATGTGTCAGAGATCCACTGTTGCTGGACACCCAAGACCAGAAGCACATGCCCGTCCGAGCCACAAACAACAAGGCCAGACGAGCAACCAGAAACTTTGACAGCATCATCGAAATTTATCTTCAGATGGTCTTGAGGAGGACCTTCCCAGAGAGGACTAGCATACACAGGAGAACGAGGCAGGGATGACGAGGCAGGCGACAAGGAGGAGAAAGCTTCACGGGACTGAAACGAGGATTGGTGGGCAAGCGAGCGGACATGAGGCTGGGTATGTTTAAATACCACTTTATTTCTTAATTTCCATATTCTCCACAATAGGCATACTAATTGGAGAATATGGGTTTGGGACTGCTTAACTAGCATAACTTGATGCCACCACAAACTAAAAATCACAATCGGACGCCATCGCCCTTGTAGTCTCCAAACTGCTGCCTCGGGTCATCATAGAAGGAGATTCAGAGGTGGTGATTCGTCAGCTTCGTCAAGGTGCTCTCTCTGACTCCTTTGGAGGTCCGGTGCTTCGGGATTGCTTCCTTCTCCTTTCTTCCGTCTCTGTTTCTTTAGAGTTTAGGGCAGTTCCTCGGACTGCTAACAGTGCTGCCCATAGAGTGGCGCAGAAAGCACTGTTACTCTCCCCTTTAGAGTTATGCGCCTTTGATTTTGTGGGTTGGCTTCACTGATGTATTGGGTTGGGCAGGGTTGGGGTAGATTGTATAGGTTCTCTCTTGACATTTCTTGGGGGAAAAAAAAGCATATCACTTAATCCCACAAAATACCATAAATGGATGACCATATAGTTATTACATGACAGAAGTTACAGAAAAAGTTCCATTTATAAAATTTGTACTAAATATCGTTAAAGACCTAGAACCGAAACCAATCCCGGGAGAGCCGGGGCCCACCCTAATTACAATGTAGCTCCGCCCTTGCACAAAGCTAGTCCTTGATATATCACTTCTTTTAACAAAATTCAAAGAAAATGGTTAATTGATAAAGCCCACCAATATCTTTATAAATGCATCACTTAATAGCATCGAAACATATATTTCAAACCAACAAATAGAAGCAATCGGGTACTCACGATAGCGAGTTTGATTGTCATCCCTAACCGCAATTGACATAGTTCTTTCTTTTTTCTTCTTATTTTCCCGTCTTCGGAGTTTGGAAAGTCCCCAATACTTGTCATGTATCTCCACCATTTTCATCCCCAACACTAAGCTTACTTACAGTTTCCTGTGCGGTTTAACATTTGTTTTATTAGCTGATAAATACCGTTATCAACTTTTCCCAGTACATTACTTTTAGGATTAATATATTTGTATGGCTTGAACTTTGCACATAATAAATATCCTGACCAATCTTTTTGATCTATAACATCCTGACCCAAACTATACATCAAAGTAACGAAATTGGCCAAACCCGATGTTTGACCGTTATCTTGGATGGTCAAACACATTGACTAACTGTCAACGCGCCACGTCATTACCAAATCAACAACTTTCACTTTTTTTTATATTTTCCACTTATTACCATTTTTCTTCATTCAAAATGAATTTTGTTTTCTTCTTTTGGTTCAAAATGAAAAACAAAAATGGTAATAGGTGGAAAATATAAAAAAAAATTGAATGAAAGTTGCTAACTTGGCAGTGACATGGCACGTTGACCGTTAGTCAACGCGTTTGATCGTCCAAGATAACGGTCCAACATCTGATTTGGCCAATTTCGTTACTTTTATTTACAGTTTGGGCCAGGATGTTATAGATCGAAAAGATTGACCAAGATGTTATGAGTCATAGTTGTAGGTTTGCTTTCTCATTCTCATTGTTTGGTTGTGGAATATTACCTTCGAATTTATTTATTCTTTTTCTCGCGAGTATATAGACATTGCGAAGTCTGTTCATCATTTTACAAAAAAAACTTAAGCATCTTTAATATATAAATTATCTGGTTTGACACTGATGATGGGAGATACTCTATCAAATCGGCTTATCATAGAATTATGGATGAAAGGTTCGACTTTGTTTACCGTGCTTTTG